GGATGGATTGGGGGGTTGTATAGGGTCTGCAATTGGTCCCTCCCAACTACGTTCATTCACCCGTTCATTCATCATGATTACGCAGCTAACAGCGCTCAGCCATGTACTCCCGCCAAGCCCGTACCGATAGTGAAAGCTGGCTTGCCCTTCCTTGGCCTCTCGCTTCAGTTAGAGGCAGACGCTTTTCCTTATCCCACCGCTCCCTTGGCAGCAACGGGTCAGCGGGACTACACGTGTTGCCTTTCTAACAGCATTCAGTGGCATCCTCTACTAGCAGAGCGTTTGCTGGACCGTCTATTTACAAGCAGGCAGCAGCTCCCGTTACGGTATAGTTTGTGCAACGAACAATGTACACGTACAGAAAAACACACGCAGAAAAAATATTGAAGAGGATTTCACTCGAAGGAGAACACACGCGGAGGGCAGAAGCGTCATCATCCGCATGAATCTTCTCACCCTGTGTGTCCTCTCAACGACAAAAGGGCTTATGGCCTAAATTATCACGCTGCCGCCGTCTCCTTCCAATCCGTTGCAAGCTAAAGAAGGAAGTTAGCCGAGGGACCTCTCTGAGGGACGTATAAATATCCTCGCTGAAGGTGTTGCCGATAAAGCACAACCACTAGCAACAACAACTACGCACGCTGGTCGTGCTGTAACATAAGCGACATGAGCGCTCAAGAGTTCAGTAAAAAAGGGGAAGTTAGTGGCTGGAAAAGAATATGTAGAGCATTTACTCGAGCACACTAAGGCACGTACATGCCTATGCATTGACATGTGTTTGAGGGGCGAAGACTCAACTTTCCTCTTGACTATAATCACCAAATAAGGCTCAATCGATTGATTATTGTCGTTTCCAGGTGCAACAATGCAACATGTCCTTGATTCGATTATTTGTTATCTATATCTGTATACTGCATATCAGTCGAATCTGAATCAGCAGGTTGCCGGGAAGCTTCCGCTTATTAACAAGGGAACAACTATATACCTTCTTTTTTGTTAATAAAATAAAGATTACATCGTGATTGAACTTTTATGTGCCCAATTAAAAAGTTTTTAAGAGCAGTTTATCTCACGGTAGTTCCCTGTGGGTACGTGACCTGGCTGACATGTAGGATATCAACTTTTGAGATGAATGAGTCATATAGGATCGCTGAAATGAACCGAGACCTTTTGCTGGGTCCTTTGCACTGTTAAAACCGATTACTATATATATATATATATATATATATATATATACACCCTGTGTCATCATCTGTATTGTATTTCTCGTTTAGTTCGTATTGCGTAGCCTTAATGAAATATCATAAATCCTAGTTTTTTTTCGATTTCAACGATTTTAGTTAGAGCTGTCTTCAAGTTGAATAGTACAAGGAACTATGAGTATCGCTGCAGTCTATTTTAGGAATTGTCGCTAATTTCCTTCAAGACCCGAATACGTATTTTCCATACGTAAAGTACTTTAGCATATTTTCTCGAACATGGCTTCGTTAAACAAAGAAGTAATTGTCTACGAATAAACAGCATACAGTAACTTTATATACAATTACTTGGTGTTTTTCTTATTGTAAATACTGTCTGTTTCTAATGCATCTGGGCAAGAAAAAACGCTGTACCCAAAGAAAGTAAAATCTTTTCCACGCTATATGACCCGTATAAGACCCGTGAGCGTTAACGGACAAACGGTTGGAAGATGTAAAAAGCAAAAGAAAAAAGTGGGCATCATTTCACTTCGGCCTAATAGATTACCATCCTTTGCTTACTGTGTCGGATATCTTTGAATTCACGTGTGCATGTATCGTCTAAATAAGCCAACTTTTTCGATGTCCAAAACTGCGTTCAGGGCAAAACACATTAGGACTAGTACGAAGGCTCTCTTTAACAGAACCGAGGTGGTACAGAGGCAGCTACATACAGGTTAATACAATTCACTGATTGCTGCTGGACTTTTTTTTAGAACATACGAAGCATTTAAATGCTGATTAGGCGTCAGTGGGGGCGATCTCCTGCAAATAACCGAGAGCCAGCTCATCACGTTAGCTGCAATAGCAACAACGCCAACCCAAATTAACGGCCTGCTTTTGCTACTATCGCAGGTGTCTTGCATGCTCAAGCCTTGACTAAGTACATTGGTCGATGCTGTTTATCAGGAGTTTCTGCCTGCCAGTGCTAATAAGCACGTTCGCTGCACGCCCATTCGCTCCGATGCCCCTTTTTATGCTGCACGCACGCGCACATCATCGCCCTGCATGAACATCAACGCACAAATCGAGCTATTGCTGCCTCGCCTGTCAGCAGATGTAACTTGCATAGACTAATTACATGTCTCAACCTTCCCACAATCTCGCAACTATCGGCTCATAAGCACATTTGAAGCACGCAACAACAACGATTAAGCTAAATCATCTATCTGCTACTGGGCTATCCTGTCATACATCACGCAAACATTGTAGCGGCTTTTGAAAACGCGGTATGGGAATGGAATATACTAATACTTCAGGTTGCTTTATTTATAACATAGGTGCCTTAATATCGACCCTGTTCCGCTTTGTTTCACAGTTTTACGCAGATTCTGTAGCAAAACAACGTAAACAATTTACGTAGCAACGGCTAGACACGGACGGAATCTTTGTGAACTTTTTGTGCCTATAATATGTAGCTTTTGTTTTCTGCGAACTATTACGAAAGATGCGTATTTTTCTTGCGGTGACTCTTTTCTAACTAAATATGGCTTCTTAACACATTGCACTCTATTCTTTCGAAGAAATGCCCTTTAGTTATCTATTCGAATCCAGTTTCCTGGGTGTTCCTAATTCAACAATATTTAGCCAAGATAAAGCCGGCACAAAACAAACTCTTTGAATGAAACACTGATGTTTTAAATAAAAATCCAGATTAAAGGAAAGTGGACACTCCTTCAAAAAGTAATGATCTTGCAATATTTTCTGTGCAATTAATTTACAAAGGCTCCTCAATGGGCCGGCTTAGAAATCTTTTTTCAAAAGATTCGACCTTGGTCTCTAAAAGAAGTGCAGCTTTTCCTGCCAAAAGCAAAAAAGCTTCCATGAACTGTGTAACGGAAGAAGGCTGGAAGAATTCGCGCACCTTTTTATCACTAATAACATTAAGACAGCTGTTGCTTCTTCGCGGAGGAGGCGACGTTCTACAGGAAGCTTTCACGAAACGCGTGTAGGAACGCAAACAGGTAGGATCTTTTAAAATATCATGCACTTCCACGTAAGATTCAACAACCATCATAAACTTTCACAGAGCCTATCGTGTAGTACCTGCTCTTAAATGGTTGGCTATATTGGAACTAATTTGTGAATTTCCTTTCCAGGTCCCTTATACAGTCAGTTTCACAATCCTCCAGTGGACAAAAAACAGTTCAACGAAGTATTACGCTACCGGGTTCTCAATCTGCCATTACAGCAAACGTATCAGTAAGTCGTAAACAAACACACAAACCGACATTCAATCTGCGCCCTGCAGATAAGCCAGGGAAGATATACGTTTTGTGCCAACGGCGTCTGAAGAATGTTCATAATAGGAGAAGTTTTTCGACAAAGACATTTATGTACGTTCCCGTCAAGTACTTTGATCTAAGGAAAAAAGTGTTGTTCCAGTTTTGTTTTCAGGAAGCAAGACATTTTGAAGCTAAATGAAAAACTAGCGGGCAACCTTACATCGACTGAAATCCTTTATCCCATAAAACAAGCGACACAATGCATCACCGGAAGAGGGTAGATTTTTTTTATCTTTGTTTTTAATTCGCATCAGCCAGCGTTTTCAAGTTGGCCGTGTGGCCTCTAAATTTGGTAAACGTTAAAGATGAAGCTTTCTGAAAATAGAATTCACCTCGTGTTCTATGTAGACAAAGCAAAACGAATGCGAACCACACAGAAAACCACTGTAGAATCTGGTCCACTATGATTCTAAAAGGTTAAGAAGGAAAGCAGGTCTCAAGAAAGAAGCTTTCAAGGTCGTTGGCTACAGATGCCTAAAGCCTATCTTTTCAGTGTTGCGCCTAGTTGTCAAATTCGGTAACACCAATTAAAAGCGTTTTGGCTACCATAAAATTCACACCTGGATTTCTCATTGTAAGGTTTTAGCGGGCACGATGCACCTACTCGACAACGGTACGAACGGTTGATTAATGAGCAACAGGTGTTCAGTAGTAATGTAAATGGAATTGTACCGTCTGCCAGAACCCAGCCAGAGCTAGCCGTGCTAGTTACGTCAATTAATTGTCTCCCATCTTAAATTAGAGCCTTGTGCATCAACACAGTTTCCATTGGTAAACCTTACCTCTCTGGGTGTAGCTTGCAGCAGGGTATTTCGTGAAATACCTAATTTCGTTAATGCACACAGATACAATGCTTTATATAATCGAGTTCCTAAAGGAAGCGGTAAACACAGCTCTCCTGTTGTTTATGCTGTTAGCAGAACAGCAATGACAGCCTTAAAGAAGGCAGGCAGGAAGTACGCAGAGGCACGTCTGTGGGATGCCCTTGACACCAATAAAAGAAGGGTGAATAATTACGATGGAAACAGGCTTGATGCTAAAGAAACTTTAAGGTAGAAAGAACGAAAAAAATTGGCACGTGCTTTCCCTGTGTCGGTCGCTTCGCAACTACATCGTTGCTCTCGCTTGTGCTGCTACCATTTCTGACGGTAGCCGCAGCAGAGCACTAACGATGACGGAACTAAGCAGTAGACAACACTGACCAAAATCGTACCTTTCTTATTTGTAAAATAGAAAGTTATATCTAATTAAGTTTGGCAAAAACGCACAACGGGTTGGTGAATTAAGGAGGTAAAGATGCTCACAATCCGAATCAAAAACTAAATGATGTAAGATATTGTAAATACATGGCGGTTCTTTCGCATTTATAATACACCATCACTTATTTATTTATACTGAGGTTGTTCGAGGTAATTGCCGATCGAACAAACGATCGTATCCCCTTAAAATACCAACGGAAAGCGTAAATGTTACCCACCTGGCTCCATTTTGGTAATTTCCTTCGAAACTTTTTCGGTGCTCGTGTCGTTACCGCATTGGTCATCAAGCTGAACAGAGCTTTTAGTATCGGTATTTTCTACTAATTCATTCAACTTGCCGGTAAGCTCGAATATCCGCTGTTGTACCTCCTGGACACCTTGAGCTGCCGTTCCCAGAAAGCCAGTGGCAGTCGTTTTTGAGCCTGGAGACGAAGGCAGCTCATCAAAATCGTCTAAATTTGCTACGTCGACTGGGCCAGGAAGCGACATCAGGGAAGCCACCGATTGCATATCTTCGTCCCTAAATATCACGTTCAGAATAACATCGATGTCATATATAAGAATTACATTTGCGCGTGCCGTCTTTCGTTGCAATGCTAGGCAGCATACTATCCGGCCTCCAATCGAGCCTAACAGGTTTCATAAATTAGAAGACGTTTTTAGTGAAGGAAACGCAAAGAACAGAAGGTAATGGCTGCATACATCAAAAATCATGCACTAAAGCAATTTTTGCGAAAATCTATGATGCTTACGTAGCTTTTCCTTCCCGTAAAAAATTTGAGTGTATCCTGAGGACAAGTTCGGCCCCGCCGCATTTTACCGACAGTGGCCTAAATTTCAATCGCAGATCGAACTGAGATGGCTCCGCTCTGGCAAACTCCTTCATATTTATAGCGCAAGTTGCAACCTAGAATCAATGTAATTTAATAAGCGGTTAGCATTTAAAATTAACTTCTTGACTGCTCTCACCTAAACAGGTTTTCTTGGTGAGTTGTTTATCTTGCTACATTTTTGATAGTCGTCCTTCAGAATCTACAAGGTCAGTCAGATGCTTGCAGTTCAGCTGTACAATAATCCTTTCTAAACAAAATACGAATTGTCAAACTTAAAATTGTTCAACTTAAACTTAGAACCATCTTGCTGCACATATTGTACCTGTTGCGAGGTAGAAAAGAAGTGTTCGAATGAACAGTGCAGTTGTCCACAAAAAAGTAACTGCTAGACAGGAAGTTGCTGCTTCGTTGCTTCGTCCAAGGGGCTAATATGAGTTCTCTTAACATAAGTTATTTAAATTCATCAAAAATAGATAAACGATTTAATACTTCATTAATAGGTAATGCTGCTACTCTTCACGACCAGGTGACTGACCTTGACATTCGATTTTAATTCAATGAATGATCTCTACGCCAATTTTGGTAAACCTGTTTTCGTTTTCCAGTTTTTTCAGTAACATCTTCGATAACTAGCTGCCATTCTTTATCTTCGTATTCATTAGTTCGAGGATCCTTGAAAAGAGTAACAGTTGTTTCAATATTCTCTGGTATGTCCCACAGCACCATTCCCCTAAAATAAAAACAAAAAATACATTTACATTATATGTTGAAAGAGACCGCTATCGACACAAATTACACAACCTGTATAAATAATGATCTACTACATCAGGCTACGTGCGCTTGACGTGCAACAGTACTCTGCACTACATTGTACGAAGTACTATTCTCCATGTATAAATATCAATTCATTTAACGTGCATCAAATGCTACTTTTATATCAATTATGATAAATGAAGCCTAGTCATTTTTAGATGTAACAAAACAATGTTGTTATAAGAATACCAGTATGAGCGTCCGCTAGATACTTATCTCTTTCTTATCTTTTTTTGATGCCCTTACTTTCCTACACTCAAGCACCTGAAGAGCCTCTTTGTCAGTGACAAGCAACGTTGCTCCCACACCCACAAAGCCTGCCTGGCCTCCCACAAGGTTATTTATACGTCCCTTTATCTAACTGAACGATTGTTTGATCCCTACAAACGATGGTGAGGTATCTTACGTTTCGCAAATTTACTGTCATGTTGACGTATTATGATGTCCTCACAGAAGTCTCGCTTCTTCTTCCATCCGTCCTCCGAAACGGATTCTAGAAGAAGGGCGGTAACGTTTGCCTTTACCTATCATAACCATGATGATGAATCGATGCTGCTGAATATGACAATTTAGAACACACATGTACGGTCGCCCCTAAAATAAACGCCGCCAACTAATACCGGCCTGTGTTATTGCAATATCCGTTACAAGCTATGCACAAAAATCGGTTGCTTAGATATGGATACTTAATAAAGCGCATCTGACCCTTTCCGCTTCCTACATTATCTAAAGTGGATTACCTAAAAAACAGACCCTTTACCCAATGAATCATTAAGTATACTAAAGTTGATAAATATTATACCAGCTCTAATACTGCCTATAAGAACTTGTGTGAAAAATCTTTTATTCGGAATGCTGAATAAAAGATCGATGTGTTTTTGTGTGTAGTTTTTGAGCACCTAGTGTTTAGTGCCAAACTTCGAAAAATACATTATGATATGGATAATAGAGAAAACATAACGCCTCGGATCACAGCCAGGTTCCACATACAACACAGACACGCGTCTGCAATATTAAATACATATTTAATATGGCCTAAGCTAGGAAACCGACTCACCGGTATGGCTCTTTGATCGAGTTGATCCACGGAAGTGGTGTAGTGGCATATCGTCTGCTTCGTCGCGTGAAGACGACACTGAGACGACTTGGATTCCATTTTTTCGTGGCTCTCACTTCCAACTCCCGGCAGATGCCCACAAAATGAAAACGGGCCGCATGTTTGTTGACCCGCTGCAATCGCTTCCACACAGAACCCATATTGACTCCACCTGAACAGATTTAGACAGGAACAGGATAACACAACCTTGAACGCAACCTAACTCTATCGTCAGCCATGCCTCGATCCGGGACGTCAAAAAAATATATCAGCCCTTGTTCCTTGTCTCAGAATGCTTTCTAGGACTGAAGCACGAAAGAAGTCAACAAACCGTGTCTGCGATCACTGAAATTTTTCATTCGTGTGGCTTAACGATCATTATGGAAAATCTATAATAATATTTGGAAAAAGTTCCAAAATGTCTGACGCAAAGGGCCAGCATTTCTGGTAGATTTCCCAACTTGATAATGCATGGATCGACATTCGTTGCTCATACTGACCTCTTGCCCGGAAACTTTGACCTTCATAACAACTTTGACTCATTCCCCCAGAGCCCAACTGGCCCTCAGTCACAAGAGACACTTCAAGAGGAGAAGAGCTCGATACGAAAAGGAAGCATTTAAAAAAAATAAAATAAAAATCGTTAATTAAACGGGATTTGAAGCAGAAAGCTAAATTTCCAATAGTTTTTTAAGATACGTAAAAGGCAATATGTCGATATTGTACTTAAAACGACTAAATAATTACTTCCGTTTTGTAGAAAAACTAATGGTACTTCCTAATAAATATCGTACTAGACAAAAGCCGCGCTGACGTATCATATATATAACGAACAAGAGTTTCCAATTAGCGTAATAACGCGTCGAGTAGTCGCGAATAAACAACATACTTAACGTCCAGTCTTTGAAAAACTTGATTCAGATTTTAAAAACTAGGCGGCATTTAACAGTGTTAAAGTTTACATCCATAATTGCTATTTCGTAAAGAAATATTTTCAAGTTCTACGCAATTGGAGACCGAAAAACCGTGTCCATTCGTGATCTTGTGTCACATGCATATATAACTGTATTACGCATATGTTTAAGCTCACCATGCTACAACGTCGGTGTAAAATTTGCCACCGCCGAATTTTGTATCATTAACAAGTAACCTAAGCACAATGGCCCGATGCCTGACAAAGATTATAAGTTAGATGCATAGCCTGTACCGCACAATCACGGAACTTCTTGATTTTTTCAAATATGACTATACAAGTCGCCTCTGTTCCAAGACTAGGGTTAATCAGCAATAGTCGCATTTTTCGAAATATTTTTCGGAGAAATGATTAATCACGCGTCCCAAAATTTAGTCTACATTAGCTATTCAATGGTATCTACTTCACAATGGCTGCTGTTACGTATGCAGAGTTTATCTAGAGTAAGGGGACGTCTCATAATAGCTGAGATTAAAATAATGACTTTAGTATAATTAAGGTATTAAGTAATAAAAAAGAAGTAAGTAAAAAATTTTTCGGCCTACTAGCAGCGAGTCATGTAAAAGATATTCCGGGGGACTCGGTCTTAAAACGCATTAACATGACCGTTAAATAGCGATCCGTCACTGAATGATTTTCGTGATGGACACTTCAAATACTATACTTTGGCTTTGTCTAAAAGGCATTTCTAGTGTCAGCTGTGTGTTTCCATACGGAATAATTAAATTACACAATTTCACTTATTTAGAAACTGTCGTTTGGCAGGTATATGATTTGAAGTCAAAGAGAACTAATCTACTTTGACCCACCGCTAAAGGTTAATTCATGCATACAATTCACAGGTGAGATAGGTGTATTAAAGATATCTTATGTAACAAATATAAAGTATTTAAAATTACATTTACTCCGCCTTTTTTGGGTTGAACGATGATGCGGGATAATTGAAGCATTGCAAACAAATTGTGTTTTTAAAAAAAAAAATGCTTTTTTCAAAAAAAATCTATATACAAAAATGAGAATGACCGCAAAACCTTTCGAAGCCAAACCCTAATTAAGATCCTCACAGAAACCATTCCTAGCCTAATATAAGCTATGTCTACCACTGAATCTATTATATAATAATTAGCCTAAATAAGCCAGATAAGAGACAATGTTTAAAACAACAACTATTTAATCAGAAGAAGGCGTACTTTATTTACGTTCACATTATCCTGGTTGATCAGTGAAAAGTAACTAAAACAATAATACTAGGAGTAAAAAACACAATTTCTCGCTCGATGTTGTCAGTCGCGATGCGTGTAAGTGCTTTTCCTATATTATATCCCTGTACTTTTGTCTTATTATAATTTTTAGCGCCATACTGTTATTCCACTATAACTGAATATATGTATGTATTTAGCCACACTCAATATAAATTCGTCTTTAGCCTCGCTTCATGACATTCGTCCTGACGGGAGAGGACCTTTTAATCCCTGCACTAGGTAATTCTTTACGGAATGAACGGTCTATTAATAATTCAAATTACTGCTGGAACCCATGTGAACATTGAAATGTCCTGAATAGACAGAAGTTGTGCTAGTTACAGACGCTGTAAACTATCAGAGAACAAAGAATTACCCATTTACGGCCCCTTATTATTATGACATGAACTAGTACGGCGCCTGTATGCGGTAGGTAATCTTGGAAGCGGCGTCATGCGTGTATGTACCTCTCTAATCGAGAGCAAACTATATTAAAGAAGCTAACTAATAAAATACTTTAAATCCATTTTTGGTTAGCAGTAAATACTAGAGGTTTCAGCTGCTACTAGATTGGTGAATAGAAAAGATAACCATCGTTCGAAATTTTTTAGCAAAAAAATCATTATTCGATTAAGGGTTCACTTCAATAGAATATGTCAGGAATGATAAATCTGTGATGTGGTTAGCCGCAAGACGTACCCGTAAGTCGTTTGGCTTTCCAAATGAATTCCCATCGAGACGGTAATGCAGGACACTTCATATTTCCGATCAGAGCGTAACTAAATACGATGCAAAGACCAAATAATTTTAGATGCTCGAGAGCGTGACACAGCCGTTTTTGTTGTGGCCCTTTTTTTACTACTCCTACACAAGAAACAAATGGATGATACAAGATCTAATTAAGGGCCAACGTGCCTATATCTGTACGTTGACTCTTCGATCGTACAACAGAAATACACAAAGGCTCCTGCTTTAAAAATGGTCACCAAAACCACCTGTCAGGAAGAAGCGGTTACGACAGCAGTTATATGTAGGGCGTACACTACACAGAAAGGGGGGCGCACTAAACCGTTACTCTGTGTCGTGTGGGGTCATGTGTGTACAACATAAGATCACGCGCACGGGATCTGCATGAGCCACCGATTGCACCCTTGAGTTTGTTAGCAAAAAAAGATCTCACTAGAAAATGTCCTCCATTTTTTAACGCATAGCTGCCTTTAAACGGCATAGCCAAGAAGATTTGATAAAAAAGGTCAATTACTTTTTAGGAAAACAAGCTTTTTTGAAAACTTTAGGGTTTTAGCTTCTCGGTAACGCTTGTTACAGCTGCGCAAACAATATACAACCAAGTAGTCTTCATCTCACGAGAGACCAAAACAGGGCTACCGCGGACTTCAAAACGGTAAAATAGAATGCGCGCTACGCAGTACCCGTCGAGCGCCTAAAAGCCTAAAGTGGAGAATGATGGAATAAGGGTTTAGACCGACGGCACCGTCTTTCCCGCATGGTAACAGCAGCGACAGCAACTGCTTCTTCTACACTCTCAACGCAACGTTATCCTCGTGGTGATGCCTAAGCTTTTACCTGCTGACACTAACGACCGAACCAGTGCCTCACTTCCCTGACCATTACGGCCTCTAGCAAGAGTACGGTGAGGGCATAAGGCATACCGTGGTGATGGCAGTGAAAGTATATAGTACGTCTGTCACACCGACAGCACAACATAGCTGACAAAACATCTGAAGGACCAAGGACGCCAGTTAACGTGCAGTATATCATTGCTACTGTGATATCAGCTGCTGCTTATGTGAACCAAGAATGCTATTACCACAAGCGACAGATCTATAGCGTTTAAGTAGCTATCACCACGATGTTTGTAGCGGGCGTGCTTCGTCATTTGTATGATGTCAGCTGCTTTTTTCTTTTCCAGGTGAACCAAACCGTCAATGAAAGTTAGTACACATGAACAAAGTCATTCTGCTTATTAATACTTAGCTGTTCACTCAGATCCCACATGCTTCCAGCGAACTATTAGTTACCAGTTACTTAGCACCACATAGCATTTTCTTTTACCTCCACTGCTGGTACAAAATATACTTCTCAACTATTCGCCACCGCGAATCGTAATTGAAGTTCCTGTATGTAAGGCCTACTTCCTATACAAAAGGAAACACGCGTACCTCGGATTCAACGGGCACGTTACTAGTAACGATGTTATAACACTTAACGCAGCAAATAATAACCCTCCCCGCACTGGATACAGACACTTCAATTTAGCTGAGATTATCAGATGTTCAGATAGAAGAAAGAAAATATATTGTCTTTTAAAATCTTAAACGTAAAAATACTGATCTGGCTTTAATATATTTGTTCTATGGTACGTAGTGTGGTTTTTTGGTGTTGTAGTGTCCTGACAACGAAACACGTTGAGGATGTCGTCATGTATATAATTCTTTATTGTTTGGCCATTGTTAACTTATGAAGTTCGTTAGATTTCAGCTAACTCTACCATGTTTTACACTTTATATGTGAGCCTCTATAAAAACTATCTAATGTCGAGACTTATCTGCCAATTTGTCTGTTCAGTTCCATAACTGATGGGGTAAAGGTCATAATTGAAATACGGTCAGTCGCTAGAGTTAAATGTTATATATATATATATATATATATATATATACTTGATTATTGAATATATTAAATGATAATTACATATGATTATTGAGTTCCACGTTTCGTCAATAATCCTTCTACCATTTACCTGCGCCGCGACGATGCGACACGTTACAAATTTTAACAAGCCTTATCTTTTCATTTTTTAAAAGTGAAAATAAAAACAACTGTTTCTGACTGATTTTGATGTATTAAACTCTACAGCGAAATTGTTTAACAGGGTAGAATCTCATATAATTATTTTTAAATCAGACTCATCATAAGGCAACAATTCCTATCATCGTACAAGGGAGTTTGACGACTCGAGACAGAGGCGCTGATGGCAACTACAAATCTGCGTGAATTGTGCATGACGAACTTTTCCTTGCAGTTTCCTACCAAACAGTTACACAAAGGTAGTCCGCAAAGAGAAGTGATTTACTCAGTGACTTAATGGACATTGTTAATCAATTTACCCAAGTGTGTTACTAAGTGTAACAGATTCCGAATAACTTGAATGATTTCTCTAACAGGCTAGAAGGCATACATACTACCGTTCGTATTTGGAACGTGCTAGAATTAAAAAGTACGGTGGATCCTTTCGGACCCTAAATGAGGTTTGTAAGCGTTGCGTGCCTTCGATGATTAGCTGATCGTATGAGATGAATAGAACCCGTATTAATCAAAAACGAACGTACGAACGTTCATCTGCCGATTGACGATACTGAAAACCGCAACAGTTGATTGAGTATTCCTGAATACGCCCGTTCAAAATGATCAATTACGTGCTTTTACTGGCATTGATAGATAAGGATGTAGCAAAGGACATTGAAAATATTACTAGACAGTTGGAGAATAGATAAACACAAGACAGAACTTCTCCAACAGACGACTGTAGAGGAAGCGAACAGATGTCACAAAGATCGTCATGATAGCTGCGCTCCCATAAGATTTGTCGCGTCTTCCATCTACGTCAGTTGCTTGTGTAGGACCGACCCAAAAAGAAGAAAGCTCAGGAGTTGTATGACGTCTCCTCACTGTTCAGCGAGATCCGCAAACACACACACATTCTTGACTGTCTTAGTCAATTTGCGGATTCTTTATAGAAATCGATCAAATGAAAACCACATGATGTTGCACTCTGAAAACCGATAAGATCCGGCTCTTCTCCTTGGAGAAAAGAATGCAGCGATAAAATGTAGCCTCCTACACCTTAGCAACTCTATCTAAATAAATGCCGCTGTTAAATGTCACTTCCGATAATAACATAACACCTGTACCTGTCTGCTTCCAACTTTCTAAATAAAAGGTCGTTATGCCTTGAGGCAGAACAGGTAATATACTAGAGTAAAACACTGTAATAGATAAAAAGAAAACGAGATAGATATATCATTCTGAAGCAACTGGGTTTTTGATAGCAAGCCATTCTACAATTTATTCCTTTTTTCCATAGACGGAAAAGTCAGTTTAAAAGAGATACATCATTTGGTGAGAAACCTTTAATGCCCATCAACGGTGTCTGAAGTCAGAAGAAAGTTGAAATATTTGGGAATGACAAAATTTAGTTTTTTCATTCAAAAGTAGCTAGAGGTAATAATATTTGTAACACACGAAACCGTTTGATCATCGAGTTAGTTCCCGGAGGTGCCTGTTACACTTTACTTGTATGTATCTTTTTACGTGCATCAGAGCATTAAAAGCCATATTAAAATGAAAAAAATATATTAAAATTACAATTTTAATATTATGATGTCAATTCCCTTAAGTATCCCATTACATTTACATGTTATTATCAGCTATAGCAATAATTCTTCGTTTCGGTTCTTCAGTCGAATAAGACGCTTACGGTAGTTATTTTTCGAGTATTATATGTCAGTCTTTCCTTCTTTTGATACTGTAAATTAATGGAAAAAAATATATATAGATAGATAGATATATATATATAAACTATCTTCGAAATTGTATTTAGCTGATAAGAACAGATAGTAGATGCAAGATGCAAATCAAATCTTTTATCTTACACATACAGGCAAAAAAAAGAACATAAATTCGAAAATAAAGGTAAGTTAAGGCTTCTTCTGATAAAAATATGTCCTTTGGTAATAGTCGATTGATCCCGTCACTTTAACAAAATAATTTTATCTGTTCACATTGTGACCAAAGTTCTAAAATAGCCTTTGCCGTATAACGTCTATTGAAGCAGAGCACCGCCACAATATGCACATTGGTCACGCTCTTTGGGGTTTGTTTTCTCACCCACAACATGCCACGACGGAGTTTATCAAATGTATCGAAGAGAAAGGTCGATGTCTCTCTCCCGTCACCCGAATTCTGAAATGGGCGGCGCTTTCCTCCTCTCCATCAATACATTGTCATACCCAATAGCCAAAGTGCTTTACGATAAAGAACCTGACTAATTGATCCATTCTCTCTCGCTGTCAAAGTCAGCTGATGACAAACAATGAACAGTTGCCTGCACCATGTTTCTCTGACATATTGCAAAGCTTCAGTAGTAGCATTAATGGAATCTTAGACCCTAATCTAGCCTACTACTTAACTTTCCTCACTCTAATACCTTCCACTCACTTGTTTGTATCAATGGGAAGCCACCAGTCAAAAATACGAATTCTCTTCTAATACACTACCGATGATAATTTTTCATACCCGCTTTATCTCGCATTGAACACACATTGCAACGATAAGCTTGCCCAGTCAAAAGGTGACGCTGTTTACTTGCACAGGCATCCACCATCGGATTGCCACGACACAGCTGTCCTCGTCTTCGAATGACCATTCACTTCAAGCGCGCTATCTCATTGCACCACTCCATAATAGCACCCAACAAAACGTAGCGAGAGTCAGCGCTGCTGTTACTCACAACCAGCACAAATAAAACCCGCAAGCGCGCCGCCATCTTGAAAAAACGCGCGAAGGTAAAGCGCGCCATTCGAGAGGCATGTTTGAATGATACGAATCATCAGCTGCAGAGATTGTTGTGAAAGATGCTCGTCGTTTAGGTAGATGGGCGTATATGAAGTACAATCGATAAACAATAGGGTTAAATCACTCCACATACGGCCAGACCCCTATGAGTACTATTATCCCCCATGTTGGAACCCAGCAGCCCAAAAAGCGTAATATTTTAAACGAGAGTTGTAAACAGATGATGCCACTACATTTTGTCGATTCTCATTGAAAGCTGGATCGAAATATGTAAGCATAACGTGACCCAACTCTAATTAAACCAGATCCAATTCGTCGACGGAACAGGTCTATTTATCCCTTTTGCTCTCATTCCTAAGTCTTTATTACCATAGTTCGAAAATACATAAAGCATCGTTTTTGTAAACTTTTTAAAAACGGATATAAGCATCAGTTTGCAATAAGTGGTAACATATCAAAAAGCTAACTGATCTTTTTCCCAATTAATATATGATTTAATAGGGTATTAAGACGAAGTTGTGTACAAGGGCTCATTGAAGTTTTGCCCATGTGGGCATTGCCAAGTGAAAAGCGCATGCAACATTCGCTAAAAAATTATAATTTTTCTTCCATGGCGATGTTAGCGTACTGCGGGGCCATTGCAATAATAATCATCTTACAGAAGAGATCACAGCCATCGTAAAGCCGATCTATCTCCCTATGTCAACCTTGAGTTTCATCACGAGATAGCGCCCTCTATGCAGCTTGCCTGTAAGCTAGCTTATGCCTGTGACTAAAGTACGCTTCTTAAAAGCTGTTCAAGCTAAGCATTGATTTTGAATTACTGCTTGAGCTGCTGAACTTCGCTTCGTGAACACCATCAGAAATGTCTATCCGCAAGTGAAAAGTTGTTGACCGGAACCGGGCCATGATGTGACGTGTGGCAGCACCAAGTTTCATTTTGAAAATGATATTAATAAAAATCTTGATTTTGAACGCTTCCTTTTTTTAAAAGTTTATCTAAGATGCTTTACTCGTTTAACAAGCGCTTCCAAAGTAATATCAACAGTACATTCGCTTGTCAATGATTTTTGTTACTGAGCTCGGTACGAACATTTGGCGTAGACCAAATGGAAAACCTAATTTTCGTCATGGGAAGGGGCAAAATGCAGGGCGCTTCTTGTGGTTCCGTTTTACTGAGGAAACAAATAAAAGGTAGTCTGGAACATATTACATAGAAACTGACGGCTGTGACGTGTGACATTAACGACTTGGTAGTGATTGTGAGGGACTTTAAGTATCCACATTTAAAATAAGCCTATGAATAATGACGGTAATAAACAGACTTGCTTGCTTTTCCGGAAGAAAAAAAATTCTGATTCTGTATCTCTACAGGGTCTTCATCAGATTACAGGTGAGCGTGGAAAAAAGCAAATTATGATAGCGATGTTATGGCTTTCACGGAAGTTAACAGAAACGGTTGCAGCGTGGTCCTGCATTTATTGTTTTTCACCTGGGGCCGAAAAATCGGTGGACTTTATGTGGACGCCCAAAAGAATAGGTTTGTAACATCGCATGCGAAACTTGGGCAAGTTCTATAAAAACAACGACAAGGCTTAGCTTGAATCACTCAGTACTCACTCAAAACTCTGAGAGTTTTTTTTGGATGTGCAATAAAAAGGCTAAAAACTTAGGATTGGCTTCTCTCTTCTAGTAGGTAGCGATGGTTTAAATCATTTCATTAGAACCAACTTGGTATATGATTACTTCGAGAGTATGTGTAAAAAAGTCCTGCTTGTGTTAACCTTTGGTAAAATTATCCTTTGTCAATGAAAAAAAAGATCTCCTGCGTGAATTATAGCAACTTATCTAAAGCACCTATGATAACAGAAATGTGCTTCAGGAGGTTTCACAATCCAATAGTTACCAGTAGTGCTCTTCAACAAAGTTCACCTCGACTTTGTTCAGACAATAAGGTAGCTTTCAGATTTGCCTTCAAGAAAGGCAGATTCCTTCCATCAAGAACTTAGATTGTTCCCGAACAAAGGGTAAGGTCCTATGCGAACTACGTTCTCGACTCTCTAAATAAGATGGCTATTTCCATTAATAAGAATATCTTTCTGTAAGCTGGGAGATTGGACTTTCCCCTAAAAGGTTATCTATATTGTTCACAAGGCGGTTGTTGTAGGTGTCCCCGAGACCGTTGATCGAAACCACGATTTTGTGTATGCCGATGATGTCAAATTGGCCAGGCCCTTCAGACAGCCAGGATCGTGTCCTTTTACGAAATTCCTTCGTTGGTCTAGTTAAGCGGTTCTTCATCTTGACAAAAGAATTTAATTACTCGAACTTCAAGGTGCTGGCCACTAAGCGTTCAGTTCTGGTAAATCAGATGCGTAGTGCGAAGAGTGCTTCTTTACATAATGTTTACGGCATTTAGCCGTAAAATTGTAAGCCCATGCCTCACTCCTGCGTTTTTTATGTATCAATCATCTCGAATATAATTAGACTGTTTGACTTGAATTTACTAGGAAAGGTTCTTCGAACATGGATACAATCATCTTGGGGTCGCTACCTGCTCCTAGATGACTTAGCATTTGTTCGTATGCTATTGTACGAGATTAGTAAATTAATGAAATTTAAAACGTATAACTAACTATATTCTATATAATATAATCATTCAACATTATGCAGTGTTGTTTAGTATGAGATAATGAAATAATAATAATGCACATTTAGATAAACCTGTTTGAGTAACAATAAACTATGTTTTCGTGAGTAAAATGTTATTGTAATAAATATAAACTGACACAAAAGATCCAGTGGTATATGTCAACGTAACTTTTCCGCCTTAAACTCAAATTTGAGTATGCAATGTGATCCTTATCTGAATCTATGCCATAATGCTAACGTTATTCGAGCTCTGTACCCGTCATACCTTCTAAAAAAACACAGAGTTAATATTTATAATGATAGAATACATATTGTTTCTGTAAGTGTAAGTTACAGCCAATATGAATCGTTCTTTCAGAAACGAACAAAGCAAACAAATCATTTTGAACTTACAAAGCCGAGGAAGTCAAAAGGTAATTATGGAACATTGCCTTGTTTTATTGTAAGTATTGTCTTTTTATATTTGATGTACTACTATTAAACTATTCCCGGTACTCATCAACTCCTGAAAAAATGTTAGTTCAGTTGGTAGCCGAGTGTCATATAGAATACTATTCTTCTTGAGTGGAAAAAATGCGACAGTGTAAAAACAGCTCTATATTTATTAACAACGGATAAGCAAAGTGGAACAGTTACTTGTTTCCGGCAGACGTGTGCAGCGGGAGGTATTGTGTACAAAAATAAATTGGTCTATCTTTCGCTTAAGTCCTACTCTATGACATTTTCCTCTCTATGACATACAAGCGTGTATTTTGCTTTAAGCTTTGACCTTTATAAATTTACTATGTTCTTTTTTCAGAAATGTCTCAAATTTCTAAAATGTAATAATTCGAAACAAAATATTGTACAATGGCGCCGGACAGTTATTATAACAAGCTCTATTAGAATATTATGAGAGCACTTTTGTTGCAGACAGACGTTAGATTTCTCCTAAACTCAGTCGTTCTAATACCTAATGTACAGGCCTCTACAGTATTTCGAAACATGTAGTCGAGATTAGATTTGACTTTTTTAAATACTGCAGAGAATAGTTCTTCTATCTAATTCATCTCCAATTACTGATACCGAGCCATATTAACTACTATATTTCTGTAATTTGCGAATAGCTAAAAAACTAAGACCCTTGTTGTTTACTCTAGAACGGACTCGCGCCTCTTACTTGCGCAGATATAACTTCATGTTCCCCTAAACGATCAGGGTGGTCATTCGAAGGCTTTTACCCAAAGCACATTTGCTTGCTCGGTTTTGCAAGAAGGGTCAACGACAAATGCGTTGTCCTCGACGATCGCACTGGCTGGATTCTTTGCGATCTCAAGGCTCTGCCTACTGAAGAACAGAAGAAGCTCGGCACCTTTTCCGACAGCGTCTACGTTCGGGTATGTAAGTGCAGTTGAGCACACAAAGTGTCTAAGCAATTGTATATGTAGTCCTACCGTATTGCCATAATAGTGTTTACGCTTGTTCGCCTATAGACTGGACGAGAAAACACGCACAAAGTGGGAACAGAAATAATCCATCTTATTCTAACAAATATTAAACATTTTTTCTATAGACTGTTACGGAAATAGAGGAAGACCTAGCCTTGTTTGGGTGAGTTCGCTAACAAAAACCTAGAAAATATGCACGTCATCAAAAAATCTGCTTAGTTTTTTTTTTTCAGCTAATTGAGTTTTCGATTCACTTCGTCTGTTTTCTATTTCGTGAGAATAATGATTTGAATTTGCGAAAAGATGCAGATATTTTTACCTCGCTTAGTCTTCAGATTTGCAAGATTGTTCAATGCTAAGGCCTATTTTACTCTGCGATGCCGGGAAATAATCCCGATGGATAAAAGAAAGTAAGCGCAGCACAGCAACGATTGGTATAGATAAATCAAATAACGGGAAGACTAGAACACTACAGTGGAACATACTTTTTAAACGGTTCAAAAGCTAATTTATGCAGACCCCACTTTATCTAGAACTGTAGGATTATCTATAAAAAATCAGAATCCCGTATACTCAAGCCTTAATTCGGGACTGATTTTAGTATGACATTAAGCCAAGACAGACAGGCATCGATACAGGTGGATCTGTGATTGTTCATTAATCACGCTCCGGCTCATTCTCCCGCCAGGTGCTCTGTTTCGCTAACCGCATGGAGTTCCGTGTGGGGCGCTGTTCTCCGCTCTTCCGACGCACTTCACCGTGCGACCGTATCTCGTTATTCTTGCCTAGCTGGTCATTAACTTCCAGCGCTTTAGATACTGTCTCCCAGGTACCTATACGTGTCCGTTTTTCCCTTGTGAGGCTACTACGTGCTTTGGCGCTTTTTTCTAATGCTTCTTCTTCAACCACTGTTACATTAAATCCAATAGAGAAAATTCAGTAAACGTTTAGGCCAAGTAGGCCCTGCTGTGGTTGGATTGAGCAGATTAGCAGGACAGTGTTAGGTATCGGCCGCTGTGTATATGTAATTAATGTAAAGTCCAAGAATGTAATTAATACATGCTTGACTGATCATGCACAGAACCGAGCGGGTTTCGTCAAGCCCGCTGGCGATAGCTATTCCGTCTCGATATTATTATCAGATAAATATATCAGATAAAAGTAAAAATAATCGCATTAATAATATTACTATTGCTAAATCATATTATAAGCGTAGAATTATATTATAAAACCTTATGCAAGTGCAATGTTGTCGGGATGCCTAACTTGGGCCGGTTTGGTAACTTGGTTTCTTTGCATTTTTTTTTTTCTGTCTTTCCAGATTTTTTCTGTCTCGCAAAGCTGTATGTTCACTGGCCATAGTGCTTTCCATTATTCCACTTATAGCTAAGAGTAGACCTAGGGCACTTAAAACCTGTTTTCCTTTTTTTTTCATTTGATGTTTGTGTTTATTACGTCAGCCCAGATTTTTTTAGGGAAGAATATCTTTTTGGGAAATCAGTACGTCTAATATCTTCTGGTATATTTGTACACACATATTTCGTGTGTGTAGAATGTGGTTGGAGGTGTAGACGATCGGTTCATGCCTTTGCTTGTAATGAGTGAACAAAAATTGTCAAGTCACTGTGCAGTAGACAGATCATTTATGCAAGAACACGAAGAGTCTATGCACCATTGTATCCAACTCATTAAATATCTCTATTAAATAGTCACCTAATAATTTCAGGTGTACGGCAGAATTGCTCGAAAGGTGGAAACGAATACTTTAGGCGGAACAGAAATGGGTGATTTTCTCGTTGAAACTCTTTGTTACCAAAAAGTTCTCAGTTTGAATGAAGTTAGCCAGCACGTGCTTTCGAGCACCTACGCCAAGTTGATCTATCTTACGGAAGAGAAAAGAACAACGCAAATGTTCGTAAAGGACAGACGACGACGCAGATCTTCGAATATTTCGATTGCCACCAGTGGAACAGCTGGCAATTTCACCGCTTTGAATCTTGACGTATGCGTTTTATATTTTAAACGAATTTAAAATAGCTTTGATATTTGAACGTTACAAGACAGTGGGTAAAAGATGAGGTTCGAGTCGATTAGTGGCGTGAACGAAACATAGATCAATCGAATAAGCACAAGGTTAGCCTTTGATGAGTCTTCCGTCGTATAGGGTGAGAATCCTATGGGGTCCAAGATCAAAAAGACCAATCAGTTATTCACCCACAACCCCTTCACATCTTTTTTTACCTGATACGTGAAACGTGCTTGATATATAGTATTTATCATTAATCCCTTATTTACACCTGAAACCCTATCCTTGAATGCGTGTTAGTCGTATTTATAAACTCCTCGAAAGAGTGCATTCCAGTAATGACAATAGACTCCAAGGTTTCTATCTAAAACGAAGAGTTAACTAAATGATTTGACCTAAGCGTTACAATTTGTTTTTTGCAGGAGCGCGTTCTTACGTACGCGCAAGGTTGCTCCAGCGAGCGTGGTCTTCCTCGCGCAAAATTGTACAGAGAATTACCTGAAAGCATCGAGCAGATTGACGCGGCAATTCAACGTCTTCAACGCAGAGAATTAGTTTTGCTAACTGATGATGGGTGCATTAGGGCCTTCTTTAGCGGCCTACCAGACCCTACATCCTAGCTGGATTTATTAATATCGGCTAAATCGAAATTACTAGAAACTATGCGAATGAGGCCTAGATGAAAATCCTTTTTTTTTTTCGACTGAGGTAGTAATTGTCTGGGTAGCGCAGGGATCCTCAATCGAGTTATGGCTGCGGGCATCTTAGCTGTTCCACCCATTAATCTATCAAACCGTATTGTAAAAATATCACTACTGCTCGTTAAATGAGTAAGACAACTTAGTACAACACTAAGTTTGTTGAATTTTATACAGTCATTATCGTCTTTTAGCAGTTTGCAGAAGCAGGCCTGAAGAAACAGTTCTCCTCACACTATAATACTGTTATGTAGTATGAAACACGACCCAATTGGTTTTCTGTTTATTTATAAAAAAATTAGGTCCGCATTAAGCAATTAATCGCTGGTGGGGCTTTCGCTTACCGCTAACGTTGAAAAATGGTCGGTGCCACGAGAGAAAAACCCTATTCGTATCTTCGTCAAAATGTAACCTAAAAAATATATTGCAGACAATAATTAAAGATACTTTAAGTTATCGGCGAGTTTGGTTCCACAGGGTAATATGAGCCAGTAATGATTGCATGCGAAGAAATCGTTTACACGACAAATGTAACAAGATAGAATAATTATAGCTACTGAAAACAGTGCTTTATAGTCATTTTCCGTGAACTTAGGCAGGCCAAAAATTATGATTTGTCAGCCGTGGCACCAATCCGTATGAGGCCTTATCGTGCAATGCAAAACTAAACCTTGTATGGCTCAAAAGTTCGCCTGGCATTTCGTTCAATAAGCGGAAAGGGTCAGTAGCAACGTGTGCACCGTTCTTCAAAGCCAACCTCGCCACGTTAAATCCTATACAGTTGTCTTGGTTACGCGTGACCCTGGTATAAATATTCATCTATAATATTTTAGGGTCTATAAACAGTTATAGACTTTATCCGCAAGGTGGTAAAAATAGTACTAAAAAAAGCTTATGCACTAACTTTGCGAAACCCGCTATGCCATCTGTTGCACTGCATAACCGTGCTTCTTGCACATGCCGTCGTGGCAAACCGGAACACGCGTATTGGAGCAGCAACAAACAGTGGCAAAAACATTAGAAACTAGGCGTATATATGATATAAAGTATCGAAAGTCCGGCCCTGTAGAAAGTATACATGCTTAAGTGCACAAACTCTACTTGTTCCTTTCTAAGGGAGCAACTAGCATTTGTACGGTAGTCAGTCATAGGAATAGATCTCAATTCTACCCTCGTTTTTCTTGAACTTCCTCCTCAGATTAGACTAAGATTCCGCCCATTGTCTCAAAATAGTCTGACATGACTCGAGTGAGACCTCTAACTTTTCTGCGGACTGTCTTAGGATGAGTCAGCAGTCCTTTAGCATGAATTGTTTTGTTTACGCTTTCTTCCGCATTCACCGTGATAGACCGTCCAGAACAGGGGTTGTCGTCAAAACTCTCCTGTCCCCCGTGAACGTGTTGGGACTCACAGCTAATTGTCCCTGAAAGTTTTTCGTAGTATCGGCAGCATTTGCTAGTATTTAACTTGGCTCTTAACACACAGTATACGCATTCGGTGCTTCATTTTTGCTTTGTATCAAAGCGACGCAAGGCTAAATATTATTTAATTAAAAACGCTTGCAAAATAAAATACGTTCAAATGCTCTAAAATTTGACCCGCGAAATAGCAGGTAGTCAATCAAGTTCGACGCCACTGGCCCGGCAATGAGTTGCTTTTGGACGACAGAAGCTAGACGTTTGATATGCTTCTTGACATATTTTTAACTTACATATTGAACTTGCTGTTGGGAAAAAGGTTTACCGCTTCTGTTTGTTTTGCGCGTCGGAGCAGTCCAAGCTGCGCCTGTTCATTCCGATCTTTAGCGCTGTCAGTTGTCTGTAGAATAACGGGTAGTCAGTATTCTTTCTCCAATGGTAGTCTAGCATTTGTAGTGTTGTACTTTAATAATATCTGTATATGTGGAAATATTGGATAATTCACGATAGATCGGAAATGTCTCTGATATTTCGCATGATAGAAGAAGTGGATGAGCTGAAGAGATAAACACGTTTTTTCCAGAAATACTATTATACCGGTGACGCCCTCAGACAGACACAGGTGAGAACGACGACAAGTAGTTAACATTCAAGACGGTACATTGCTTCAAATCTGTAAAGTGGCAGTGCTATACAGGATATAATAAAAATGACACCAACAATTTAAACTTTACTATGGCTAACGATAGCAAAATGTTACTGTTTTAGAGTAGCACTTAGTGGACAGACAATGTAAGTGGGTGATTGTACTGTTGCACTTATTATCTCTTATCTTCATTTTCGATTACCCAGCATTTCTCTTATTGTTTGTCTTAGTGTTTGTGCTTGTTCAGAAGCTGTACTGTACCTAACGGAGCCTAATGTTAGGACAACAGCCAACTGGAAACTCTAATTTGCGATGGATCTTTTAAATATAGTGTCGGTTTACAGTAATTTGTAGAAAACGGTCTGGGACTGCCCATTTCATGTCGCATCGTTTGTCGATCTGCTCTACAGGTTGACTATACCGTTTTTATTCTGAATAGTATTGCATATAGCCCGATTATGTCACCAAAGTTCAACCATATTGAACACGAAATTTCGAGCCCTACAGGTTTTGGAGGGCATTCTAGGTTGACTAGGAATCTAATGCACGAATAGACGATGCGGTGCTATCTGGTGTCAAACGGTTTTGTAGAGCTTTACAGATAATTTTGGAACTGTTTATGTTGATGTTTGGCAGGATGAACATTTTATCAGCTGTTCGACTGTACTTGTCCGGTATGGTGGATCAAGCTGGTGCTGGCATGAAAGTTCTTCTCATGGATCGCGACACAATCTCCTTCGTCAGTGTAGCTTTTGCTCAAAGCGATATGCATTCGAAGGAAGTTTATCTCTTCGAACGGATAAATAAACAGCGTTCAGATGGTAATTTCGACCAGATGCATAGCGATTACTTTGATAACGGTAGTTATATTGAATAAATTTGACCACCAAGAATGATCTTCTAGCACCCGCAACAAAAAAATTCCTATTTATTTAGATGTGGTCTTAGAACCACAGCACTTGAAAATTTTAAGTCTAGGTGCCATGCCCTCTATATTAACTTGATAATAAGCGTAAACCTGTCCCGTTTGCAACATACACGTTTTGCCACAAATCAGAGTATATCGCTATATCGCCTGCATATAAGGATTTTTCAGATTCAAGACTAAGAATCTCAAGAAGATAACGAGAGGTTCCAGTTTGGATAGAAAAAGCCCGCTTTCACAATGTAAGAATCGGCAGCAATCAGCCGTGTAACCTCAGTCTCCTCATTCCGAGATTTTGCAAACTTACTTTTCAACCATATGATGACATTTTTTTTTTGTTCAATTTTAATATTCTCAATGTTCCCGTAGTAGCAAAAAAAAAATACTCAACCTATTTCAAATAAGCAAAAAAACTATTACAAGAAAAGAATTGCTGAACGAAAAATTCCCCAAAGCCGTGTAATATAACAACAACATTCTTTTTCTGGCATTTTCATCTGATTTCTTTTACAGAGGTGATGAAGTACCTAAAATGCATCGTCTTCGTTCGACCAACGGAAGCCAATGTGAAGCTTTTGATTCAAGAGCTACGGGCTCCTCGCTACGGCGAGTATTACTTACATTTTTCCAACTCTATTCCTCGTACTGACATTAAGAAGATAGCTGATGCCGATGATTTCGAAGTGGTCAAAGAAGTACAGGAATGCTATGGTGACTTAATCCCATTAGCGCCTCATCTATTCTCGCTGAATCTTGAGCGTTGTCTTGAGGGAATGTGCTGGTACCCTCCAGCATTGAAGCGTTGTGCAGATGGTTTAATTGGATCTTTTCTCTCGCTCCGGAAGTGTCCTGTTATTCGTTATCAAGCAAGTTCTGACATTGCCAAAAGGTTAGCCGATGTCGTTAATCAGGAAATGATGCGTGAAAGCAAGCTATTTGAAGTCCCCAGAAGTGACATCAGCCCACTGCTCATTATCGTTGATCGACGTATCGATCTGGTGTCAACGATGCTTAACCAATGGACCTATCAGGCCATGGTGCATGAGCTTCTTGGTATAAAGAATAACCGAGTCAATCTCTCGCACCTGGAAAATGTTGCCAAAGAGTTGCATGATGTTGTGTTGTCGGCTGAACAGGATGATTTCTATATGAAAAATCAATATCTCAATTTTGGCGAGATTGGAACTAATATTAAGTTACTAGTTGAAGAATATCAACAAAAATCCGAGTTAAGAAAGGGGAACCTTGAGTCGATTCAAGATATCAAACAGTTTGTTGAGAACTATCCTCAATTTCGTAAGATACAAGGCATGGTAGCTAAGCATGTGGCAATCGTTGGAGAACTGTCTCGCCTTGTGGGAGCCCACAGCTTATTGGAAGTGAGCGAGGTAGAACAAGAGATGGCTTCTCAAGGGGATCACCAATTCATATACGAGCGCATACGGCAACTGGTTGGGTCAACCAGAGTGAGAGATATTGACGCGTTGCGTCTAGTATGCCTTTATGCGGTGACATTTGATAAGCAGCCTCGTTCGGACTTACCAAGCCTGCTGCGAATGCTCGAGCACCGCGGTATCGATCGGGAACAGCAGGAAGTCGTACAGATGCTACTAGACCAGCATCGTCGCTGTAGCACTGCAAGCCTTGGAACAAACGAATTTACCACAGAAAATGTGCGTGCGTTTACACGAAAAATGATCAAGGGTCTTAAAGGTGTAGAAAATATCTACACTCAGCATTCACCTATGATTAAGGAATTGCTCACAGATGTCATACGCGGACGGTTACGAGATGCTGCGTACCCCGTTGTCGGAGGCGGACCCTCAACAGTAGCTCGACACCAAGATATCATCCTGTTCATTGTTGGTGGTGTCACCTACGAAGAATCTCTTGTATCGTGCCAGATCATGCAGCAGTTTCCTGGCGTTCGAGTTCTTCTGGGCGGTAGTAATATTCATAACTTCAGCAGTTTTATTAATGAGCTTAAATTATCACAGCGGAAAAAAAGCAATAACCCATTTGATTCGAGTATTGGCGAAAGTAACTGGAATCGACGGTAGATTGGCCACAACTACGAGGCCGTAATTATTTCAAATAGGAACGGTCTCGTTCAGTTTAACTAAAGGCACAGCAAGCAATTCTCTAAATTCGTACCTTCAGTAAGCCAAAAGTGTAATATGACTGACAACAGTCATGAAGACACCTGCATTAAATAAAATAGACGAACAACTGAGCGATGTTTGAGAATATCATTCCCCTATAGTGCATGGACGTGATACTACCTGTCCGATCTAAAGGATCTTAATCGGAGCTCTAATAAATGCCGTTAATTACAAACGCTCGCCTTAAATCACTTAATCAAACACTTGTCGTTTTTAATAATCAACGAATATTTTATTGCATTTATAGATGATTATTAGATCGTACAGGTGAACACATGTCTACCTAAGCTATTTATTCTTATGTACAACACAGGAACTCGAGTTGGATACAACAACCGTTATCGTTGTGGGTACTGTTGTTGCTTCTGTCGTTGTTTTTGTTGTCATTATTGTCATTGTTTTTGCTGCTGCTATTGTGCCATAGTTTTCACTGATATCAGCGAAGCTATATTGCCATTTGTTCTCTGTCACGCTCTCTTAATTCGATTTGGCGCTTAGTATAGCAACCTTTTCAACAAATCCTGATTTATAATTGTGTCCATTCGATCATGTGATCTCGTATCTTGAATTGCTTCGAAGTACCGCGTTGCAGCACCCCACCGAAATGTTATCGTTCATACATTGAAATAGGTATTGGGCTAACCTTAGGGATCTTTGGCAAAAACGTGCAAAGAGCAAGATGGGCCTAATGTGAACATATATAGTGGGCTTCTACGATTCGTTTAATAACAGAAATTGTACTTTCAATAACCTTCGCTTTGCCCTTCTTGGTGCTTCTACAAAGCGAAAAGAACATATATAAAGCGTTTTTAATGTCGCCAGTCAACCTAGAATAATGGCGGCCTCCCAAGAAAGCGCTATTCATGATTTCCCCTATTGATATATTTCATTACAATTATTTCCAAGTACGCACGCACAGAACCTTTCTGCCAATTCAACGACGTTCATAGCTGTTAATCATCATTTTAAATTCTCTATCGCTGTTTCTTGATTAAATCTCAAACGATTGGTATTCAGTCAATAAGTACTCGACCGCAGCCTACGTGTCTACACATATATATATATATATATATATATGTATATATAGAGAGAAAGAGAAGTCCTGATATCCGTTGCGACGGGAGATATCAAATTCTCGCAATGAAGAACGGATCAAGTCATTTATAACAAAGATGCCCTAATAACCCCATGTTTGTAAAAGATCAGAGAAGATAACTGGTTACTCCGCGATAAACACAGCAACATTTGCGGTTTGCGACGATGGAACGCTATTTAAAACGGTGTTTAATTTTCATAAAAAGTTCCTATCGGAAATAAATATTGATTATGGTGGCACTCTGCAAGCATCGTGCAGAATATGGATGAAAGTTGTCGCTGATAAAGGGAAATTCAAAGTGATCCTTCAAAAAATTCGAGAAGACTGCTTCACTCGCAGATAACGTCAGGTTACGAATCGGGCGAACGGGTTAAAACATCGATTCAGGGGTGCGAAGCAATGCCGATGTCGATCCGACGAGCCGAAGAGAATGTCGGAATGGAGCGGTATCTTTTCTTGCATGGATCTGTTTATCTTCTTCATGTGTCGAAGTAAAATGTTTGTTCTTCCTATGGCGTGTGTTTAATTGGGAGATCGAACTTTTCTCTGTATAATTCTGCACAGTTGTCGTGGCTGGTCGAAGGAATATTGTCACTATGATTCTTGACTAAGTGTACAGGCCGCGATCACATACATTCTAGAACAGAAAATATAATTGTAGTAATGTTAACCGTATTAATTATATTGCTACTGTTATCATAGCATTTACGTTTCAGCAGTACTGTTTATGCGAAGGCGACCGGGTTTGCTTGCCTATAGAGTTGTGAATTCGGTCAGCTGTGTTTCTTAGGTATCCCTGCATTTTATCCATTAGTCTTAATCGAAAATATTCATAGGAAAGAGTGGCTTATATAGCACAGCAAGACATTCTGAGAAACATCGACCAACGAAGTCCAGTCAAGCTGTTATACATATCTGTTCTGTTTAGCCAAAAAGATAGCCTAACGATACGATCCCAAATGGATATGCATTACAGTTTCCATTCTAAAACAGTTTTCCTACAGTAATAAACCATCATCAGGAACGTTTCTCAAATTTCTTTCCTGTGGGAAGACATGCGCTTATGTGCCCATGCGTGATAGCTAACTTGTCCTACTACACATAGTAATTATACAGCTTAACACGCTTATATTAATTAAATAGTCATAGGGTTATTTTTAATGCAGTGTGCGGTGTGATGCGTAAAATAAAACAGTGCCAGTTGCTGCAAAAGGACTTAATTATCTGGCACAAAATCACCCAGTGTGGCAAAGTAACTCCGCGTGGTAATGATGGTAACGGTATGATTAGTCGAGACATGGGTTTTCCCCTGTTTTTTTTTCTTTTACTGTTTTGCATTTTCACAAAATTGCGTTGCGTATTATCGATCTGTGATTCTTGGCATTACGGCGACTACAGGTTTCAGCCTTGGCGCAATCAACTTACCCACCAATGCCCAGAAAATACGAAAACAACGTACCATTTATCAATGGCATACAATTTATGTTACGTAGCCATCATCATACAACTTATATATTTTCATTCCCCCTAAATCATAGTCTTTATCTGAAAGCTGCTACTGACTAGTGCAGAGACAAATGCGAACGCCGCCATCCGTTCGTATATGGCAACTTGTCAAGTCCGTCGTTGTCAGGACTTGATCGGGTACCAGATGTCGCTGTTATAGAGAACAGTATTTGATGTACATGAAGTCCGTTATGACAATGACAATTTAAATAGATCTAGCCGCTCACTCTATGTTTATGTTTATATGATGATTATTTTTTGTTCGGCGTTCGCCTCTAAAGCAGCTGTACGGTTAACCGACTGACCGGTGAATTTATGTGGTAGGTGTATTTTACCGTGCCTACATATCATACTTTTGTGCATATATGTATCGTAGAAAATCTGTTCAATGAGGAGTCCTCCAGAATTTCATATTTGATGATGATGATGATCTTTAATGATATTTACACGTAGGTTTACGTGTGTATTTAGACCTGTGTGTATATCTGAGTGTACGTGTGAGCTTATCTCTGGTAAAGAATGAGCAATTATTAGCAAAATCCTTTTGTGTTCTTCTTCACTTTTACCTTATGTCATTATTATTACTTCTTTATTATCTAGCGGCTTTTGTGGGACGCTACATGGTTATGTGAAATTTGTCAGCATACGTATATTGGGTCACGTGCTCATTACAGATTTACCAATTCTTTTTCAATAAATAAATAAATTTTCAATTATTATCTCATTTAATCAGTATGATAGATATATCTGCTTCATTATTTGCGGTACTAGTGCTGTGATTCTAATCTCGTCATCGTCGTTCTACCGCGAGACGTCTGGAGCGCCAGTTCGATCGGTCATCGAATACATTAAGATGATCCTTGTTTTTCTCATCGACGAAACAAGTCATTGGAATGTTACGAATTTTGTGTAACAGTCGTAACTGTTATCGTCATTATCGATAACGTTATCACACGCATCAGCACTATCATCATTCATACTTCGTTATTATGGTGTCAAATTAACTAATGCCCTGTAGGAAGGGCTGCTCACAGTTGTTTTGGGAGACATTCTTTTTTAATCTCCCCATTGGACGGGGGGTAAGATTTTGTCATTGATCCGACACTCAATTCGTTTTAACATTTCTAGTCACTCAATCTCTACTTGCAATGACATCAACAATAACAGCAACAACAACAACAACAGCAGAAGTTAAATGTTCCATGACCGGCACCAGTGACGAGTATGTACCCTGCCCATGAGCGACAGCCACGAACATGAATTCAGATCATGTTTTATTATCAATTCCCTGAAACATCTGTTCCGCTGTCGATTTTGCCTCATAAATTCGCCATGCATATCTGTCCCATTTATAATCTGTATCTCTCACAAATCAGACGTGACATATTGTACCGCCCTATGAATGCGTACATGTAGTTATAGTTTCAGGGTACTGAGCTATGACTCATTGGCAAGCCACACCGCTGGAACCCACTGGGGCTCCCTTTCGAGTGTAGCAATGTCCTTAAGGAGTTCTTGGTACGCCTTTTCGGTGTCGCTGTTGATCAATACCATATCAAAATAGTTTCCATACCTGTAACATAAACGTGTGAACTTTTTATAGGAATAGTTTAACAGATATGATGACAAAAATAACTTCCGATAAGTTAGAGACTGTGCAACGTTGATACGAAAGGTAGTGGTGTTTTTACCAGATGGGACATACGGATTCTATTCATTCTGAACATTTTACGCTGAAGCTGGTGGTAGTTTTCCTTAATGACAAAGTGACATTAGTAAATATACTCACCGGTCTTCAATTTCGCGCGCGCGTTCAACGATCTCCTTCAGCTCTTCGATCTTGACGCTGGCGCCCACCTTTGCGCGATTTTGGCGCAACTTTTCCAAAGAAGGTGGGGCTACAAATACTACATAAGGCTTCAAGTCTGACTTCTTCAGGATCTGCAATTAAGAATCGATAACTGATTTCGTTTGTCAACTTTAGTCAGTTTAGAGCAACTACGCTTACGCGACGAAAAATGAAAATTAGTACTTTTTTGACGGAATATGCATTAGCATACATAGTTAGGCTACAAACACATTTGAAAAGCGTCTACGTGATGAAAATCTGGACGCCTTTATTTGTTGAAGCCTAGCCTAAATTCGCTTCGATTCGTGCTGAAGATTGTGTTGGAAATATGTATAGTTTAAACGGATATATTTAGAGCACGTATATTTGCACCTTTTAGTTGCCACTGCATGCGTGATTTTGATTCCAGATGATCTATAAGTGAAAGAAGCGAGAAGCCAACCAACCTTAAGCGACTCTGGATGTAGGTTGAGCACGCAGATCTTTCCTGCATTAACAACGCTTGATATCGCCTGTAGACTAGTGCCATACAAATGCTTTTCATATTCACCGTGCTCCACAAAGCGACCTGCAGCAATGTCTGCTTCAAACTGAGATCTACTAGTGAAATTGTAATCCACTCCGTTGGCCTCATTGTCCTTCTTTGGCCTACTTGTGTCTGTTGCGACGATATTGAAAATATGTTAAGAATGTTCACACATAAAAAATTACATATATTCAATATATCCGTTACTTTTCTGCACAAGAAAGAGTTATGAACATATTAGGATACACATGAAGGCGAGTAAGTGCAGAGAAACGTTCTGAAGACAAAAAACAAATCAAAGATAACTGTAATATCTGTTTCTCAATTTCCAAATTATATTAATGATAGGAGAGGGCGCTTTTATTATTTAGGCGAAACAATTAGGCGAACTAAGTAGCGCTGCAAAACATCGATTTCGCAAATTTTGACGAAGACCTGTGTACTATAGTATACACAGCCTTTCCTTTGAACACAGACATGTCCTCCTAGTTCTGTTGTCTCACTGCTTTTTCTGCTCATTTTCCCGTCTTCTGAAGCTATATGGAACACACCACTTATTTTTTTTCTTGAAAATTAGTGGATCAAATGAAGTAAATGGGTTCTAAAAAAACACTGATTTTGGCTTGCTTTTTCAACGGTTATCGCAGTAATCTTTCATACAGTACTATTCTTCTTCTTTAGGGAGTGATATGCAATGATGAGATCATAGCGAAGCGCGCGAGGTCGTAGAGCAAGTTATTAAGACTCGTTCTTAGTTGGTAATTACTATTGAAGCCTTGACTATACTCACGTGGAACAGCCGCAGCAAAACGATCTGTGTCTTCCATGAGCCTTTGACGTAATTCGTGCCTACCGACGTTCGAAGGACCGATCAGGACGATTGGCCGCTTCTTATTGGCTTTCGGATAGTAAAGCGCAACCTCTTCATATGTTACCATCTGTAATAAAGACACAATGTACCGTACTTGAAGTAAAGCATAATAACTACTGTCCATATATATAAACAGTCAACTTTTAATGTGCCTTTTAAACGAGAAAGCGAACACCTCTAGTCCGTGGGCAACTTATGACATCTTTATCTAAGCTGTCCCAACCGTAATTGGATTAACCTTCATTATTACTGAATAATACTACAAAGCGGATCCAACTTGTCCTCGACCTTATTGCAAACTTAAAGTCGTATACGTACTAGACAGGACTATAGACTGCGTCATATGTACTCGATTTCTATGATCACTAATATGTTACTTTCTATCATAACTTCTCTGTGCATATCTATGATACATAATAGACGGAACAGTCTGTTTCCACAGTGTGGAAACAGATTGTTCCGTCTATTATGACCAGTGACGTAAAAATAGGGTGTTGCATACGAAGGCACAAGGAAAAATTGTCTGACAATTACTGATGGATATCGAGGGTTTACGAACTGAAATAAAAACAGTGATATGTAGAAAGTATATGTTGATTTAATATTGTCGTTAAGATGCAGTCTTCAACGGAATAAGGCGTGAAAAAGGCCGTCATCAAGGGAACGGACCACTTTCTGATTCTGCTTATAAATTGGGGCACAGATTCTGGGAAAGGGTTAGAAGATTGACAAAGGCGATTGTCGTTAGAATAATGGTAACTGACAATACAAGAAGTTGCTTATTTTCCTATATACATTTGTGAACTTCTTTGACACCTCTAGGAGTTTAGGTTGGGAGCGCTCACCTCTGGGTCGACCTCCTCCTTTTCAGGGGATTGAATAGGTTGCTGTAACCTCGGAGATTTGTCCTTTGATTTCTTTTTATTCTTGACGTTTTTGTTTTTGGCACTTGTTGCGCATAGCAAGCGAGTTTTCTTGGGAGCCGGCGTTGAAATGCTTTTTTCATTTTCAACAATGGTCTGCTTGAGAGCTTCGCGCTGTTGCTGGAAGCTTTTGGACGGGATAAGTCCGGCAAGACTTTGTTCATCGTCCCCGTCCCGGTACGCCTGCCACCAATTTGAATCCTGCCGATTGATGACATGTAGTATATCGCCTTTCTGGAAGCAGATACCCAACTCGCGACACGGGATATACATGTCCTCTTCCGGATCATAGTCAAAGTGCGCTTTCAAATGGATGACAGGCGCTTGAACCGCCTTAGTCGAATCATCAGCGTATTGTCGACTTGGAATAATGAGGAATTGAAGCGTACCAGTCATATTGGCTAGAATATCGCATACAGTGTTCACTGTCTGTCCTCGCATGGCGATGCCATTCACCGAAAGGATCTCATCGCCTTCGTGTAGAACTCCACTCTTCTCAGCTGCACCACCTTTGACGATCCGGCCTATGATTACGCTGTCAGCTTCGTTACGAACGGTTGCGCCTAGAGGTTCAGTGGTCTTGTCAATGCTCACTGTCTGTACACGATCGAGTATGTCTTCGGGGAGTTGATCTAGCGGGGCTACCAGCGTCAGTGTGTCTATAACGGTGGGATCAATAGACATCGGCCCGACATTGCCTATACGAGCGGCCTGCCCCGCCAACGGCTGGTAGAACACTTGGTCTTCCGATAATGCAAGGTACTCATCTCTTGACATCTGTGGCATGAACACCGCAATTAGTTCGCTCATTGCTTAAACATTGCAATATTATATAGCATGTTACAACATTACAGTGCTATATATTCTACTTCGGTATTGGATCAATTGCAGGTGATTAAATGTGTCTATGAAAGGACTTGCATGTTTGCAAGAAAGCGTGTGTTGTTTTTAGGAGTTTCTTCTACTTTGAAAAACTCTTATCTCAACTGGAATTTGTACCTTTGTGTTTATTTAATTTCAAGACCCTCTTGTAGGACAAACATGCGCAAACGCCAAATACGAAAAACGATCAACTACAAATTTAAAAAAAAAATTAATAACGTAATCGGCCTAAGATCGGAATGCTTCATATATAAGCATGTTAGTTCAGAATCTCATCTTCAGGGCTTATCTCCTAGGGGACCCACACTTTGTCTGCGTGTGCCCAGTACTAGTGATCGAACGAACCATTCTAAATCCTCCCTCTGCTGCGTGATTTATCGTCACCCTTACCGAGAGATGCTGCGGCAGTTGCTGTTGTGGTAACGGCTGAGATGGGAGATGTGTTGTCACAACATTATGTGGACTCGCATCAAGAACGGGTAAAACGGGCTCAAAAACGCCACAGAGGGTGGCAATTTCATCGTGGCTTTGCAGCAGCCCGTCCAGCTCGAAACGGCCTAAAATAGCCAGGAGTTCGTTCGCTTCGGAAACAAGTAGACCTGGTAGGTTTTGCACCAACAGCGCTACTTCACCGCTTAACTCCTGCGCATCGCACCTGTCAAATAGACATTCATAATAACGCAACGCCAGATACAGCTACTCCAACTTTCACGTTATTTCTTTATTTATTATTAAATCATACGAACGCCCTACTATATACGTGTATATAGAATAGTAAAACGGATTAAGTTTGCATATCTATGTACCTTGTTGTTGTAAAAAAACTTGACAGCTGGCAACCGGTCGGCCAGAGAATACATATTCATAGCTGATCAAAACAGAAATAGGTTTTTTGTAACAACATACGTTTTCTGCGTTCGTGTCATTCGAGCACGCGACTAAGTGGGATATCTTCATCCCGGATCTGGATTTTTCTAATATCTCCTAGAGTAACGGTGCCACGCTACTGTCATGATTTACGTAATCAATAAGTATACTTCGCCACTCGTTTTTTGGTGTTCCACTTATGCTCGAACTTAAGCAGCAGCAGCAGTTTTAGGTTTCTCATGCCGGAACGACTTACGCGAAGGGGGCGTTGTGTCAGGAACCCCTTTTGTCGGTCGAGTTGCCGTTTTTCGAAACTCGGATACGGGAAGGCCAAGCGATTGGACTAACTGTAATTGTGAAAGCTCATCGGCTAATTCGATTTCAAGTCCATAATGCAAAGCATAATAACGTCGAACGTAGCAGAGTTGCATCCGAGACGGTAGCTATGTTACTATGTGGCTCATCCGGTTCACCAGCCCTTTCGCTTGGTGGCAAGCTACAGCAATCTTCGCATGACGAGTGTTAGAGCGCGCCAGATGCTGATCGATAGACTAACGCCGAAGATAGCTCGCGCTGTCTGTGAAGACAGCCTTTGCGGAAGCGTGGGGTTGCTGAAGGGCAGCCACTGCTTCTTGCATACCCCGGGCTATCATTATGCTAAACATACTCATGAAAGATGATTGAAGGATTTTGTGTACCTAGACCCATTGTCTTGGTTAGGCCGACCGTGATTATATTCAGGGGCCACAAGTTGATTTCTCCTGGCAATAATCGAATCAAAAACGACCCGACGAGCACAAGTATTTACCACTCTGTTTATCGGTCAAGACAAAATTGGAACTTCACGAAGGAGCCTCCCGAGAACGTCGTAATCTAAATTGTTGCCTACAGGGAACATTGCTACTTGAATTGCATCGGCCGTCAATTTTACTCAGCCACGATCGTCAGAGGCTGCTGCTGGCCCCAATGAGTTTAACGGCCCGCGCGGCAACCCAAACCCGAGGTCACATGTCGGTGTGCTTAACACTTGATGCGACACTCATTTCAGCGTAGGTTCGGTTCAACCCCGTACCTGATTCAAAATTCCGACGGGGCATTCATTTGGATGAATTGGACGGCTAAAGGAGCCACCTGGCAAGGCCTGACACCCGACGGTTACATGTGTTGGCAAAGAATTTGGAGGTGCTCCCATGCTCTGTAGCGGTAACATGACGTCGGTGCATCGACGCGTAGAACTGATCCGGTCAGACCCGTACACTAGACTGATCCCGTTTGTTATTTTCTGGTGTATGGCATCTAGTCGTTTGCATCCAGATGCCATGCAAAGTCGGATTCGTTATAAAATTTGCGAAGAGAGTAAGTTTTGCTATCTTCTTAATGTCAGATCAAAAAACACTGACGTTATAATCGAGCTCCGATTTGTGCAGGATCCGTTTGATCTTAATGAAGTCCTCAAAGGGCTTCTTTTGCTCTCATATGTTCAAAGAACCCCCGACCGAGGAGACTAAGCTTGTCCAGCAAAAAGCGTTAGTTTAGTTTTGATTTAAAAATATCCCAATTGTCCATTCCGGTCATTATTTTTAGACTGTACCGCGCCAGAGCAGGACAGGGTCCGTACTGCCATATCAGTGACTCGGTCCTGAAGCCACTGTTGTCCCGCTGGCAGACGCACGATTTATTCTAGCTACCGTCGTGGAAGGCTTCTGCTTCTCCGGCCTACTGCAGACTCTTTAAAGCGAGAACTATATCCCTAGACCGACGTTGCAATTTCTCCAAGAAGCGGCAAGTCATCTAGATATTTCATTCTCTCGTCCTTCGCGATTCCTCCAAGCTACTACCACAAATCCTACGAAGCGACGATGCTTCATTGCTGGGGACTAGCTAAAGGGTACCACATGCTCACAACGTATCTCAATAATGATGAAAAATTACGTTTGGGAATACCTATTTGTAGGTTTAAAACACCACCCTAATGATCTGCAATCTGATTTACTACCATGTAATAACCATTCGCGCTAAACCTGGTTTGTACTTGCTTAATATGTCTTTACAGCTGGGGAAGAAACTGCATAGAAAGTGTATAATGCATATCACAACCGTAGCATACGGGTGAACGCCGGGAATTTCCCTTACTTAGCTTTACTAATCAAAAGGCAATTTCGGTAAGTATCAAAGGGGAAGAAAGTTATACTGGAGGCCATTTGATTTTAACAAGTGGATTATTTAATTCGTAAATCTTTTCCAAGTCCCTTGGAGTTGACCTTTTCATAGCTGGGCGTAAATAGCTATAAATTCTAAAGGCGTTGTTAATTACACCATACAACAAGCTTTAGTAATTTCTGTATTGCCAACGGTGTCTATTTTAATGATGGGTACACTTGCGGGGTAAGATCTTCAAAAGCAGTGTAGGCTTTGGTGCATAGTTGCTTTAGGAAATGTGTATTGGCGATACAAGGTAGCTAACCTTAGTGGAATCGGGGGCGGTTTCTGCGAGCACCAAATATTCCTGACCAGAGTAGCGATGCGCAAACAGTGGGCGAATTGTTCATCTCGTACAAATTGCGTAATCCTGGTCAACTCGCGGCTATCTGCTGCAGTTATACCTAATTCAGAGGCAGTCAGGGCTTCTACTCGAAGCGCGGCCTCCGCTAACATTTCGCCATCTAGGAAAAGAGCAATAACACAATAAACACAAATTAAGTCAATTACTTTTATAGATACTCGAACACAACGTATATATAAAGGAGAAGCAACAATACGAGTTGATATCTATAAAGCATCATACTTTTCGTAAGCAAAACCCATAAGTTATTTCCGATCAGTGTATAATTAGTGAACGTCTACTAATAATTGTTTCAGTTAAATTAATAAGGCCTTAATTATTTTCATCTGTTTGGCCTGTAAAGAAAGGCACTTGATAAACGACGTTAATTTCATTTTTTGTCAATTCATCTTTGTTTGTCAAATATTTTCTACGTTTACTTTTTTTTATCAATATAAAAACGTTACCAATTTGAAAACACCGACCACGAAGTACAGTCAGTGAACAACCTGCAGAATTTACGTTCGAACAGGGTAACTACACCGAAAGTCGGCACTACTGAATACACTAAAAAGGGTGGAATGCTTAATTCAGACCTAAGATAAACAATTCTGAAGAAGTGAAATTTCTGCATAACTTTGCTATTTTGTAACGTTGAAGGCACACATCCTGTCTACGCCCATGACAATGCATGTTGATTGTGGCTAAAATGGGTTCATTGCTGGACCAAGGATAGCTTTTTAGCTTTCATCCTAAAATTTTTCATGGCGACCATGCTGCTTGTACTTGTCGAACAGTTAGTTGGTGAAGTTATTGCAGGAATTGAGCCAAAGCGACAAGCAAGGGGCCACGGTATCGCCAAGAAACTAAGGGTACTTAATCAAACAGTTTAAAGCTATTTGGAGGAAGTTGACTAAGAAAAGAAGCATCATGTTTGGGTGCCGCATAAATTAATACAAAAGAAGTAACTTTATTGTACTTCCATCCGCAAACCATGCAGAAACGCAACAAAATCGAACCATTTGAAAAGTGGTTGGTCAAAAGTGGATTACGCAAAATAGTACCGAGCAAAGGAGAAGCATTTGATCCACAATCTGTAACACGTTCGGGTTGACACCAAGGAAAACGACGCTATATGCTTAGCGGTATTGAAAAGAGATGATGGATTATGAGTAGCTTCCGCCTGGTTATAGCTAACTAGGTTATAGCAAGCCATTGCAGGAAATCGAGCGGAACTAGTGAACAAAAGCATCCGGAACGAATTTACGGGACTTCGAGGAGGATTTTGAATGTATTTACCCTATGGTTTGGACCTTACATCATCAGACTGTCTGTGTAAAAATTTTTTAAATACTGAGATTTGATGCAAAAATCAATTGTCAGAATTTTTTGCCCAGACACCACAATATTGCTACGGTGACCGGAATACAGTGTTACCGGAAAATTGGCAAAGGTCATCGATTAAAATAGCATATATTCAGTTTAGTAACACTGTTTCACAATATAGGAAATATTTGTTTTAATTTCGTAAAACCCGTCAATACTTTAAACCCGTCATGGTCGAGTAAAAGGCTTCCCTTTGCCACCTCTAACATACCGTCCAACGGTGTTTTTTTTGCTTCATCAGCGCGCTACAGCTACAATATGTTGATAATGTAACTTGAACCCGAAAGAACTACTGAACGATGGGCGTTTCAGGAGGAAAAAGCGCATTCTGTATAGGCTAAAACGCTGTCAACAGCCTGAGATATTCTCTTTGTGAACGCTGTCGCTAAAAGGACTGCTTAATAGGGGCTTGCCAAGAACCAGGGCTTTTAATGAACCATCTGAATCCGACAAGGAATTACAGCTTAACAATGCATCTCAACATTTTGCCAGGTATTGAGGGGCATATGACCACAACGACATATTTGTGGACAGGACCGTCACCGGCAACGAGGAGTATTCTTTTCATACGAACAAACCAGAGACGGAAATGGGTGGCTCCAGGAGCCAAAGTCCAATCTCCAACCACATCTTTGCTTACAAAAAAAAACTCGCTGGGTATTGCTTCCATCTATACGTATTTGGCCCACTTGCGTCGAGTCAACAAGGTTATTTAAAAGAAAAGACCTGACAAACGAGGCTATTTTATGTCATATCAATGCCTGGCCACACACGGTCAACACCGTTAGGGCTGCGCTCTTGGACATCGAATGGGAAAGTTCATTCCATTCTCCGTATTCTCCGAATCTCACGCCGAAAATTTTACTTTTTTCGTTCACCCGCTACTTTCTGGGATATATCATTTGGTACAAATATAGGAGAGAAGGTCGCAAACAATGACACGGGATAGATAAAATAATAACTTACCGTCACAGGGATAACAATATGGCATTCTCTGAGAACTTGAAAAAACGTGAAAATAAAAAAGCTAGACTGGGCCTAAATTGATGTGTTAACCGCTGACATTACCTAAAGCCCGGGAGCTGAGCCAAATGAGAGCGTAATGGTGATCTAATGATACAGCAATTGAATTTGTCGGGGCAACATGGATGATTATATGAAACACCATATTAGCGTTCACAAGTTCCTGCAGTCGCCACCTCTGTGCAGGTCAATAAATTCTAAGTTTTACGCTAAGTTATTGCAAAGACTTCTTTTTGCCATATTGGTTTGGTCAATTAAGCAAACACATTTGTGGTTAATATATTAACTAATAACACTAATATATGTATAACAAGAAAAATGGCAGTTACTGTTACGATCAAGATCGTATAAATAACGGGCTTCTAGCCGCCTTAGCCGTTAGCCTATATATTGCCAAGACCCTATTAATAACCTAATCTTTCACAATTCGTTGCCGGCGGATAGCCCCGGCACCCGATCAAACCCGTGGCATCGAATACGAAGCCCGGAGACCGACCGTTTGTCTAAAACGCAAGTCGCCGTAAGGGGCACGCTACACTCTGAACCACCGGTCAGATCACTGTCAGCGTCAGGTCGCGCGGTCCGCCGAAGCCGAAGCAAGGCAAGAAAGGGACGCTTAGTTGCTGAATATTAGTGTAGAGCAAAGTAAGCTTGATCGATTCGGGTCGTAAAGATACTGGAAACAGAAAATACAGGGGATGTTCTATGGCGAAACTGCGCGAGAAACACGCAAATGCTGCGCAGAACATGGTTGGTAGTGATGACAAAGTGTAGCGGTCAAGAATGTAATGCCTTTTTTTATAAATTTGTAACAAAATATCTCCAGTATCACCGCTTATCAGGTGTCTTGGTGATGTCACACATGTCTCCTGAAATGGGCCCTGAGCGTTCGTTATTAAGAACTAAACGTTATACTATTGATTCAGTTTTAGAACACCTATCTGTTCTTAAAAGTTCGACAGCATTGCTCTCGCTACCGTGCTAAACAGCTCTATCACCGACTCAGGAAGCTGGGGCAGTCATGGCCGATGTCGTTTCTGAATGGAGATTGAGCATGATCCACTGTTTGTATGTGTAAATGTATGTAATATACAGTTTAATTTCGATCATGCAAAATTCCGACATTTGGCTATTAATTTTCGGGTGGCACTAGCGCTTGCATTTATTGCACCTTGCGTCATCATTATAAGTTATAGAACGTCTACTTGAAGGCTGATCAGTAAGATATAGGGAAGGGCCTTTCGAAATTAACGCTGCGTTCTCTCTTGTCGCAGAAAACATCTCAATAATTATTTAAATTGTTAAAGAGCTCTCCAAAGGCATCATGTTTTGCGAAGGAATCATAAACATTTTGTGTATGTGATACATTTAACTTTAAGAGATTCCAGGGATAATGTCTTAACTTCGGTTACCGTTGCATATTTTTAATACATGCTCAAGGACGAATCCAAACACGACCGCTGGCCGTAAAGTGTTATTTTACAATTATCGTTTTGATATAGAAAATTACGCGTATGAAAAAGTGAAAACTGTTTTTTGGCGCAAACTAAAGCTAAATGTTGGTAGATATTTAAATAGATAATTAGTATAGGTGCCCTGCACACGAAGAAGCCGCACTCTTTGCTACATCACGAGCTTATTTTAGTATCAGAAATAGCACTCACTTCCTTAAATGAGCTCATAACATTTCAAGGCTTTGAATATATCCAGAGGTAAAGTTGTTCTTGCTATTGTAAGCCGATCTCTGTGTGGGGCTGTATATTCTGTGACGCAACTAAAGTGAACACAGACGTAAAATAAAACTTCTAGCGTGTTGGGGCAATTACAATTGTATATAATGTAGATAGACCACCTCTCTAGCTAGCCTGCAAGCTAAGTAACAGTCTGTGACTGCCGCAAACGGTAAAGGTTTTTTGTTTACCCTCTGCTCCACTCAAGTGGCAACGATTTCTCCGAACACAGAATAATAATAATACTTATTACCATTTTTAACTACTACAACAGAGGTATTGTTGATGTGGCTGTGGTATAACTGACCATACGTCACATTTTTTAGATCAGGTACGCTCAACGAAGTGGCTACGGGCTGTGTAAGTGGCAGGTAGTGTCGATCTTGCAAACTTCCCAGAGAGGGGTTCGAAGCAGGAATGTCGGTTGTCTCGAACGCTGAATTAATAACCCCATGGGTAGGCGGGTTTTGTTCGAGTGCTTGAAGACGCTTTGAGTCGCGCAACGAGCTCCGTGTCAAACCTGGGGATTAAAGGCAAGGTTATCAGCATCGTTGTGTCAGCAACGAGTCCCGAATAGGTTTTCGTTCACTTTTCTGGAAAATAGAATACTTTAAATGGAAGATCAACTGAGTTGTGAGGTCGAAATGGCCTTCAATCGTGCAACATTTCGGTCAAAAAGGGGTACGCTAAACCTGCCGTATTGCCGTTCAAATCTGAACGCTGCATGTATCTATCTATGCAGGCAACTGTATGCTACATGACGTATCACCGGTAACAGTGGGTCCAAGAAGGGGAATGTGGTTATACAAGTACATGCGCCCAAAACTCAGCTTTTTTTTTGAGCCTTATCTTTTCACAAGGGTGTCAGTAAACAGACACTTGAGGAATACCATGAACAATTCAACCTTCGTCTGCAGGCCAGCTAGTATTAAACGTTTGTCCGGAGCGATTTCTTTTGGCAGCTGTTTGTGATCTATCCAGACTATTCGTCCGTGTCGTCGTGATTGCCTTACTTTAGACATCCCTATTCCTCATTACGATCGTTATTATTACCATGATACAACGTTGACTGAGTACTTACTCTGTGGTTGTAACGGCGTTATCGGCTGCGGCGTCATTTGATCGCTAGCGATATGCTGCTGATTACTACTGCGCAAATCTGTTTCAGTAGCCATTATGCTGTACTGTGATGTGCAAGGTGCCGATACGGGCACAGCTCCACGTTCGTTTCGGAGGCTGCCGCAAGACCCTCCATACGACGAGGTGTACGGATCACCGCCACCGCTTGTTTCGTTGCGCGTCGATTCACTACGGCAAAGCGGATCGGCAGCGGCGGCCCAATGGCCACCGCCGCCGCCGGCCCCGATCCCGCTCCCAGTATCGTCCTTCGTGTGGCACGAAGCGCCTCGAGAATCACTCCTGTTTATTCGGGATTCACTTACTACACTTATGTGCCTACCTTTAAATACCTACATTTATAAAGTTTAATCTGGCAAAAATTGGACCCCAAGTCATTACACCCATCGTGGCTACGGGACGCTCAACTACAGGCGAAATGTTAAGCCGCAATTCCTTGTCAGATTTCGAGAGTTCCTGAGGTATCCAAATTCGTTCTTCAAAAGCTTGTCGGCCAAAGCAAAGGGCATCGTTAGGCTTGATGCCTAGCAAACAACTGTTCAGTATTCCTTCCAGCGATAGCGCCGTTACGATACTGAGTGCAAATGCCCTAGGCTATTTCGGCCTCGACGAAATGCATATAATAAAAAAAATGATGTTGGGAATGCGCTTTTTTTTTTTATTTACCTGGAACATCCATCTCTGAAGTGTTTTTACGGGTTTAAATTGCACTTGCGCGCAATACCGTTACAGCGTGTTAACAAAGAAGAAAACCCTCATTTGAATGGTACATTAGAAGTAAACAACAAGAGAGAGGGAAAAAAGGAAAGGGAAGCTTTTGAGGAACCGCGGAACTTACTAACAGTTTTCGTGGGACTGAGTCGGACACTATTTACAAAATACCATTTTCAACTCACAACAACGACTCGCGTACACAGGCATAGGATTTTAGTAGTGAATAGCAGGTAGATACAATAGCTCGTAATAGCAAATTTTTCACATTACTCAGTGTCGTTTTGTCGGTCGATCTTCTATCGTATCCATAGTGGATTAACATTACGGTAGTGCTTAATACATTTGTCCTATTCACACAGCCCTTTTTAATGTTAAACTGTTACGACCCAGTCCAGTACACAAAGGGCTCTATTTGAACTAAACAGGCAGTCAAAGTGAGACAAAATCTTTGCTATATGATACATTAGAAGGAGCTGTTGACTTCACGTTGCGCCATTTATGTTATTCGTTAACCTAAACAATCTGATGTGTTGATGTTAAACGTACGGTAACGTAAACGACAGGTCGAGTACACATCGTCAGCAACCCCGCTGCAATTTTACCATTTGCTCCATTTAACCCGTTATTTTTTTGCAATTAATTCATTAGTGTGTTTTTATATGAGCGAATTTGATTCGCTTTACATAAACTGTAGCCTGGTTGCAGTTTACTCTTTCTATAAAGCTATCCCGCAGTGCTAAATCCGTTATACTGCCCCAATTCTCCCGTTGCAGTAAATCTATTTCCCTAATTCGGTCAATCTGTTTACCCGGGTTTCCCCTTGGAATATTCTAATGGTGTTCCTGCTGCCCTGCAATTATCACATCAGTCTGTTCTAATATTTCTATTATATCTAAACTGTAACATAAACTATTGCTCGACTGTAAGCCGAAAGGTTTACAAACGTCCGCTTTTGACCACGGTACCTTGGTGTAGTCCTCGTGATCGGTTACCCTGCGGAAACGGAGGTTTTAGTAAGCTTAGTACCTAATTGCAATTTGCCAATTAATGCGCTGCATGTATCCTGTTGCTTGGAGAAATAACTGAGATCGATTTTAAAATTGCAAGTATAAAGCCATACAAATTATGCTTAGCTAGTGCATGTAAAATAAGTGACTGATTTTACACGTAGTGCCTTACCTCACCCAGACCCGTACGCTTCTTCAATTATGTCCGTTTTCCCGATTCAATCAATTTTACCGCCCAGTCATAATATAATATATTAACCACTTCTAACCACACTAACACAAGTTAACTAAATAAACCTCATGTCGACCTATAGAAGAAGAGAAAGACCCTCTTAGAAAATTCATCAATTCAGAAAAATCTCCCGCTGCAGAGCTTAAAAACGACTTGTCAATATGAACTTTCAGCGATTGGTTAGCAAATCGGCAACGAAAAGCTCAACTTGTTTAAATTAATATAGATATAATAATAAAGAAACCACCCGCCAGAAAGAAGTACTCATCCGATCGGCTGTGTTTCGTGCAGCTCTACTCAGGATGAATCACTGCCTAACCAGATTTTAGCGTCAGCTAGACTACATGTCATCTCAAAAGAGCTCGGCTTAACTCTGAATTTTACCAAGACGGTGGCAATGAATCTCAAAAAGGGAAAGCAGACTGCTTTTCTGGAGGTAGTTTCCATCGTAGCCTTGCCCACGTAAACAATTTTTCTTACCACTGGCTACCTCTTTCATTCATTTTCGATGCACGCCATAGAAGGGCAATGCTAATTATGTTTATCATATGGAACTATCATCTTCTCTCGTGGCTAACGCTCCTCAGCCATCCAATCCCGAAACGCCAGTCGCTGAGATCATATCCGAGGACCTCCTTGGAGGACCTAAATCGGTTCAAGACTACCTCTCACTTTATACATGTTCTCGAAATCTACCGCAGTGGTCTTTTCCTTGCTGGGACGCCTCTGCTCTTTGAGGACATAAAATGACGCTTTGGCGTCTTCCTAATTGATACTGCGTTTAACGAATGGCTCGCAACTTGGGTAGGCGAATTTGCGGAAATAAACGACGAAGTCAACAAGTCTGGAGTTACGCTAAATCATGTAAAAAAAGAAAAAAGAAGTAGTGAACCGCTTAAATCGCCACGTTGTGCACTGGCTTTGTGGTATATGGTCTTCATCACAAAATATAAACCACTCGGAAGCTTCATGAATGAAAAAGAAAAGTAAGTATGAACCAGATCTGGATAGCGACAGGATATCTCGAGATCCTCATAGGATCTTAATGAGAAACCTAGCACTTTGGGCATCCTAAATAATAAAATAGTTCATTTCTGACCTGTACAAGGATATGTTCGTATGAAACGTACTGCTACGGAATTTTCACGCGTAGAACATTCGAACTAGCTACGTTAGTTATACCACACTAAACTATGTAATGAAATCTATTTCTAACACTTTCTGTTTGGGTGAAGCCTAACGCTCAGAATTTTTATGCGAGCAGAAGACACGCTTTTCTCTTCTCTATTTCGTCCACTACCGCGGCGATTGCCACTACGGCTACTATTAAAGTAGACGACGCGATTCCCCATGTTGGCTAGGAAGCGAGGATTACATTTACGCACCATCCATCCAACGAGCGACCGGCCGACCAGACAACAACAACAGCAGCAACGACAACAACTAACATTTGTCGCCCGACCATGCGGATGTAGCATTTCTCGCTGCACAAACCATCTTCGTGCACCATAATGTAAATTGTTGCTTGCTATGCACACATGTACTTCAATATTACCCACTGCGATATTCTATTTCATTTATTAGGTCAAAGGAGTTTTTCAAAGGCAAAGGAAAGCAATAATAATCTCGCAGCATCAGGGGTTCAGTCACTACAGGAAACCTGTTTCACTTCCCAGAATTATATATAAAATAGACGCTTTAGAACGAATAGTGATCATATACCTTGGTTGATTTGAGAGGGGGTCCGTGTTTTCCTGCAGATCCTGAGTCGATGTATATCTGTTCTGTGGATGACAAACTCTCTTTTGCGAGGGGGTGCGGCTCCGTCGTCCGCTTTTGGGTGACGATGACGCTACTGATGAAACCTCTGGAAGCCATTTAGCATCAGCTAGATCAGTTCGTTTCTTGTGGGAGTTCGATCTATCTCATTTGTATAATCCACAGCATTGCAAGTCCTATGATCAATCATTTTCGCCAATTTGTACAATATTGATGATTTTTTTAGTTATCAGTAATGACCTGAGATGTTTCTAGCCACTACGTAGGAGTATGAATACCGGTGTATGCAGGAGAGAGTGTTCCCGAAAAATTCGGGCCGAGCCTTTTAAAATTAAGTTTAAAAGGTTGTTGTTGATATGACGGAAATGCGTTGATTTCCTGTTGCAGCGAAAAAAATAAATCCACAATGCGAACCATTACAACTTCCGTTTTTATTTAAACGAAATTGATATTTAAACCGAAGAATAATCTACATAAAGCACATACATACATACATACATTTTTTTCTTATTTAAAGAAGTTTAAAATTACTACCATTTTGGTGCATACGCCGCTGATGGCGATATGCTATCCACTGAAAAGCAAACTTCCAAATTTTCCAGTGTCCCCGGTGCTCTACGACAAATCTTATCACAAGAGATCAGTTCCCATCAGGACTAGGGAACGGGCAGGGCATTCAGCAAGATCCATTTGCTTAAAAAGTTCTCATGAAGAAAGGTTTTGTAGCCCGTTTGTATATACATAGAGCGGAAATGCTACCAGAAGTAAAATCTGCCTTCTTTACTAATGTCCTCCCGAAAACCAAGAGCGAAGCAGAGTCTGGCAGTAAGTTGAGCAGTTACTATACCGATTGATTAAATTACAATGTATATACTGTTTGTTATTGCTTAGGTACTATCTGCTTAAGCATATTCGAACTGAGTTTGTTTTCTTCGAAAGCACGATTTGGAGACCTGCTGTATATATAGCCGGTTATATGATGAGCTACAATAGATTTGAAGTGATCACCGGATTATACTAAATGAGCTTCACTTGAATAAGCGTATATACATCGCAGAGCTAGATGACCATTTAGACTGGGCCTCGAACGATATTGCAAACGTCCGCAACCATTTACAGACAAAGCCAATGAAACGAACGGCTAAATCACAATGTAACACGTTAGTTAATTAATTAACTAAGAATATGTGTGCATTGGCACGTATTAACGAAACTTACTTACTTCCATTTTTCCCCGATTACGTTCAGAAGAGACCAACACGAGAAAGAAAACGATATTCAGCTGGTTCAAATGGTAATCGTGTTTGTTCAACGGTAGCCGATAGCGAGACAGCAAACCCATAAATTTACGGTAGGCCTACTGCACTGTCACTACGTTGACTACGGCAATAAGGGCATGTGTTAACTCAGATCACCGACGTTCCCGTATTAGCTTGTGCTAGACTAAAATGTAGGCTAGGTAGGCGGCAGCGGCGGTGATCGAGGAAAAAGAGGAAGAGGACCATGACAAACACCAACTGATTGACCTACTGGTATGATCGAATGACGCGGTGGTTAAGCAAAATAGACACACCTTGCAACGACGATCGCCTCGAATCACGGACGTGCTAGGCACACAGACACATAACTGGATGGAGCAACTGGTTAATGCCCTTTGTCTACGAGTGGCCGGTTTGGCATCTAGTCTGCGAAGCTTGCAGGCTAACAGACAGGCCTCAGGATGCGATTGTTTCACCAACATATAGTCCAAATGATCAAGGTATACACAGTATACAAGTGATTTTCAATACCAGAAGTACTACTTCGTGTGCGATCCTAGATAGTAGCTATACGTTTTAAGAGTCTGCCCAATATCGTCTGAAAACACCAGCTTGTTAAAGGGTGAACCGGCAGTAGATAGATGATTAATGCATGATACACGTTCAAAACAAACCGACCTTCAGCTATATTGACTAATACTGAAAAATCAACCCATTTTAAAATGCATCGCAATAGTTACAGATCGAAGTACAGAAGAATTTTTGTGTACGATTAATTAAAGGCTTAGACTGGGTCCAGATAGTTCCTGAGCACATTTAGATCGAATTTAAAACAGTTAACGAAGCAGTAACCCCATGGATATTAGTGGATACCAATAGTGACTAGAAACTGTGGATATATTGCCTCGAACATTGTTACTCCACTTAAAAGGTAAAGAGAAATGCGAGAAATTTTCGCACGTTTAGACTCAATAAGGCGTGCATTGGGGTATCAGCTATAAAAAACGCTCTTACATTCAACAATTTGAAGCTATCTCTGAATCAGGGTTTTAGCCAGGAGTTAAATCGTTGTCATGCAGTGACTGAAATACCTCGTTCACCATCTGAAACACACGATACGCAACGCACACATCTCGCCTCCCTTCAGTAGCGCTCGCGTTTTTAGAAATCAGACAACTATAATAGTTCCGTTGCGCAGCCTCTCTTTACAAAGCGTATGTCTATACTGTAAATGTGCCGTAAAAACAGACAAATCTCTTAAAAAACGGGACTTGAGATTTCTTAATTGGCCCCTCAGAAAGTTTCGTGACTGGTGTCGTAGCTTGATTCGTATAGACAGATATGAACGGTTATGTGTTTCAATCAGTATGCTGGAACGAGCCATCATCGTACTCCACTATAAAAAATTGTAGCTAGCGGAGCTTAAGCTTTTCTAGCAGATCGTAGTATGCGTGTCACGTTATTGTAAAGAATAGCGGAATCAATGAAACGTACGTTAACAGCGTTGAAGGGCATAACTATAGTAGAACGACATTTATTAATGTTGATTTAGGTGTGAACAAATATTACAAAGTTTCATTAATAGTAACTCTTCGTGAAATAACTTGAGCTTCAGTCAAGTAGACAGAAGGTAGAACGAGCACGGCGACTTGCGTACTGTATAAAGTGTACATACTATTTTTACTATGCTACTATTTTTATATTAACATCTACGGAAGCGGTCGTGAATGGTGTTCAGGGGGATGTACGCGACGTTATTTTCGTCTTACCTTGTATCGGCTGATGACCTGCCTGGGTACTGTGCAATTCCGAACCTGAATTATTAAGGTTCGCGATAGTGGCAGTGGTGATGAAGTTAAAATTATCTGATGACGACGTGTGGATCTGACGCGTAACAGTACAACCGGTGGTTGAGGTTGGTAGGCCGCTGCCCGGTAAATGTTTATCTTTGTGCGGTGTAACCTGGTTCTGCGTGCTTTGCGTGCTTAAAGGTGACTTGCACGCTACGTCGTGCAATTGAGAGGTCTTTACCGAAGTGATGTATATAGGATCTGGCTGCCCACCTGGGCTTTGGAGATCGCAGTGTTGATGCAGCTCCTGAAATGGCATATGGACTATCTTAGGTTGCCCATTATACCTACAGAACTTCAAGCAATACTGCCAAAGCCCAACTAATAGCGATCTCGACCAGATCCCTTTCTGTTAAAGTTGCTGAGAAAATAATATGCACATATGTATATATGTACACAAATAGTACAACAAGTTCGTGCAAATCATGAAGAGCACAGCTAAATTTTATATTAAATGTTTGCCATGACAACCCGGAGATACGACGCAGATCTTCTAGGTTCTCTGCCCATTTTAGTGTGACTGCAAAAAAAAGGACCTTCCCTGCATGAAAAAATAGAATTCACCTGCATAAAAACAAACCAATTAAATGGCCCATATGAGTATAAAGAAAAATATCCGATTAATTTGAAAATACCTGGGAAAGTTTGGTCATATCGACAGGCGTAATCTTGTTCAGGGTCGTGAGCCTCTCGAGCCGATCTCGTGCCTGCTGTTCTACCGCGATCACGAACGCATCCTGAATACAGTCCTGGGCCAGATCGAGCGCTGTTCCAAATCAGGACGCGTACATAAAAGCAACCCAAGCAAACAAACAGTAACGATAATACCATTACGAATATAAGGGAATTGGTTTCTAAGCATCGATAGTTGAAACAACATACAATAATATGAGGCAAAATTTTCCCTATTAACTGAACGAACCGATCTGACACTAATCAGAGGTAGGCAGTGCAGCCGTATGCAAACGGCCTATCCCAGCAATTCCGAGACGGTTTTACGCGTCTCAAAAATCCGTTCGTAAGCCCGTCGTTTGATAAAAGACAGACAAGCGGCATTCTGCGCGTCCATTTGAAGCCCCGACCCCTTCCGAGTTGAACGATTTAATTTGCTACGTGCTATCCGTGCAGCTAGTTCGTGCATTTTCGACGGCTCTGCCTCCATGAACAAACATATTCCGCGATGCGTTTCCATCAAATTCAAATAGATGCTGACTCGTTTGCGCGTGCCAACGTCAGCTGCAGCAAAAGCATGTGGTGAACGTAATCTACTTATATAAAGCGGTCGTAATCCACAGCCATATAGCGGGGCAATTTCATTTTCCTTATCACACAATTCTATCTACCCTGTCGCTGTACATGACACCGGATTCGTTTGCGTAGCCACGAGTCCAGCATTAATTGTTACGACGCTCGCACGAACAATTACGGGTTGAGACTCGGATTACGGCTAGCGGTGTTTCGAAACGACGGAACAGAATCTACAGACGTTAAACGACCTGTACAATATCAGCTCTCCGAAATGAACCATATTAGTGGTCGTTCCTTTGGCGTCTAGAGAGTATCTCCAATGTATTCAGAACCGTTCTGTTCGCATAAAGATACATCTAACGAACTCAACCGAGCGATTAACCTTATCGAATAACACAGATGCAACGTGTGAACAACTTAGAACTAGAAAAGTAAGTGGCTGGGTTTTTAAACGGTCACTCGTTACTTATGTCGGCTGACGTATGGATTACGTTGTCCGATTTTGCATTGGTACTGTTTTTCGATATTGCTCATGTTTAAGTGTCTTCCAGAAGTAAATTTAAATAGCTTTGAATTGTCCATCATCGGGAATCTTATGTTCGTATCGATAACAAAAACCATTTCAACTTAGTATGAATTTTCTTAGCCCATTTTAACGGGCGAGGCGATGAAATATCTTCGTGTCTACGTCTGAAGATTTAATTATTGAATCTTACGGCAGACCCTGCCACTACATAAATGCCACCCACTTCTATTGAATGCATAGTGGGCTGCATAGGTACCGAGTGGTGCAAACCGGAAAAGAAGAAGCATAATAATGGCTTGTCGACAAAAATAGCTAACCTTTGTATATGACTCACTTGCTGTTCCAGTGAACTGCGGTGAATAACTTAAAAAAACTGTACTTACGTAGAGATATAAGTTTTCCAGTTAATTCTTTAATTTTCATTCACCGGAGAACTCCTTGTATCAGCCTGCGCTCTTCTAAACGACTACGTCGAGGTACATCTAAAGAACGTCCTTGCTTGTAAACTTAGTTACAACGTTTCTTGACCAAAGTGGCTACCAAAAGAGGCCCTATAGTGCGTGAATTATGAATAGTTCGGTCAAACAAGGCTGGAACTATTATCCTGAAAGATGCAGAATAAGCTTTTTTTTTTTTTTTTTTTTTTTTTTTTGTTAAAAGCAAGCGGTAAACCACCGTACGGTGATAGACACAGATCTATGCCAAGATCGCACTGTATATCGAGAATGAAAAGGCAGACTGAAATGCTAATATTGTCTGTCTTTATTTACAGCTTTTTTTTAGCCACACCGTTCTAGCTACGGTCAGCTTTTAGTTGACTGAATGAACCTCGTCTGTGCGATTTCTACAGACCAACCAGAATAAACATTCTAGACGAAATTTCGAACAATATAGTCGATGTTTTTGACAAAAAGGATCGATATTGCGTTAATCTGTTTCATTGTTTGTAATTATTCGGCTTTGGTCGGCAAATAAACGTTTTTGCTTCTTTAGTGGACCTGAGGACCGTAAGTTATTTTATCAAACGTCAGGTCCTATTATAGTACTACTGCTACAGACATCGATGCTGCACACTGAAACGCTTATAAATTCTATAGAAGAATAGAGATAATGCCGCTATAATAACTGCTCGATCATACGCGAACGTAGGCCTATGCACATGTTCTTCCGTATATGGCACAAATATAGAGGTCAATTTTACTATTACGTATACCAACAACCCCAATGACACCTTCAGGAGCTCAGTGATTTATGTTAATATCAAACTAGTTTCAATACATAGATACTATATTGTTGTAATAACTGGTACAGGAATCAGAATAGCTAACGAATGATCAAACGGTAACGACGAGTCTTTTTTTAAGGTTCGTTAGATACGCAAATTGCTGTAGCTCTAGATACTATATATATATATGGAAATATAATAGAAACAGCATTTAAAGTGTCCATATGTTTATCATTACTGTATAAATAAGACAAACGGAGTTGGTCTTCTGTGCTCCATGACGCATACGGAACGGATATAGCAAACCTGACATCATTATGGCAGGTATTTTTTTCTATGGCAGATTTTCTTCTGAGGTGTCACCTACATTTCGTTTGAAATGACTTCTTCGGAATCGCGTCTTTCGCGCAAATGTTGCCCATAGCTATTTTAAGATCGTATTGATTGAGTTTCCGCAGACAGGCTAAATATGTTGTCAGAGCTTGTTGCGTGTACCGTTTTACGTTAACATATCATAGAGACGAATCAATGGTAAATACAGCATGACACATTGATTATGTACTATAAGGTGACTTGGTAAAATATTTTCTGTGTTCTAGCTCATGCGGTTCCAGTGTAACTGACGATGATTTTACATTTTCAAAACGAATTTGATGTAGAGATGTTGCATCTCTTGACTGCGTATGATTGAAACCCCAAACTGAAGGCACACGCGAGTGAACAAACGTTCGAACTTTTCAAGTGAGTGAGTGAGGTCGAGCAAGCGTAAAGGCCACTTAGCCACAATTGCAATGCTTTGCTATCTTTTCTGTCACATTGAATCATACAGAACTATTGATCATGGGTATATGGATGAGTCATTTCATAGTGGTATCATAAGGGGAGACACTTTAGGTACTGTAGTAAAGCATCTGAGTATGTAGCTGTTAACACATATGGAACATCGACGTAATTATGTCAACCTTTGTTAGTTCACCGGAACGTATGCTTGAACGCTATAAGTACCTAGGACTGGGACAATGTAGCTAGTAGCGTAAAGGTCTTTGTCAGTGTATCAGACTGGGAAAGCTCGCGCCTAAAGCTCATTTTGTTGTAGATTGCACGTAATTGTTATTAGTGCATACATACATTCATTATCATGCAATAAGCAGGTAGGCGAACCCGATGGATTGATCATCCGTAGCTTGACAGCAAACGTTTCGATCTGCTTGTATGGTATAAACATATCACTGATTGATATATCTTCTCCTTCAATTTGATTACGACTGTCGTGCTCTCACCTACAAAACGGACTGTTTTTTCAAACTCTAGCAGCACCACGTACCGACGGGCTCATGTAGTTTTTTGCTGGAGCTATGATAGGTATCTTACTGTCACTCCATTAGATCTAGCTCTCTATCCGTCGGTCGAACTCTAAAGCTCGCATTTAGTAGGCATAATTTCGGTCAAAACAATCGTCCCAAAATAGAGCCATTTACATCCTGCAGAAACATAAATTCGGCTACCGCGGGACACGTAACTCTCCACATCCATATTTGCGAACACGCTAGACGTTGCGTAAAGCGCATAGGTTCATACAAAGGCAGGAAATATTTACTGTAGACACACGTAGACACAGTAAGGTAAAGGTCCCAACTGGACTTCTACGAGACGAGAACGCTTCTAGCCTGAGCCCGCACACGGTCACACACTAAAAAAACGTCTTACTTTCTCCAGATAACAACGAAATAATCTAAAAATAATGGCCGCAGTTGTCGTTGGTGTAGGGAAAAAGCAAAAGGATATATCATTCACTGGCGGTCGAATTGAGCGGAAAGTACACAAAGCAGCAGAAGTCGACTGAGGTAGTCGGTCGCGCCATGATAATCGACTGCGTTGCCCCCTATCAGTCGGTCTCTCCATCCGTCTGTTCGTTAACTAGTGTTCAGATCTTTCTTCAGCGGTTTTGCAACGGTCGGGCGAAACCGGCGGCAATAACTCTATTACCACCGTCGAGCATCTGCTGTTGCTGTTTTTGGCGCCGTTTCGGGCCGACGTCATTCACAGTACGAACAGTCGAAATGTTGATGCTTATATCCCATCTGGCCAGTCAGAACTTGTGGCGGAACTTGTATAGCGGAGAGCAGGATGTCCCTGACTTCATTTACCTACCTTGCTTTAAATCTGTATGACCATGTTGCTGGATGTTAAATTGCCTGCCTAGCTTTCCAGCGCTGTCGAAGTAGCTGATGGCCTTCTACAACGCCAGTAGCGTCAAAAAGGCTAGCCAGCCATCGTCTGGTTGCCAGCTGCCCAATCTGACTCCGACTCCTTGCTTTCTCTTTCCCTCTACAATAAAACAAAGGACGGCCAGCCAGCCAGCTGCTGCTCCTACAGTCAGTCAGTCAGCCTACTCACAGACGGCCCCTATGAGCGCCTTCGTGACTGCCTGCTCGTCACTACCCTCTCCCACCGCTCACGACAGTCGGCGCGCGTTCCGTGGTGACGCTGTTGCCGATTGATAATGATGACGATGTAATCGGTGGTCGAATAGAATAGGCACTACTACTAGGGACAATTATGCAGGATTACTTTAGGTCTGTTACCGTTCCTAATCCTTACTTGTTTCTGCCCTAGTGATTAATTCTCTTCATGCTCTATAGTATCATACTGACGATGCCTACGCACCTATTTACCTAAGTCATTGTTGGCTCAAGGCGGTGGCGGCCGCTGTTAAGTACAGTCTTCTTGATTATTGTCTCTATTGGAGACGACGGGAACAGTCGCAACGCGGTATAAGTTACGATAGTTGTATATTGTAGAAGCAACGACGGCGGCGGCGACGTCGTCGTCGCTGTCCTCTATTCGACAGGGTGACGCCGCACCGAAGCGTGAATAGAGACACCAGGTGGCGCAGCGCGGTCACATGACCTATATCAAGTAACCGAGCTAGCATCTGCCTATCGAGCCCTTACCTGACGCTATTCCCATGAACATTGCGTTCAAGTAGACGCCGTACACGGGCATGCTTTTTCGCTTTGCATCTGGTCAGCCACACGAAAGCAACATAAATTGGCTGCCATTTTACTGTTACATTAGATTTGACTTAGCTGAATTTCTTTTCCAGCAGAAGTTCATTACATATTCAGACATACATCCGGTGTTCCTTAGATTCGGAGATAGGTATGAATGCTTATGTCAAAGGCGGCAGCCTGGTCAGAAGAAAATTAATCAGCAACATAAATGATAAAGGACAAATGCTAAGTATCATTTTTTATATAATAGTTGTTTATAATAATCGTATAATCCGTCCGTCCCTATATACAAACATGTAGAGATCCATCACAAATAACAGGGGTCAGGTAGCAGGGAGCCTACTTCCTTCTGCATAGCTCGTTTGTAGTGAGTTTGAGAGTCTGCCGCTTGTACAGTTATTTTGTACAAAGATTTCACTTTATAGAGTCACTATTAAGTATGTGATTAGGCTCCAGTGAAGCTTAAACGGTCGCTGGCTTGATACGTCGATCAATGTAATTTTGAATAATTCTAAAGCAATACAAATACGGTATAACATGTTCGTCTCAAATACGCACGCTGTATTGTCAGTTTCCTAGAGGAGCTTTTTTCATCAATGTTTCCGAAAGAAGCCTCAATCGCCTACTCCACTTATTTTTTATTTGGCCAATTCCTAGGTTAGGCCGAAAAAGTCAAGCCCGCACAACAAAAGTATAACAAGGTGAATCAATCCGTACTGGCTGAAAAGCTTAGTGGTTCACAACAAGCGACACCAAAATAGCACGCGCGTGGCTAGACAGGTTCGTAATGGATTGTTTTTTTTTTTTTTTCTCTCTTTTTCACGTCCAGTTGACTCGTATCAAACTATGTAAAAAGAGTCAAATAATTATACTAAGCCGTTGGAGTTATGATTAACTATGATACGGATGATCCCCATGATAACAAATTCTGGCTAGGGTGACTTTTTGGACTACCACGAAGGTCATGATGGCCTCATAATCGCTACCTCGCCTTTCAAGTTCTCACCTGGTGGTGCAACACTTCGTTTGCCCATTTCCTTGTGAGTTTATTGAAATTTTCGTTGTCTCAAATTGCTGAATATTTTGAAGACTATTTTGTTCAACATTAGCTCTGAATTTAGCTTTCCCGTGCAGCTGCATTGTTGACTTGCCGAAAAAAACTGCGTGCAAATGTCACAACCAGCTGCTCTACCTGTGTGTACTGTATTTCGAAAAGTCTTACAATTGCTACTTTCCACCTTCTTTTAAGAAAAATGATTTTTTTTTAATCATCTACTTCCTATCAAACCTCCGATGACCGACTCGGCTGATCGTGGCAGCACAGAAAGTAAGCCTGTAGTAACGCCATTGTAGCGACATAGCTTTGATGACCCAATGTGCATAAGTTACGCACTGCAGCGTACGTTGTGTCCTGCTTTTCCTGTGACGTTCCTGATATAACGCGTCGAGTGAAGGTTTCGGCAGGCCCTCGTTTGTTTTGAAATAAAGATCACACTTGTAAACACCGTGTTCGAAGACGCTGCCATCGTAGGCAGCGATTGTGGACAACCTTTGTTCATGACTTCGCTTGCCTGCCGATTTCAGCATCAGTCTATTGATTTCAAAGTGCAACGAGGAAATCTAGATACCAGATCCAGGTTAGTCCCTGTCCAGAATATGACCAGCTAGAGACCTTCGCCCCATTTTCCTGGTCAAACTGACTGAACGCCATTGTTCTCGACTTCTTTCGATCGATTAAACTCGTCCATATTGCCGTCACTTACCCACCAAAAGCAAAGATCTGTGCTAAATGTTACATACATGCATATATATATATATATATATATGGGAGCATTCAAATGCACTTCGGCGTTCTGATTTCAGGTGTTTACTGGATGATTTAATGATAGCGGATTATCTGATCCTAGGAGATGGCGTAAAAGCGGGCTATTTATACTGCATATCAACGAACCATTACTGTCTCAGGTTCGGGCTTTACAATGTACCCCCATTTACCAATATTTCAGAATTCTACCTCTTATGAAAAAAGGAACGAAAAAACTAAATGTTGTGCGCTACTGTGTTATCACTAATGTTATTGATTAGTGTTAACGGTGTTAAGATTATGAGTAATACCGATCCTCAAAATGTCAGCTTTGGCTCTTTCCGAGGGTGACGCCACACTTCATAAGCAATCGCTAAAATGTGACAAGTCAGATCCATCTTAGGGTCTCGTTTTTATATATGTACGTGTGTGAAACATTAGCGAACTGACGTACACTGATGTCCGCGGGCGGGCTCCGACGATAATTGAAATACGTCCGTTTCCGTATCCGTTGTGCCGATCAAATGCAGGCAGTAACATTTACCAAATGGTAATCAGATAATTACCAACGAACGACGCGCAAGCTGCAGCCCCAGTACCGCCGTTAAGCACCGCTTTAGATTGCTGACTCCCAGCAAAAGTCTGAACCCAGTTTCAAACTTAAACCCATTACGTGTAACCAAGTACGTTATCTCTTTTTCTCTGTTGTCCGCTATTGTTGTACTGATAGTGCTATCTTGAATCGGGCAAAAGGGAATGTACAGCATTAGCAGAGAAGGACACAGCAGTTAGGGAGACCCGCTCTTTACCGACAGAATTTTCACTTTAACTGAGGTCTTTGAAACGGGGAGAAACTTAGATTAGGGCGACAACAGAACAATTCATGCAACCAACAGAAAGATGATTATGTGTGGGGATATGTCGGTACTCGAGATACCCATGCAGAGTTCTACGAAACAGCCGATGTAACAGAATAATGACATGGTAGTCCGTGTGCGTTTGCCCATTCTTCTTCTGTATTTTTGGTATAAAGCAGAACGCTTCTAATTGCGGTTTCCGATTTTTCTGTTCGCCTGTTTCCCTTTGTGATAATGGGGGTACGTTCTATGCATATGCAGAAATAGTACTCACTGGTATTCGGTTTACTTCCAACCCATGTTATGTTACATCATATTATCTATTGGCTTGGTGCGGTGTTGACACCTTTTCTGTCACAAGAAGCGAGGTGAGGGAAAACAAGGAGACGATAAGAGGGGCAGAAAGCTTGCTCTATCAGCCTTCTGTCGAGCCCATTGTCGTCAGAGAACGTACTGGTCATTAATATTGATATGGTTGCTCTATCCTAAGACCAAATCAGCATAAATGATAAGGCCATTAAAAGAATGACAGCGCGACTGTTGACGCGGGGAACAACATAGCTCTGAATGACATTTTGCTCGAGCAGGATCTGGTCGTTGCCGCATCGACGACTACCTATTAGATGGGCAATAGGGATCGGGACGATCGGCCGTAACCACTACCAATCATATTGTTGAACTTCGACAGTAGAGCGCCAAAGGGGAAACTACTGTAAAAATCATTTGCGTATGGGAGGCTGTCACCTAACCTGTAACCTAATGGCTTGCAAGCAATATGCATAGATAAGATTTTCCAAACATAATACAGATCATTGCGTTTACTAAGATATACGTCTGTAACAACATGTTTAAATAAACAGAACCCGTCATAATATTGCTGCACATATATTTGCGCATATATGCACTACAACAATATAAAACTTCTAATAATGAGCATAATTTACTTACTTGGTTAATTAAAGCATCTATGAATCGGCTTAAGGTTATGCGCAGTCCCTGAATTAAAGGTTCAAATCTACTAGGGGAAATCTGTATGGCTTTCGACGACGAAAGATAACGAGCTTGGACAAATGCCCCTCACTTGACGACTGAGTATAAATGAAAAGTTAAGACACAAAAACTAAAAGCTGTATTATTAACTTGAATATTTTGTTGTGGTACGCATCGGCTTGAACGGTGTAGAATTTTAGAATGATTAGAAGTTGTTTAAACTTCAGTCCAGCTGATAAAAAACACGACCGTGTTTTTATCAGCTTCTAGTGTCTAGCATCTGTAGCAATAATCTTGCCTTACTAATAGTAGAAACAGTGAATACATGCCGTTACTTAGGATGTCGATGTAAGTGTATGGCAAATAGGCGAGTAAAAGACTGTTCTGTGTTACTGTGCAAATATGGGCTAGTATATTTTAAGCTACTGGATATATCAAAAGTCACTGGATGCAGGTAGACAAAAGGCCTAATCCCAAAAGTTTCCTTGCAGGCTCTTGCAGGCAAACATACAAGCGGTTGCCGCTGATATGCCTATGTACGATTAAACGTAATATGTTACACAGTTCTGTGCATGAAATATTCATTTTTTGTCGGACGGTGAAGCAGCTGTACAATCCTCTTACAATTATGTTCCTTTATTAACTTAGACACAGGGCATATAGCGTGTATACCGTCTTTTTAGCTATGAAAAATTACCCTGTTAAAATAAATGCACTTATCACGGCTGAACGACAACCTTTAACCGTTCAAATTGTATACAAGAGCCTTCATAAATCGTTAAAATGAAATAAAAAATACTAAGAAGCATTGACAATTTTCTGGAAAATAGAAAAATCAAATCCCCCGCCGCCTTGAGACCTGAGCCTTAAAATGATTCCTGTCCTACATTGAATGCAACAAGCAAGCGAGCGCCGTTGCACATGTCGCCCTTTACGCGCTGAAGCTGCACACTCGAAATTCGAACAATCCTAATGCTGACAAACTTTTATCGGCTTCCACTCAAAGAATTTTGCTGGTCGCACAAGTACATGCATACAAACGATCATAATTGATGTCGTCAGAAGCTACGGCACTAACTGTCAGGTCGTACATTGCAAAAAAAAACTAGCCATATTGAAAACAAAAGATACCTCTATCATTATATACCGTTTACTGTCAAAAATATTTGTCCATTTCCAGTTCCAGTTCAACTAAACCAGGACCCTTTTAGCGATTCGAAAGCGAGGTTCATAGCCGTCGGCTATATAAGATCCGCAATTACTTGGCTGGTCTTGTCCACAGGTCATTAAGTAACTGCGATTACAGGTAGCGAACAATTGTTCTGTACAAACTACAACGTAAGGTAAAAATATCAACTAACTTATTGTATTCAATATGAAAATTTGCATAGCTAAGCGGAAAGTTAACAGTTGTAGAAATAAAATTACATGAGTTGACCCGAAGCGGTTTAACGTTATCCTGCCTCTCCATATCGAAAACTGCACAAGCGATCTTCACCACTGGCGGACCATTACCATATAGTGCATCAGCTTAGGTGAGATCTCTGGTGAGGTGTTTAACGATGCATAATGGTCTACCTAAGGTCTATATCTTTTCGCAAACCGGCGAATCGCAACTACATCTCACTATGCACACCAGGACGAAAATTGGCTCCTCGCGCGGCGGATTTGTAGATCTAAGACACGCGTCTCCGTGATCGCTTAGTGGGCCGCGCATTTGTCTCCTAATCTTAAATACATGTTGTGGGCATAGACAGACTTCAAACGGTTTAAAATACAAAGAGCCGGCCAGGGCCTTCATGAGTCAATACAATCCTAAGAACAGACCTCAGCATCTGTTCAGTAGACAGAAAAATCGGTCGTCCTAAACCATATTCCTCTTAGTAGGTGAGCTTACAGAGAAGCGGTTCTATTGATATTTGTGCACCTTCAGCTGCTACACACATGACGACAGTCCTTAATACGCACTGACATAGCTTTCAAGTGGGAACCGTCACATCGTGTTTTTTTGTGAACTATTTGACTAAGCTATGTACTGGTAAAACACTGACCAACGCTAAGTCCTGCTAAACTACTATTGTGTTTATTCTGTTATAGTGTATTATATATATATGATAAGAGTATTGATCGTTGAGACTTACCCAGTTTGGCACCAGTTTTTCTTTTGACTCTCAGACATATTGTCCTCGAACGTATGCATTGATGTATATGCGATATGACCTCTTTACGACTAAGATTCTCGAGATTTCGACCATTTACTTCTAGGATCTCATCTCCAACTTCCAGATCCGATCGGTCCGCTGGCGAGCCTGCAAATAAAACCGAAGGCCGCTTATCAGTTTTTGAATGCCGTTACATAAACACTTCATTCATTTCAACGCTAATATTCGAATTCGATCTTATATCTTTATAATAAAGCAATCTCCCTGTGCCTCAGTGCTTTACGTCCGTGCGAGCAATGGTGTTGCTTGTGTGCTGAGGTCAGGCTAAATTCGCATCTATAGAAAGAAAACAGAAAGAAATCGTGCTCTCTTATAATATATAGGTGTTCCTAGTTCACGAAGACGCGCATAGTGTATTTCGAGGAACGGAGAATCAATATTTTTACGGTGTTGTTTCTTCCTTCACACGCTCCTCGTGAGAAATCCTTTATACTGATCAGAGAGCACTCGTATGCTTCTACCTACGCTTTAACAAATAACAATAAACAACAGAAGATAACTTTGTTTTTCCCCCTTTTTTAACAGAGAAACTTATTTATCCATACTAATTAATAAGTACTTTCTATAATTGCGTTCAAACCTCTTTGCAAAACTAGACTGAAACTGTGCCTCAAAGGTTTTGAAAAAAAATTCCATTTTCCATTTTGCTGAAACGTGAACAATTGCTGCATTTTTACCATCATGTGTCCTCATTTAAATACGTTTATGCACATTTTGTTGAAAATTTTACCCCGTCAATCAATGTCAGCACAATCATCTGTAACTATAGCCGTCAGTGACTTAGCGGAACGTTTTCTATCCTCACATTTATTGTTCTCTAGATAAATAAGCACGTTTTTGCTTACCCAAGTAAAACAACTGAGACGATCGACGCATAATTTGCGTGGTCTATCATACCCAAAATCTGTAATATGTGGTGGTCCATTGGGTGTCCCCAGATGCTTGGTTAATCAGCTTATTATGTAAGAGTGGGACTATCACGCGCACGCGCTGTACGTTGATCGTAGTACTGCGTTTTTGCATTCGATAATTTTTCGACCACCTTGCTCTAAAATATATATTTTCAATCTCATATAAACATCAGTGCGAACCGTCGTATGTATAATTAGATTACGTAAGCATTTCGGGTGATCGTCCAAGCAAAGTATACTGTGTACATTGCGTATATGCACTGATAGTAAACATAATAAATTCTAAACCAAGCTTCGCTGCGTCGGGTGCTAAGATGTTTGAATCGTGATGAATCACAAGGGGCGTGGGTTGCCGGATGCTTGTTTTTTAGGAATACCAGGATGTTTGCCCATAAAAGCGTTAGAAAATTATTATATCAGAGCCCGTTTATGGGCTGTGAGTCTGTAGAGCTTTATCAATTATGGGAATTTTACTTTTTTTTTTACGTCCATCTAAACGCAGTGTCCAGTACGCAGTCTTAGTGGGTGAAGCGTCCAACTATTTCTTAAGAACTCTTTTAGTATCGGATAATATTTACTTGCATATTGTAAAACGCTCCGTTTCAGGGGAAATGCGTATCTGAGCCAGAAGCCATTGGAAGTAACATTTGTTAATTAACTGGATTAATATTGTGAACTCATTATTCATTCAGCCTGATTTTTTATTCATAGTTTAGATAAAAGGCAAGCGGTCAATATACGAAAGCTTCACTTCGTAAGAAAAGCAAAAAGCGCGTCTGAAGATCAGAGGAAGCGACAACCTACGGCGTAATCGTCCTAAGGTTATTCAGCAAAAAAGTTTATTGGCTTAATGCTTGCCAAAAATTAGCAGTAATAATTATATTGACTTTGCACATTTGCTCATTCACTGTTCCTCCTTCCCCAGCTAAAGGCAAATCGGGTTTCTAAAGTAAATAAGCAGCAACGGGAAAAGTCAAAGCGGGCTATACATGCCCCCTCTCACGGCGCCCAATTACTTTACATACTGAGAAAATTGTGGCTTTGAAATAAAGACGTCGGGGCAACTGTTTGAGTAGACCATGCAAATAGACTGAAGCATCGTCGTCTGTTACGGGACTATCAAGGCATGAAAATCTGATTTAACCATGTTATTAGTCAGAAAAGAGATAGAAAGAGAAACAAATCTGGCCTGGGATTCAAAGCACTAATACTTTACATTTCTCGATTATCACATTAGGAAAATTTACCCTGGCCTAACGGCGGCTTATCCACGACCTCAACAACTTAGCCGTAACATACTAACTGCCTTCTTAACAATAAATCTATTCGCTCAAATGCTGGAAGCTTAGGCGTACATATACAACCTTAATGTGAGGTATCTGCCTGCTTAATCGATAGAATGGAATAGCGAGTCAAGACAGGCACAGTGTTATAATTAGGGTAGTTAGTGCTGAAGTGGCACTTTCGCTGTTACCTCGTTGTAGGGAATAGCGTAACTCTCGTTGTATTACTAGTGTGCTTATAAATATTCGTTTCACCGTCAGGTGACGACGAATTTGTTCCCTGCTTACTCTAAATCGGGTTCTTGCGCCCGCTTTCTGGCGAAGTAGCTGGAAGGGGCCTTTCTGTGATCGGCCAGCCAGCCAGCCAGCCAACCAGGGCACAAGGAGTCACCGAATCTATTCCGGGATCCGGAACGATGTAAGGCTTTCCGCGGAGACATTAAATCTGTTCGCACATCATCAGTGGAACCTTCCGATGACTCTTTCGGTAAAAAATTAACGAGAACGGAATAATGTAATCTGAGAGATAAAGACATCATCATCTCTTATTATCTCGACCACGCGACGGTCATCAAACAAATAGTTTGATTGTCTGTCGGCTTGACACGGTCCTACTCTCTGTACGTAAGCCAAGTTTATCTATTAAGCAAACACGAGGGAGTCACGGCTTTTCTTTCCGTAACCTCAAACAACACTGCAAAATATTACAAGAACATAGCGCGCTGACGGGTGGCTTTGATAGTCGGCTGACAGGCGGTCAGAAACGATAGTTCCCATTGATAAGTTTCGGATGATACAGAGAGCAGCAACAGCAGCAAGGTAAGATGTCAGTCGGCCTTCGTACTATATCAGTGGTGCGCCGACGATCTTTTGCTGAGTTAGGTTTTGAGCACTACTACTAACCATAGAGCCTGATCTTGTGGTCCTTGGTCTCGACGAGAATGATCACGTAACCTCCCAGGTCCACCATTTCTTTCTTCCTCCGCTCAGCCGCTCAGCCCGTTGCCTTCGAACGCGAAGCGACAACGGCAACTGACTGAAGCTCCATGCACGACATTCACAAGTTGGTTTTCCACTCAAGCACCAATTAGCATTAGTAGCCGTGGCACACACTCACTACTAGCGGTGGCGCGAACCACGGCTAACCAGTTCAATAAACTTGTCCCCAATCCACCTAACAGGTCGCGGCCATCTTGCCAGGAAAAGCCGAGAGGAGCGACAGGAGTCGTGCTCCAACCAGCGCTTCGAACAGCCACCAGGCGGAGCCACAGCTGCTGGCAGGATACTGCAGCCAACCAACCCGAGACTGGCGCCGTACCACCCAGGAGTACGGATAGTCGAGGCAAAAGTCAGTATAAGACAGAGTGAAAAAGCAACGATAATGCGCAGGATTGGGAGCAACACCGACAGCAGCAGTTAATGGGTGGCACATTTTAAGAACTAACTGGAAGTTAGCCAGCAGCTGTTCCACTAGCGGTAACTGCTTGTCCAGTCGGTAAGACCAGGAGCGAGGCCCATCACTGGTGTGCAGCGTGACGACTGCTTTGAAAAGAAGTTTCGTGCCGACGCCTCGAGCTTAACGAATTGGCAATGTCTTCTCCACTGTCTTTCGGCTCTGCGCTGGCTAGCTGCCGGCCGGTTAGCCCTGTGATTCCTAGTTGTTTCTTTGTTATTGCGCGCTCTTCACGCGACCATTATCATCACGAATGCAACAAGCGGCAATGAGGAAGACGACAGACTGCAGATTTACTTTAGACAGAACAGCTAAGCGATATAATAAATACGTAGATAGAATTTTCAGTATTACTCGAAGAGCCAAACCCAAAACGCTCAATTAAATGCGAAATTTATTTTCTGTACTAAAAATTAAGAACGGAATGTATATTGATTTGAAACTACGAAATACAAATCATGAATATGATTGTAAAATGCCAGAGTTTTTGAATTGAAAAGTACTCATATTGATTTGTAGATATATTTAAATGTAAGCGTTGTTGACTGAGCTTGAGTGAGGCGATCGTACACCGATAAAAATCGTTCATTAAATTAATGCGAGTTCCCTAGTTTAAGACGTTTCAATAGAGGACAAAAAGCTTTTCATCGCCTCGTTGTGAGTTGTGGTCAAACTATTGCAATCCTTGCTTAGTTCGTCGATGCTAAAACCCGTGTGACTACACATTCTTATTATATCAAGGGAACAGCTCATACAACCACAAATTTGTGGGTACCGCTTGTTCATCGCTCTCGGCAGCTATAGGTAAAGGTGGAACATTTTATAAATACAGCCACGGGCAATTTTTCAAAGCATTACTTCGTTTTGATTATGACAGTATATCGCCGACTCAGACGACAGATTCTACTGTTTGACATTTTTAAACCCACATACGGTAAGGTAAAATTACTTATTATTATGACTACCACCACAACTGCTACCGTTACTATGGCAGCACGCTTCCTTTCTTCCGGCTTTTTGGAATGATTATGTACGTTTTTTTTGGAGCATCGCAGCCCATGCTACAGGGTTCTCAGATTCTACGGATCAGCGAAGGCTTAACTTTCTTCAAGGCTAAACAATATCTCAAGTATTTCTATGAAACAAAACAGGTAGATTTGATCCAGGAAATTGGTACATGTTTACGGAAATCAGCTGTGCATACATTTTTTTCTTAATTGCTGCCGTACTTCGCACGAGTCGTTGCTAGCGCTATATTGTATCATGCAATAATAATATTATTAGATATATTTATAAACACATATATTTTTGTAGATATTATTAACTAAAGTAATTTGCGTTGTTCTGAACATTCAATATCTACCGCTGAACTACTGACGCTTATATAAACCTTCAGGATTTGTATGGATTACAACAAAGGCGCGTATCTCACGTATCTTGCCGATTTAACGACGAAAACGTTAGACAACGCCCATAACATAGAGAGGGACGACGCGTAACACTACCCAAAGCTCACCGTTACTCATTGGTTTACTTTTTGACACAATCGTTCGGAGCTTTTTTTGTTTCAGTTTGGTAAACGATTGAGTTTTATGTCGAAATGCTACCTACTAGAGGCAAATATTATTTCGTATTAAAGTGATAATAAATTATTTCTCCGAATTTATTTTTCAGTTAATAAAGTAATTATGTTCGAGTAATTTCTATTTAATTTGCAGTAATTATTATTTAATTAAAATAGAAACGTTAGAGAATGTTCCTAGAGACTATGCAAATTATGTTTTAACATTTATTTGCGTAATTTTTTTATTTGCCGTAGCTTTTTGGTAAATAGTAGTTTAAAAGATGGATTTTTCACGTTTAGCATTTTGCTTGCCAATTACAATATAATTCATTTTGCTAAATATTTTTTTTTTTCATTTTTCAATTTTCAAGGGAAATCGAAATTTCCAACACTATTGACTACTTTCAAACGTTCTCCATTTCCATATATCTTATGAACACATGTATAACATTTTTAAGTGTCGAAAGACCTATCGAACACAATTGTTATAAGTATGGTTTAAGATAATTACGGTTGATCATTAGTCAACCTCATGGTGCAGTGGTAATGGATTTGTCCAGTAAATTTAAAAATATGAGTGATCTGGGATCGAAAATGGACTTCATTTCATATCTAATGGCTACCCGTCTGAAACTTGATGGCAATACAGAACATGGAAGCTCGAAGCATATATGCCCCACCATTAATTGAAAAATCGAATCTGGTAAAAAAAAGTATCAATGACCCTGAGGAAAAAATGTGTAGTAACGTTCTCTGTTTAAAATGGAGCAATTTACCAATTGAACTGTTTCAAAGCAGCATTACATGGCAAACGAAAAGAAATTGGTCTCGAGATATCGGAGACGATGTCACCCGGAAAACGTCTGAGTGTGTGAATCGATGCGATACATGCACAGGATTTTCCCTTTGATTGAGTTCAATGTGGACCAGAAGTGAGTACAGCATTTCATATATATATCAACCTCTATGTACTTTACGGATACACCGTTCTTTTCTGCTACCCTTTCCTCGAGTTGTCACCGCCATTTTGACCAACTTTCGTTACTTTTTGTGATCGTGTCTGAAACAGTTGCTCTTACGGTATTCTATTTCCTTTTTTGTTTTTTTATATCACTTCGCTTTTTTCCATTCCGCTCACTATGTTACTTGATTATGGCAAATTACTTTTCCAACGCTTTTTCTCTGTGTAGCTCTCACGTTCTAAAAAAAAATATGATCTTTTGATTTTGTATTGTTGGAAAGTTGTTAAGCTTAGGTGGTATTAACTATAATGGTGTAGCTGTAACAAGCTAAATTGGACGAAAGAACACTACTCGAAGGAAGGGAGTATGTAAAACACAATGTTATTAAGAGCATTTTGATTTTTTTCATAGATATGTAAAGCTCGCGGATCTGCTGCGCAGTCCATTGTGGCGAGAGAATGTGATGGCATTCAGAGTAATTAAATTCAACTGGAATTGATGATTAGGCCGGAATATGATAATAATATGATACTCATGCACTAAATGGTACGAAACTATTCTTATCGTTAAGAATTGCAGCACATTATGAAATAAAAAGTCAGTATAATAAAGGGACTTATATATGTCTGCTGATTGGGATTCGACACAATATTCCAGCATGATCCATTGCTCGAATGAACGTAAAACCATTAAATCGACTTAATCACGTGATATCCTTAGACTGTTTTGCTGAGCTGTTTGCATCACTCTGTACCGCTTTGTTCGTGTTTTGTGTTTACATCTGGCACAGGGAGCTGTGTGTTACTCTCTCGACTTTAGATTTAAATTCTCGCGCGCTCTACCCTCCCCAATGACGTCACGCGAATATCAGCTGTTGGAGCACTGCGAATTCACCGCGTTGCGCAGAGCAGTAAGCGCTGTGAAATGACTACTGCGCCGATGAAGTGTCAATTTTTTTTAATTGTGTAACCTGTGCCAGTGCTGTAAATACTCTGCGTTCTTTTAGGCGAAAAGAAGTTTAGCTTTTACAGCAGCCGACAAAGTACGTGAAACGTGCATTTCTGTAAAAACTGGAATATATGTGTGTATACATACATACATACATACATACATATATGTATATATATATATATATACATATATACAATGAAAGATGGTAACGGTTTGACGGGATGTCTTTTTAGCGGTGATTTTATAGCGGGGCTTTTCGTGCTCGGACTTAGCATGTCGTACCTGCATCGAAAGTCGGCGTTAGTTTGTACCGTCGTGGAGCGCTTATTTTTGTCCCGAGTAGCTTTTTGACATCCGTTTAATGACTCATAAGAGTAATATAAATTGGAAATCAATTAAGAGGGCGCGTGCAACTACATCATGTTTAGTAATCTCTTCTAGAAAAGTAATTGTTTTGTATAGAAGGAATGGTGTAGATGGATAATAATCCGAATTATCAGCTCTTTTACAGGCGAAATCGAAGAGTCTTAAATCATATGACAGCATTGTTCGTGCGCACGTAGTTAGCTAAGACGTTAATTTTCTGTCCCGTTTACATTTGCTGAACTAACAAGAGTAGTTTTTTGGTATATGTCCACGAGTGCTATCTATTAATGGTACATGTTGCCCTAGATAAAGATCGTTGTTGACCTTAAAAATTACGACACCACTAGTAGCGGCGCAATGATCCGTGAAAATATCAATGCACTACTTACTTATGTGAATAGATACGATAACTTCGGTAGAAAAACGGAGAATCACTCATTCTAGAGTACCGCTTGACATTCTGCGTAAAATCTTTGTACTGCCAGGTATTCAATAGGAAAACCCAAGTGTTTTGTCTGTACGCAGAGCTACGTGATTATTACCACTGATGTCCCTTCGTAGAGATTCCTTGTACAGTCGTAAATTTAAAACAACTGTCCACGTGGAACACAAATCCTTTTTAGGGGTACTTGAAAAAATCGTGGACGATCGTTTATGAATCTATATTGTTTTTAAACTTAATACGACAAGAATATAGCAATGAACACATCATACAAATTTTAAGTATTATGCCCTTGGTGATAGAGGCACCCACACCCAAACGGGTGCGATAAACGCCGGATGCAGTCCGAAATCAGCCTCGTCGAACATGTGACTTTAGATACGCCTTGAACAAGATTTAAAGTGATTTTAAGTAGTCGTGAAGTAGATTCTTTGTTTAACCAAGTTCGTCCTTTTATTGCCTCCCCCGTTCGTGGCTGTAGTTATTCCCAAAAAATGCACCTCTTTTTTTAGCGGGTAAATCTATAGGAAGTTATCATAAACCAAAGCCTTTATTATTGTTGAGTATCGATTACAATATTGAAGCAGCTCTTTATTATTTGTCGGCTTAGGCTTTTGACGTCTTTTAGCCCATTATGCGCACTAGAATACGCCCCTAATCTGTGGGTTTCACAATAAATGCGGTAGATTCATGGATACAATGTGAAGCAAAAAGAAATGTTTGTATGTTGTTTGTCAGCTGTAATAGAATGCATTCATCGACTTGTTAATTTGTTTAAAATTCAAGTTACGTACGTTTGTTACAGTTCCCATACTACATCAAGCTTTTTGCCCTTGGTTAGCTTCAGTTTAGTAAGCGAAGATTATTATATACTAAGATATTGCTTGCGGTAATTTCTATGAGACGTGTCTTATTCTATAAAACGGATTGAATTGTCCAGACGAGTCGAAGCGGAAAATGTTTTCAATGTTTGTTGAAAAAATATTAACATATAGGATATCTGCCGCCATCAGTCTTCTCTGCGACAATCTAATAGTAATAATATGGAGTTCCGTGCTACACGTGAGGTGTATTCGTGTCACTGGCTCAAGCTGGTGTAATTTCGAAACATGTTATTTGCCTCCGAAGCCGGTTTTGTTGTATTCTTTATTTTTGCGTTGATCCGTGTCCGAAATGAAGTAATTTTCCCTATGTGCGTGCTGAACATGACACAACATAGTGTTATTCTTGCAGCTAAAGGGAGAGTCGCCAATTGATTTGATCGATGCCCCAAGATCATCGTAGAGTTAAACACCGACATAAGCTGCCGGCTATAATTAATATACGTTTTTCTTTTTTATTTTACTAGAAAACATCGAGCGGCTTCATGCAAGACTCATCATCTCTAAGCTCGGGGGTGTAGTGTTGATAAATGAAGCCCAGAAATAACCAAATAAACATTTAGTATTTTTTAAATATACAAAATCTTGGTAAATATATCATGCTGATTGGAAAATTCAAGAATTCAGCAGGTGACAGTGACAACTGGCTAGATAAATGGCACAGTTGTACTCACTGCATAGATAGGTACATAGCGTTTATCATGGTAGAATTCAAGTGCCTTCACTGCCTATGCATTTGCGAAATGGAAAAGATTTGACTTATTGTTATAGAACGAAGCTAATCAATGGTCTTTTGTTTATAACTAGTTCTTTACATCTGTGATTCTGTGAAATTCAGAGAGAGATCATGAATGCTTACAAGACAGTTATATGGTCTACACGTGCTATTTAATTGGCATTTCAATTGGGTTAGTTCAGTTGTTAGGCCATCTCGCTATATATCAATGGTCGACAGGAGCGAACCTCGAAACGACTGTCGCCTAACATTAGCACATGTAGATGTATCTAACTCAATTCAAACTAGCCTGAATCAGTCTACGATATGCTTATTATCGAGTTTTCAATACACGCTACATAGGTAAGTAATGATTTGGGTCCACATAAGTGTTCTCTTAGGGTTAGTGAATCAGATTAAACAAACGACCAACTCTGTAATAACGTTTGACATAAAAGCTCCTACCTGGATATGTGTATATATTTTATTAGCTTCTTTGTCTCCACGTCTACGAATGGAACCGGATGTTGTCAAATGCCCATTCACAGAGAAACGAAGATGACTAAGCGGCTTTACAATACAATTTAGCTTGTTTCAAGTTAAGCTAGGGCACCGCATTGTCGTTGGATGGCCTCACGTTGTACCTGTTATTGTTCTAAAGACAAATGTTCAGTTTCCGGACTAAGCAATATGTAAAATAATACAAGCGCGATCCTGGATGAAAATAAACTGTAAATAATTATTCAACACCTTGCGCGGTTATATGGGCCAGGATATAGATGTCTTCCGTGGATACATTCTCAAAGATTAATTCATTTCACGTAGTTTCGAGTCTGTGCGGGCCGTCTTGACAAATACGCTGATATAGAAGCTGATCTGTATAGGCTAAATTTGCTTAACGTTATCGTTGGAAGCAATTCGTATCACAAAAAAGAATTACGTGTTCAAATGATGCCACTCCATTCGTCAAAGAATGATTTGTTTTATAGACAAAATGAATTTACTACAACCCATTGGTGTTTTGGAAGAAGGGCCAATTAGAAGTAGCAATATCGATAGCCCTAATATGACTTCAAGGTGGGAGTATATGGGCAACTAATGGTATCGTGCGAATAAGTAAATCTGATGGGAAAATGCTGTTCTTCTTAGACTAAGCTCAGAGGATGAATGATTAGAGAAGCCAATAACCATTTACTAGCAAGTAGAACAGTTTAAACGTTATGGTTCGTCTGCCATAGGTCCACATAAAGGTTTGTTGGGCATCGTCAAGTCGGATTTTAAAAGGTGCTCAAGTTACTAGTACATCAATGAGTTCAATTTTGTGCATGAAGAAAGGAGAAAAAGTAGCAATGTGTACACCATTCTCCAAAGACGACTGCACAGGAGCCCTTATAACTATCGTGGGTATGCATTATTCTGGCATTAATAATTGTTCCTAATTAATTCTAATGATTATTTGCGATGCGGTATATATGTTGATAGCAATGTATTGTCCGGACGATCCATTCAACGATAAAATCGTAAACATTTAAATCCAACTACGTGTTACCTAGTGTTGACAACAACCGCGTACGCTACAACAACTACGATGTCGTAATTTAACTTGCTGCATGTACGTATTCTTACCGAGCTAAGTTGTACTCCGAGACCACCTAATTCTGTCAATTTCTTCTCAAGTTAGAACTGACGGCACCCGGTTTCTAAACGTAGGAGCCATTGAACCCCTGCTCACTATGATCATGTCATGTAGCTCAGTATAATAACTTCCCTAAGATGTAACTTGCTATCATTTTGCTTTTATATAACTTATTCGAGATAGGCGAAACTGTGATCGAAAGGTCATAGCTAAAAATACACTTACGCGAATAGCACAAAATTTCTGACCTGCCTGTATGTAAACTATTTTGAAAGCTTGACAGTATCGAAACTTATAACGAACGTTTCCGTGCTATAAAAGAAAAAGAATTGCTTTTATAGCCCCTTGTCCCACATAGTTCTGCTTATTATCCTTTTTCTTTTACGTAATTGCATTTTCAGATGGGTGGAGAGCACGGCGACGGTAATCACACGACAAAGAGCTCTTTTTTACTAGGCGGTTTGACATGTGATACATGCGTTAGAATTATTGAGAATCGGCTACTCGACCTCCATGGAGTCAAAAATGTCCAAGTGGGTTTCTCTACATTGATAAAAATATGCAGTCCTGGGATGTTAGATCTTACTTTCAATTCGTTTTTAGGCGAACTAGTTATTGTTATACTAAACACGTAGAGCGTGTGCTACAAAGCCGCTTTTTTTTTCTAAAAATCAGCTAGTTCAGGCTTCAGAATGCGTGTTTTACTAAGCTTTGTTGCACAGATATGCCTCGAGACTCAATTGGCGTCGGTGGAGTATGATTTCTACAAGCTGTCCATGTCCGAGATTGTACGTACCGTATGCAATCTTGGGTTCAGTGCTAAGCCGGTGATGAACCCAACGGGGGCCGGAATCCGAGATGTAACATTACTCATTGGAGGGATGATGTGCAACGATTGTGTTCGAAAAGTAAACGAAAAATTACGCGCCATCAATGGAGTTTACAAGTACGCATTTATACGATAGCTGTCCAAACAGAAGTATCAATCTTATGATATTTGTAGAAAATGTGAAGAAAATATAAATAAACTCTATCATACGTAATCTAGAATCCGTTCCATGTTATTAGTGTGCACTTAGTCCTAATTTTAAGTACTGTAATTAAGAGTATTACTATAAATTGATGGTTGTGTTGTTCTAATGAACCGGTTGTGTTTATTTTGGAGCTTGAAACCGAACCAATTGTTCGAGAAATAATGTCTGCGTTAATAATATATGCTTAAATGTGCGCGCGCTAATGACATTTTTGATCGATGGTGGCGTAGGGTGGAGGTTTCATTGACGGAGAATCAGGCATCGGTCTCGTACGAGGTGACTCTTGCATCTGTTGAGCAGCTTCTTGTGGCCGTTGGGGAGTTGGGTTTTGTTGTTAATTTACCTGACAACGTCCCCCTTTCGCAGGTCACCTACCATCTCAAAGACCTCTCCTGTGAAATATGTGCTACGTCGATTGAGCGGGTACTCGTCGATAAGGAAGGTAGGATAAGCTAAATAGGATGTAACGTTATATAACAGCATGTGTTTGATGCCATTTATTTTGACAGAGATAGTACTATGACATATTTATTTATTCTATAGGCCTTTTGATGCTATCGGTGAGGAAAACGTAGAACCTATTTCTCTTCGGCGCCTCATCTTTCTCATTTCATTGCTTTAATCAAATTAGATAAAATTTTCGTTTATTCATCTCTGTTAGTAGTAGTCTAGAACTTCATATATACATGTCAACGACACAGTATGCCAATATTAATGTATCTAGAAACATTTAAAACCATTAAAAACACTTTGCGTCATATGGTTTTACAGGTTTTATTAAGTTTATAAAAATAAGATGTGTGCCAAATGTTTTAAAAATGATACCAGGGCAATGAACGGCATGATATTTATCACAGTTTCTTTAGCATATGGAGCATTTGCAATCATCATTAAGCTCGTGGGAACCCGGTTTCCTACAGAGTCTAAGGCAGAACTCATACATGGCCATTCGGTGTTCTTCATCGCACCCGAAACAAAGAAGTCTCCATCGATCTCCGCAAACTTTAGCTTTTAGTTTTTAGGGTCAATCTCTAACGTTTTCGTTGCTTGGAGTTCAAAATGACGACGTAAATTAACGGACGACAGTGACGCGTCGGCTAGCAAAGACGCGAGACGATTTCGGGTCACTATGTATAGTGAGGTTTTTGAAAAGGGAGGTTTTGACGCGGTTTAATTGTTCAAGCTTCTTTATTGTAGGACCGTCTTGCGTATCTCATCCATTCAAAGTAGACTTACCTTCGAACAAGCTTGAGAACGGTTGCAAGGGACAAGCGATGAGGCGCCTTGATCGCTTATCCGGCCAATACTGCCTTTCTACACTGATCTATCCAGAAAAACTTTTACCGTTTGTGGAGAGGAGCAATTCCAGCAACGAAAACTTGTTTATATAGACAAGAGGCATCCTGGCGAAATGTTAAGCTGTGCTACCTTCCCTTCGTTGTCATCACAAAGCTCCAAATCCATCACCGTCTCGTGGAGTCGGGCTAGAGCTACCTGCGCTTGGAACCTTTTCAACCTTTATATCAATAAGTCGCCTAAATACAGGATAACTTCATTTAACTTTTTGGCTCCTCTTATTTAATCAGAAAGGCTCTGCAGCGAAATGGAGTGAAATTAGGTTGTACTTTTTAGTCAAACCTAGTCTGTGTAAAAGGTGGGAGTTCGGCCACTTCGTCGTCAATTTTCCTATTGTCCATTCGAGAAGGCTAAGCACATTCATAGAGACAGCCATCTCGGTCACTGTGACCACCTGGGCACCGAGTCGAATGCACTGAAGTCGACGAACACCGCGTATAGCTAATAACGCGACGTGGTCAGTACCCTCTTGACGTTAGCCATTAGGATGCTTCACATTACTTCGTGGAGGGCTCTCTTTGGAGCCGGTATTGTTCGGTTGTAATAACGTATATGCGTTCTAACTTGTTGTCCAGTCTCAAAGCGAGAAGGCCAGGTAGCACCCCATAACAATTTTGTTCGCTATCCCTCGCTAAGGTATCGGCGTGATTCGATCGCCCATGCCTCAGGCAATCTTTAGCTGAATAGCATCTATCCTCTGGGGTGGGAGTGTATAAGTATGTAATCATTTATTGAACAGAGCCGTCCAGCACGGCTGCAGAGGTGATTTATGAGGACCATAGAACTAATCAGGCAAGCCGCCGAGCTGCCCTAATGCGTTAGCGGCGATAAAGTGAGTGTCCAGCCGTTTAAGATATTGTTTGTATGATGCATACATCTTTCGACAGATCGTTTTAAAACAGGAAGCAAAGGAATCAGACCGTACCTCCACCATAAGTTTGATCGCCATCTAAACTTTTAGCGTAAGGCTACAACGTTGGTTGAACTACTGCGTGTGCCGTGGAGGACAGAAGGGCTATACTGTATATTAAAAAATTTAAAGTGCCCGCTGTGCAAAAGATTCGGTATCTACCTTGTAACGTACAAGGAGAATTTCGTGGGTACATTCCAAGAGCTTGTCTATATTTGGGTGTCAGGAGCTTGACGTGTGACGGTCGGCGCAAATGCGACTTAGAGAGCGAAGTCAATCGCCATAGGTATATGAGCCGAATGCTTACGCCGTTTGACAGTGAATGATTGTCATTCTGAAGCTTTATCCTATACGTGGTTAGGTTCGTCGTAAATATATCAACTTTCTGAATGTCCTAGGGAAGTCGGTGTCGATTAACTACCCAGCAACTATGGTCTGCAACCACGTCGTAAGCAAGGGTCGTAGTACGGTCAAGTCTGCTCAGTCGAGACGGGCGTTGACGCCGCCAGCAATGATCAGAGGAGGGACAGAATAAGAAGATAGTGCTTCCAGTTCACTAACAATCTTCTTCACTAACACGTACATTAACTCCGAAGCAGCCGGCTGAACATATCTGCTGCTGCGAGACTTCGTCGCTAACTGTTTCGAAGCACAGCGTGAGTTCGCCTATCTTATGATTTTAGCAAACAGATTGCCTCTACTAGGGCAACAAGGTTTGTTGCTCTTCACTGTAAAACAATGCACAGAAACACTGGACTAGTTGCTCAGATCTTCGTTAACACGAAGACTATTGTTGAGTTCTTCAATGAAGGAATGTGCCTGAATTGCCGTCTTCTCATAGCACAACTGTTAGTTTCTCCAGCCTTGCGGCAAGCTCCTTGGTCATTCTCGCGGGCGGCGTTGGCCTTTCAGGGTCTATGCTGCTAGAAATTATTTAACAAAGTGTTTGATCGTTGGCCGTGGTGCAACTGTTCGGTCTAATACTGCTGTCTCTATCGACGATTCTTTAATGGCGGTAATTCGTCCTTTTGATTGCGTAGCGCATAAGGCCGATCTTATACAAAGGTGGTTCAAGTTGTCGTGCAATTAAAATATCATTATATAGGGTACAATTGGTGCAGGTGAATATCAAGTTCAAATGTAAATTTTGGCATTCGTTTTGTTTGTTTTGATGTTCGCTCATTTTGTTGATATTTTATTTAACTAAATAGGTGTGCACCACGTAGAAGTGTCCCTCAGTGAGAAAAGCTGTTCGGTATCGTTCTTCGACTATAAACTGAAGCCGTTGCAAATTCAAGAGTATATTGAGGCAACGGGTTATAGCTGCGAATTAATCACTCTGGAAATCCCACCCCAGCTTAAGTCAGCTCTTTTCCGGTAAGCGCTCATAAACTAAACTGCTACATACCTTCAAGTAGCTATCGTAGCATTGTTTTAATAGCTATATAGATTTACAATCATTTTCATTAGAAACACTGCTTTTTATGTATTTGAAGCTTTTGGTCTTTGGTCATTTGTATTATATACGTTTTATTATGTTACTATGCGTATTTGTACGGCCCTAACTCTGTTCTGCTGTGTGGCATAAATATTTATTGTTTGATAAACTTAGTGTCATCGGAATGTCATCTCAGTCGTGCGTAGGTCACATTGAGGAACAACTGGCCTATCACAAGGGTGTAGTGGGCATAAAGGTATCACTTGAGCTGAACACCGCCGCCGTTGTTTTTCTGTCACAAGAGACAGAAGCCGAAGATATTCGTGAAGCTGTCGAACACCTGGGATACAACTGTTCTCTAATTGAAGATCTTGGCGAAAAAAACGACGATCTTGCTAGCGAAACTGAAAAAGTAACGCCAGATAATAATGAAACAAGCCCTCTATTAAAAGCCAAGGTTAGTAGTAATAATTTATTGGTATGTTTCAAAATAATAACGTTTTTATATCTAACAAAAATGCAGTACTTCATTTAAATTTTTACAGTTTATTGTATTGTGTATTTGCCGTAACTTTCTACGGCCTTCTCCTTTCTCTCACTAGTTTACCCAATCCCGCTCGAATTTCTCAGGGTTGCTATCGAAAAGTTTGTACAGTTAGTCTCATTGTAACTCGACTTCCTTCATCGCAAAGGTTATTGACAAAAATTTCGTTTTATAGTGATCAGAAAAGATGATCACGCTGTGCGCGCGCAAGGTTGAAAAATATCATATATGCGGAAGAGTGTGCTACTGAAACTTATCCAAAGACGGCTTTTGTTCTGTTTATTGGATCTCCTTCCGATAGACAGTATCGTTAACTCGGTGTAACTGGGTCATCTAAAGATGGCTTTTGTTCTGTTTATTGGATCTCCTTCTCATAGACAATATTGTTAATTCAGTGCAGCTGGGTCATACAATGATACTTGTTGAGACTTTTTTCAAGGCTTCTCTCAAGCACTTCCCAAAGTATACGACTTTCTATCCCAGTAAACGCGAATTTTTTTTCTTCTAAAGGATCATGCTTAACTTTGGGCTGAGGGGTATCTTTTTAAACTGTCATTTCTTGATCTTCTTCATGTTGATGTAGAAGCACTTATTGTTATCCGCAAGATTTTTCTATAGGCCACTCTGGCTGTGTTGTTTTGTGCCGGATGCGTGTTGAAAAATAATGAAAATGTTGAGAAATTATGAAAAATATGATCAATCAACACCCTGAGCGCCCCATGAATTAATAAAAAAACGAAAAATAATTGCTTTATTTTTAATTTTCAATTAATCAGTTCAATTAATCAGCACGGTGGAGTAGATAATTTCTCAAAAGTCTGACTAACGTGCATCTATTTGAGCGTGTTGCCATGCTAACCATAGCCAGCATGCACGCTGCCACGCTGTTCTAAATTGGCACAAGTTATTTCTAGATTTAGGGAATTAGGGGTGAAAGGCAAAATGGATTTGGAAATGTAGGGTCCTATTATTAAAGGCTGATCACTGCTCGCATGGTTACCATGTCGTCTCATAGGTATGCTAGAGAAACCCCAGCAAGATTTGCTGCAGCTAGACTTTTAATACGAGCAAGTTCTTGATGCTATACCCATAAATAAGTCGTAACTGATAATGCTAAAAGAAGACAAACAAATGCTTCTCAGAGGTAAGTTCGTGTTGTTACAAAACACCCGGTACCTATTCTAAAAGGCTGTTTGCTGCTCAATCGTGCTGCCAAAAACATATGATTATGTGTCCAAAGTTGCTTTTGACCTTCTGCTTAGAAATGATTACGTATAAGGTTGTTAGAAGGGCTTTAGTTTACTTTTATTTACCTTCACTTACCATCGAAAGACAATTGCTTTCAACTAGTTGTAATTTTCTGGTGGTAAGCAGTATCTTTTTCCCTTAAATTTAGTTTCCAAAAATGAATGTTTATAGCTAAAAGGGCATATTTTCCACACTTACCTTATTTTGCCTTTCGCAAAAGTTAGAAAACTAGTTAAGAAACATGGAATATTTGTTTCGTGCGTAGTAAGTACTTACTTGAAACGACTGCTTGAATGTGGTTTGATATGTTCAAGGATGGAATCCTGAGCCTGAGGAATATAACCCACCCCCTGTCACTCATACGAGGCCCATGAGAACCGCAAGTGATAAATAATTCCGTGAATCGGCCGAAAAGATGCGCTGAGAACTTTCGGCAATATTGAATACCGAAAAGAACGAGCACATGAAAGTATGGCTTTTTACTGGCTCCCAGTACCTCGCCCTGCACTGAGCAACATGCGCCCATAATCAATTTCGTAGCAGAATCGTCATAAGTGATAGAAAATGGCACCTCCGCGTCAAAATCAAACAGAGAAAAGAATTGGCAGCTTCGGGAGATAAGCCTAAGCTCCGATAAGCATATCTTCATAACAAAACGATCATGGATTTGGTGCACCTAAAACGGCCATTTATACCGGAGAATGCTCCAGGAAAACAGGTTCAAATGCATCAAATAAACGAGGCTATGCAACAGAAAGGACTATCGGGCTTAATAAAGTTATACGTCTTTGCGACAATGTTAGACCATAACAAGGCAAACATCGTTAAAACAAACACCTTAGTGGAGGTTGTTTTGTACTTCTTCCTTTTTAATTAACACCTATTCTGGTCCTTGACAATTGGAACCCATAACAAAAACTGATTAGCGAGTTTTTTAGTATTACACTTGAAAATTTCTGACAAGACATGGTATCTTAGTTGATAGACAAGAAAGGATCGTAGGATTTTTAGAGAAACACATTTGATCGTTCCATTGGCCGCTCAAAGATATGTTCTCCGATACGCCTATAAGGCCGAGGCATTGCCTCGAGCTAGCAACATCCACAGAGGTTATTTGTGCAATGTGAAAATAAATTATCTATGATATTTGATACCTTATTTTCTCTAATCGAAGTTTAACTTAGGCTTCATAAACAGGTGTTAGGCGTAGCCACCGGAGATGCTAAATAGATTGCACTGTTTGCCTATTTTTTCACCAGAACGATACTCGCTCATATTCATCTCAACGGAGCCTCGAACTGGCTCTCCAGAAATCGATAGGTAAGCACTTGTAACAATATTACTAATTAGTTACGTATTTTGTATTTAATAAATCCTACTTTTATATATTTCTATTTGCCATAAGAAAATGGCGTAAATTCGGTAATGTTCATATTTTAATAGATATTACTTCAATTATGTTGTAAGCCTTTCCATGGAATACCAGATATCTTGCACCTTTATACTGACATCGTTCTGAACTAACACTGAAGTGAGGTGACCGTTCATTATGAAAATGACTGTTTTTAAAGTGACCCTCAAAGCAGACTTGCGTTAAACGAAGTTTCATTTTAGAATTTCTCGTATTGCAAATGGTCGAAATAAGCGGCGAAAGAAAAGCGCATAAGAATTAATATTTCACGGGTACAAAAGATAAAAAACGTGTGGGGCAAATAAGCACATCGTTTTACCTTTCTTCTGATAAGGCCACATTTGTGATAGGATTTCTATCTAGTTACAGGATTTAACCTTGAGTACACAATAAACCTATGCGTTAGACGCATGCAATAACCATATTCAAAAACAGGCATCGTTTCTACGATATGGTTTCTTGAACAATATATGACATCGTCGTTTTTAACGATCGTTATCTTTAAGAATCTTCGGCAATTTCGCACAGCCTGCGATAGTGTACAGTCTAATTTTGAAGAGGTAATTTGTTGATTCAAACACCAAAGATGACAGGCAAAGGGAGAACAGGACGTAGAATCAGCTTTAAATTTCAAGAAGTTCAAGACTCTGGTACGTCTGAGACCGAATAAACTAGATGCGAGTACGTATAAAGTTTCTGCCATGCGCAATGGATATAATGGGCGTTGTGTTGAGGCGGGCAAAATTTGACGACGAGAACGGGCTGTATTTGGTTGACTCATAAGGCCCGGATACGTGCGATGTATAAAATCGCTCTTATCACGTAATGTCTCTTTTGGTGTTGTACCAACCTTCAATGTACAACACTCGTAGCGGGTCACTTGCTGACTAAGCACCATTAATACTCTTTAACATTCGTTGTTTATTTGAACTAGGATTTAAATTGTCGCTTACTTAGCATTACCCAAAACTGGTAAAAAAGCTTTTTAAATGGACGTAACCTAGCTTGGATAACATACTTTGCTCTCTTTATCTCCATTGGTAGACTTCGCCCGCAGTGGCCAAAAAGAGCAAATTCTGCACGTCTTTTACCATGCGAGGCACAGACCTTTCGGTTCACGGCGAAACTATATGATGCGAATGTAAGCCAGCTTTACTTCATGAAAAACCTTCATATATGCATTCATATAATATGAAGACTGAAACTTCAAAGCAAGGAAGGCACTTGCATGCGAAGCATTTTCTGTTTATAGCATTCTATATTTTGTCTCACGATTGAGTACGGAAAATTCCATCTGAGCGCCAATTAAATTATACGCGATGTCGACAAAGCTAACTAAATGTTCTAAACCTTCGTGTTGATTTAAGGCAGCGTAAGGATTTTTGCAGCCAAATCCTGCGTGACAAATACAGTCAGGTACAATTGCATCAGCGATTTGATTGATGCTTATTCATCTTACGATCACATAATAAGTTTTTTCTATCTTCTTTGAAAAACGGCCCTGAGGCTTGACCAAGCCGATGCGAATTTGACCATTGCTTTCTGCAAAAGGTCCTGCATCTTCTTTGCTAATCCTAGCGGGCATGCCCTTTAACCGGTACCTTTGAATTGTTCATAAGGGAGGTACGTATTCCAGTTGCATAAGCACTTTCATTAGTATTTTTATTATTAAATAGAGTAAGCAAAGAAAAGAGTAATACCAGAGCTGGTCAAAATGGTTCACGTGGCGTGGTTCACCTGACCTCTCTGAAGAGGGAATGCAAGCGTCAAGCCGAGCAAGTCCTTAGGTGTGCCTTGGGTAACCCTTAAATTAAAACCTTTAAATCAGTAAGAATAATTATTGATTCATTACGCGATAAATGACAAGTTCTCATGAACTCAAATTTCACTTAATATTCGTGTTAGAACCGTCAAAAGAAGCGGAAACATCCAAACCCTGTGGGATTTTTGCCATTTATTTATTTCGTGGTAATTAGATAATAACGGTAATGTAATTTAAAGTTAACTTATCATTTAATCTGTGTTTAGAGAAATAGGAACGCATGAATCAAAAAACAAAGTTAACTTAGTATATCGACATTAAAATTTCTGCATTGGACATAGGAAGCCCATTGCAACGACAAGATGAATGAAAGTATCATCTGAGTACACATTTCAACGATCGCTATTAAACGTAATGAAACAACAAGCAAATGGCGTCTATATCTTATTTCAGAGCATTTAAGCAAATCGAGCCGCGCCTCATCGCGCCATACTCTAGTCAATGTCGAAGCAGCAAATCTAGAAAAAGCCTTTTTTACCATTAAAGGGATGACGTGTTCTTCCTGTGTGTCCACCATTGAGAACAACCTCAAAAAGGTAACTTTTAATGACCGATAAGCTATCTGCAAAAAACGTACGACGTCCTTTTAGATCCTCTAGCTTACCCACTTATTCGTTTCGGTTCATAGATTTCTCTTTCCTTAATCTTTTTTTAGTGTTAGACCATGTCAGCATATTAAGATCAATAGATTAAGGGGGACATTAAAGGCGCATCTCCTTTGCGGGCAGTTGTTGCGGTCAGATGCAGTGCTTGTCGTGATTTTACCAACATAGTTCCTACAAGTACTAAATGCCCTACGTGCTTGCATCTGCATTTAATTTAATTTCTAGATTCGGGGTATCCATTTCGTCCTCGTGGCACTTTTGGCAGAAAAAGCCGAAGTCCGATATAATCCTGAACTGATTTCGCCAGATGCAATCGCAGGAGCCATAGACTCAATGGGTTTTGAAGCTGAAGTACTTGCCGATACCCAGTGCCCTCCAGGACAACTTGTAGTTATGGTAAGTCGATTGATGCACGTCTAATTTATGCAACTTGCTTCCCTTCTAAAATTAAAAAGAAAAAAACAAACTGTTGATGACAAGTGAAATAATAAACGTGTTGTGACATATAATATTACATGGCGGGATTAAAAAAGCGATCACTCGCTCTGTCGACAGCCATTTAACCCGGTAGTTAGAGAACAGAAAACATTTCCCCAGAAAGTCCTTATAAAGAAAGTGTCCTACATATTTCTCTACGGTGCAGCCACGGTGAAGTGTTTTTCATTGCAGTTAAGGTTTTTATAGGAACGTAGTCAAAGCGTCCATGTTACGCTGATAATCCCGCCTCTTTATCGAACACAAAAAACCTTAATATTATCAAGAACTCCTTAATTTAACTAACAACACAACGTATAATATTCCTACTCACTGCAACTAAAAAGCAAAAGATTTTTGTCGAACGCAGATCTTGTATGAATAACAGATATCATATGAGTTATTCTTGTTAGTGTCGACGAAGCCTTTTTATGTGCAAATGCAGTCATTATATCATACTTATGGCTTCGTGCAGTAAATACATTCAAATTGCATTAAGAAAGAAAGGGCTACTTTACCTTGCCATTCCAAACGCTCTCTACTCGTTATACAATAAAATGTCTCCGTGATAAGTGTTTTTGTAATGGTAGTTGTTGTAATTAATAGAATCAACATTAACTTAATACAGATCAAAGGAATGACTTGTGCTTCGTGCGTGAACAGCATAGAAAAAGCAGTATTTCGTATTCCTGGAGTGACTAGCGCAAATGTAGTACTGAGCACCCAAAAGGGCACTTTTACGTTCGATGGTGACGTTGCTGGCCCACGCGCTATTGTAGAAGCCATTGAGGTAAGTGTTATTGGACTTAAACTCTTCTTCCATGATCTATTCACAACATCGTAGATCAGGCCAAGTCTGCTTACGTAAATAGAGGCTGTTTATATTTACATATAAAAGAACGTCTGCTCCGATCATAATGGATAAGATGAAGTTTAAATGTATAAATAAATGCGAGTAAATGAATCTCTTCCGTTTGTGGCGGTTTTCGTTGTAGCTCCATATACACAAACGGGTTGCATTAAAATGCGGCTCCAACAGATACCCTATGGTGCTGATTTATTATTAGGTGACTACTGTATCAACGTGTTTGTTGCAGAATAATAGCATTTCAAGCAAGCTGCTTGCATGCCTTACCTTAGACCATGATCGGTCACGATTCTGCTGAACTCTAAAAATATCTCGAAAAAGTCATTAGAGAAAGGGTCAGCACCCTTTCCATTAATTTCTGGCGTCAACAGCTGCTTTTACTCCTGCTGCTATGTTGTGCCCTGCCTATTTACCTGGATGCATAAAAAAAAGCCGAATAATAAAGGTCATCGCTGCATGCCATGGTGTTCATACGTGCAGACCAAGCGAAGGGCCTGTACCAAATCTGACGTGAACGGATCGGACAGATATTCAGGAGAGTACAGTTTGGTATACATGGATGCTCGGTTTGCTGATGCTGCACCTTCCGTCATCAGTGGGGCTTGATAGGTTACGGCAAATGGTCTGCTCGTACTATTGTACGACGCGATAGGTGAAGAATGATCGTGCGATTGGGAACCTCTCCATCTTAGCATAGGAAAAATAGTTTGACGAGACTAGCCAGTGGAAAGATGCAAGAGTCTTTCGTGTGTTGGATAAATTCGACCAATACACGCTACTGTAAATGTTCTTCATATTAAACAAATGTTTATGTGGCGCTTTACATTCTTTAATGTATGCAGCGCAAAAAATTCTGACACAAGTATTTACATGGTATTTTGGAGAAAGCCTTAGGATACGTTACTCTTCAGTGGGTACGAAATTCTGTGCAGTTAAATATCGTGATATCATTCCTACATTGAAGTTGTCTTAATCTAATCAAGAATTTACTTGTAGATTTGGTTTTGCTTTTAACTCATAGGGGGCCGGTTTTGAAGTCCACCTTCCGTCCAGCGCGGATACCTCTATAGCGGATCGATTAAGCCATCGCTCCGAGATTGAGAAATGGCGGTCGGCCTTCCTTGTCTCGTTATTATTCGGGGTACCAACGATGGCAATCATGATTTTTTACATGGTAATAGCCCCTCAAAATGGAGGTGGCCATAAGCAAACGATGATTACTGAAGGTTTGTCTCTAGAGAACCTTCTCCTCTTTGCGTTGGCTACACCTGTTCAGGTAAGGAATACTCTTTGATGGCTCTTTGTTAGACCATGTTGGCTTTATAATTGAAATGTAGTGTTTGTTATTTAAAACAGACTAGCGTTGTGATAAATATCTATATACAATGACGCTTCGCAAGATAATCTATATATAAATATATTGATGAAAAAATAAAGCCAGGCCGTTCTTGTCTTTCCTAGTCATTACTGATGCCCTTGGTCAATGCATAGTTATTGCTACCTTAACATAACATTTCACACGTTGCATCTTTCCATTGCTGTCTCAGTTTATTGGAGGACGACATTTCTGCTGTCCTGCGCTACGCTCGCTTCAACATGGTGCGGCCAACATGGATGTTCTTATCGTGTTGGCAACAACCATTTCATATCTCTACTCAGTTACGGTTCTCGGAATTGCGATGGCGACAAGGCAGTCTATGAGTCCTATGACATTTTTCGACACCGTGCCGATGCTCATCGTCTTCCTTTGCCTTGGAAGGTGTACAACGGCAACTTAATAAGAGAAATTATGATGATGATTAATTAATAACAATGATAATTAATAATTAATGTTATACGCTTAACCATGTTCTCATGACACAAGGCATTTTCATTTTCCCACTTTTTAACTCGTCACCATTTAAATTTCAACGATAATTTGTTTGCGTATAGATTTTTAGAATTTTAGAAGAAAAATGGCTTTTAAGTATACTGTCAGACCTACAAGAGTGGAGGTGTACTTAAATAGTTAACAAGAAAGTCCATGGCCGTTTCGGTTGTTTGTGCTAAATCGCTTATTAACAATGTGGTACCCGTCAGATGGATGGAGAGCGTAGCAAAGGGTGCCACTACGGAGGCGCTCACAAAACTCATTGAATTGGAACCCACTACAGCACTTCTGGTCAGTTCGGGGAACCATGAAGAAAAAGAGATTAACAAGCAACTGGTAGCACGTGGCGATCTAATCAAGGTAATTGATTTTAGTCAAACGAAAGCTGACTGTAACGAAGAACCGAAAAGGTGTCGTTAGCATGTTGCACGTGCAGTCTTGTGGATTACTAATTCGTTGAATAAAAGCAAATGTTAGCAAATAAAGCCTAAAGCGGGTCTTTCCTTCCAAACGTTACTAGTTACATGCTCTAAATGTGAATTTAGATGAACATGACCTAATCAGCTAAATGAGTGGAAGATCCAAACTGAAACACCTTATTCAAAACAGCTTTGCAACGATTCACCGATATACTCCATCAGTCCTGCCGATTTTTCATAAAACTTTCAAATAATTAAAACCTTTAATCTCTCAGCGTTAACGGAAGCTATATGTGCTTGGATATTCATTTTGCTTAAGTACATATTGAAATTGATCCAACATTTAGCGTATGCTATGATTAAACGTCATAACGCCTTGCGAACATAACATATAGCAATTCTCGCTTTATTTACAGGTGTTACCAGGTGCAAAGGTGCCGGTTGACGGTTGTGTCGTATCCGGCCATGGACAAGTGGATGAGTCCCACATCACAGGCGAATCTTTACCAGTCGATAAAAACCCTGATGATATAGTTTTTTCAGGCTCATTGAATATTAACGGAGTGCTTCTTATCAGAGCAACTCACGTGGGACAGGACACGACCCTCGGACAAATAGTCAAACTGGTAACTTAGAAAATATAAATATAAATAAATTAGATTAAGTAATTTAGTGTTTATAAAAAAGCAATCCATCGTTGGAATTAAGTCATTAAAACTATTGGTGGCATTCATTTATTTTAGATGTATCATAATTCCAATATACCGTTTAGTCATTGACTTAAACTAATTCATTAAAATTTCAAATATGTCTATATATAGTATGGCTTTTTCGAGTACTTTTATGTCGTATGTAGGTACTATTCAAGAACTCTATTGTATGGTGATCGATGATTTTCACATTAATAATTACGAACTAATAACGTTATATCAATGTTAGAACATTGCGCTCAAAGAGCTATCACTTAAAGCATCTCAAGCTTCGTCATAATTTGCAGGTCGAGCAAGCTCAAACGTCAAAAGCACCTATTCAGCAGTTGGCAGATAGGATAGCAGGCTACTTCGTGCCAGCCGTTTTTTCGTTGAGTGTGATAACTCTTGGCGTATGGATGTTCATTGGTTTCACCAAGGTTGACATTATCCGTTCGTTCGTTGGAAAATATGAAGGAAGTGACTTAGAGGTGACCTTGCAGTTTGCCTTTCGCTGTGCTATTACTGTGTTGAGTATTGCGTGTCCATGCGCACTTGGCCTAGCAACTCCAACTGCTGTAATGGTCGGGACTGGTCTTGGAGCCAAAAACGGTATTTTCATTAAAGGTGCAGAGCCGCTCGAATTGTTGTCACAGGTAAAGTATGCCATAAGAGGTAACTTCACTCGTTTCAAATTTAGCATGTTTCAAATCAAATTGAACACATTACAATAAATGTAGAATGCAATAATACTGAAATCTGCTTCAAATCTTTTATCGAAAAAGTTACTGAGCTTTTGCGCTCCAGTGAAAACATGTAAAATTGATTATCACGGATAATACCAAAGTTTAAAAACGAACCGCATGCAAAAGTATCCAGCGCATTGAGCTATGCTATTACTATATTGGTAAACCCATTTATGCTGGCAGCAGATATGTCTTGTCAACTTTTTTTAATCAGTCACCCACCCACTTTCTAGGATGATTTAATATATAAACACAGAAGACAAGGAGATGAATTCGTCGAAATTCACGACAGTAAAATTATGAGCAACATTACTGGTATTTTCGGGGATTATTTTCTAATTCGACTTGATTATTTATCGCTATGATAAGCATCTTTAATGCATAGATGTTGATGCGCCGACGTTCCCACCTGACAAGCATTCACATAACATAAAGATTTATAGGTCTGTGCGCTCTATTCTGTTTTTCTTTCTGAGGCCTACGAAACGTTTTCACTTTGTGCCATTTCTCACCATGTGGTGCTACATAACTGGTCGTCCGAAAACACCGCCCTCGAGGTTTCTTGTACCCCTTTTAAAAAAGTTCCATATGATTTGAGTAATGCCCCTTATATATATATATATATATATATATATATATATATATATATAATTCGACTTGACTTTTCTGCCCATATTTATCTGTTGTTCATGCAACGCGATTCAGGTAAAAATTATTGCTTTTGACAAAACGGGTACCATTACCGAGGGCAAAGCATCAGTCACAAGCTTCACCAATTTCTCTGCCGTGGTCCCATCTGGCCCTTTAGTAGCCCTTATTGGAGCCGCCGAATCTAACTCCGAGCACCCGATCGGAAAGGCGATCTTTGCCTTTGCCGTAGATCAACTTAGTGAAGAAGAAAAAGAGCTTCCGAGATGTGAGAATTTTGAAGCAACCCCAGGCTATGGCCTGCAGTGTGAAATCGTCTATGATTCGTACACAATATATCCAAACGAAACCAAAGGTAGGTACTCGATTTTCCATAAAGTTGGAGCTAGTTGGAAGATGCTCGGTATACGTGTTAATGATTACATTCACTTTTGGTTCCGTTGCAAAGCATTCATCAGATCAATATGTGTAGTATTATTCCAGCATCATTAGCATAGTAGTGCCATCTTGTTGACGACGGTGCTCCCTTGGCCATGGTGTTAAAAAACTAAGCCCAGTCGTTTTTGAACAAGCATCGGCATATCGCAAAAATGCTTTTAAGAAGTGTTTGCTTTTAAAAAATGCTTAATTTACTTAACTTACTTAACGCTTAACTTTTTTCCTGTTCTTTGTATTTTCCTTGAACACTACCGATTCGGATCAGATATTATTGTTAAGGATGATGGCTCTGTGCTAAGAAATCCGTTAAAAACGGGACTGGGAAAAGTTAATCGAGTATTAGTTGGTAATCGCATGTGGATGTTGAACCACGGAGTGAAGATCAGTGGTTCGCAGGACAAGGCCCTCGAAACCTGCGAACTTGAAGGAGAAACTGCTGTTGTTTGCGCGATAAATGGAGTAGCATTAGCGGTACGTAAAGTTCATCGGAATTTGATTGCTATGCTGCCAAAGGTTCAATGATTATAGTAACTAGACTCTACTGCTCATCGGTTGGTATTAACCGAACTGATTCGAAATTTGCCTGTATAATATGAAAGCTTGTTCTCTAAAACAAAGAGATTTTCTCTATCAAAAGCGCTAATGTAAATTATATAGAGGACTGCTAGGATCTAAGTGATTCCCTCGATTCTTAATACGAATGAGCTAACTCTTCAGGACCAAATACTAATCGCTATTCAAGTATAGGGCTTAATTAATGTACTTAATTAAATCTTTATATCCTGTTTTTCTTTTGAATATCAGGTTGTTTCAGTGTCCGATCGAGTAAGGCCTGAATCTAGGGCTGTAGTGACGCACCTTAAGGAAAAACTTTTTAAGGTAGTCCTATTAACAGGAGATAACAAACGTACAGCAAACGCAATTGCAAAGAAAGTTGGTATTCGCGACGTAATTGCCCAAGTTTTACCTAGACACAAAGCAGAGAAGGTAAGGGTGATTCGCTGAAGTGCCTTAAAGAAATCGTACCTTTTTTGACTAGTTCTGTCTATTCCCACGCTTCAAAGTTTTAGATTAAAAAATGCACATACTCTGAAGTATTTTGAGGTTGTGTGCTCGCTGTTCATAATCGCAAAGATATGATACCAATTAGTAAATTACAGTCAGTTTCTGCTTGTACCGTTAATATGATTTGCGTAGAGGACGTTGTCGTATGGGTTTACAGATAAATAGCTGTTTACGTTTTCAGATAAAAGAATTAAGGCGTTCAGGAGTGAAAGTGGCGATGGTTGGAGATGGAATCAATGACAGCCCTGCCCTTATAGCGGCCGATGTTGGCATTGCATTGGGTAATGCAACAGAGGTGGCTATTGATGCTGCACAGGTCGTGCTTATCCGGGTAAGACTTTAAGGAAGTCGTAAAACGGAGTATAAAGTAGGAGTATAAGATGTTGGCAAAATAATGTAAACAAGCCTTTCCCGCTGATTATGTGCTTAGCTTGTTATGTAGTATTTATATTTTCTGATACGTGGCTTACCATGACTATTTACTGAGACACCTGTTATTTCCAATCTAATATTTTGTTTGTTGTGAAATCCCGCCAGATGCAACGATTACCTACTTAACAAATTAATTACTTTTTGTTTTCAAAGAACGACTTGCGAGACCTTATATCCGCAATAGACCTGTCGCGGAAGACGGTCCATCGAATTCGGATTAACTTTGTGCTTGCATCAGTCTACAACATAGTAAGCATCCCCCTCGCAGCAGGAATGCTTTTGCCACTTGGCTTGGTATTGTTACCGTGGGTAGGTGCAGGTGCAATGGCGGCTTCGTCCCTTAGTGTCCTTTTGTCATCGCTTACTCTCCGGAGGTAAGTGTAAAAGCCAATGTAATATTATCGCGAGTCACCTGTATGAATATCTTTTTTAAGGCTATTTGCTTTATGTAAGGACAATTTTGTTTCGTGACAGATTTTTTTAGAAGAACTGAAAACATTTTGAAAACTTTCAAGTGTAAAAAAATCAAGTGTGAAATTAATAATGACTCCCACGCTTTGTTTCAGTGCCGTTCTCGAAAGACCTCGTGAGCCAGTCACGAAACACGCATAAACTGGTAAACATTTAAATTTCAATAGCGTTATTCAACTTGCGGGCGTCCAAAACAATTCCCCATTTTCTAACTTCGTTGTATTTTATAGTCAATTTAAAAGAACTAAATAGAGATGTAAGGGTAAAGATTTACTGTCGCAAAGTTTACAAGTTTCGCTGTATAAATGCAACTACCTTTCTACAAGTTACTATGTAAGTAAAAAATAAAAACTAACATTGCCATTTTACATATAATTATATATTCTTTATTTCTAGATTTTGTCTTGACACATAACTACGCCATTGGTATATGTCTTTTTTATGCACAGTATAAAGGAATTTGCCTCACACATGTAGATTTAGTGCTTATCTAATAAATGCGTCCTTTGTTTGTTGACCTGGAACATGTTGACTGTACAAGTGATTAGAGGCTTCGATGGTTATGTTTAAGCGTAAATTTGTTGTTAGCTAATTATCATCTTCATCGCTTTCAAGGATTGCTACTTTTTTTTTAATTTTCCGTGAGGATTGACGCTTACGATTACCACTTTCATGTACAGGAGAGGGCTTTTGTTTGGACTCACTCTCCTCTCCTATGTCTTCAGGTTCACTATCACTTACAATTGCTACCCGTCGTTTTTTGCCACTTTTTTGAGGACTAAAATTTTGACTCGAGAAGTTGCGTTTAGTCCCCTGGTTGTTTCGAATGCCGTTTCCAGAATCCGACACGGATGCTGTGGAAGAGTCCTCGCTGGCAGTCAATAACTCTTTTTTGTTATTGTCAAGTAGCTTTTCCTTTAGTTTGCTAAACGATTGGCGGCCTGTGTCAGTATTTTGATCGTTAGAATCTTGCATAAACTCTATTGAATGCAAATCCTTGACAGTTTTTTTTTCTGCGGCTGTTGGCCTCATGTTTTTTTTCCTATTGTACGTTTTGGCTTCTCTTACTTGTTCATATGATCGTTGTACATCTTTGATGCAAGAAACACTGTTTCCGGTGTCGTCTTCACTACCATCCTTTGACCTACTTGAATCTTCAGAGCTTCGTCCAGAAAGAATTTCTTCAGGAACTTCTTCATCAGTAGTGACAAGAATGCCATCTTCAAAATAACCTTGCGTAGCTTTCTTAAGGACTTCAAGCCTTGACAGGAGCATACTTCGGCTGAATTCTCCTCCTATTCGCCAATATTGCTCGAAACCCTCCTGCGGCGGAACGAGCCCAAAAGTCGACAAAAGCTTGCAGAATTCTTCGTCCTCAAGGCTTTCATGCTCTGCTTCGGCAAGTGGCACCAATGGCACAGCTTCATTCCCTATGTCTTTCCATTCTTCTAGAGCGCCCTGTATGGATTCTAAGACCCAGTCGATTGCAGCTCGTCTTTGCTGAACCATCTTACTTAGGAGGTCCTTTAGCTCTTTTATATTTACAACTTTCTCAATTTTGCGTGTCATACTTCTTGGTTGTTTTAGAACTTTGTGTCTTCTCCGGGGTCTACTACTACTCTCGCCGTCGGCCTTACGGTTGCCCTTCACAGTCTGAAGGCACTCAGTATTTTCCTGCACCACTTCAGCAATCGTTCCTGCGTACATATCTCCAGCTTCATCCTCTGAACTCAAGTTATCAGAGGAACTAATCGATTCTTTGCTTATAGATTCAGGGTTTCTTTCCTCGCTTTCATGCTCATTCCTGATAGAGCGTGGCATTATCACCTCTCCGTTCTTTCGTACGCGTCTTTTGCGAACTTCAGCTCGGTCGTGTATAATACCGAGTTCAAGAAGTTTTTCGATGACCCTAAACTTCGGCCTCTTAACTGTCATGTTTAGCATTATTTGAGAAAGAGGATCAATTGAAGTCGCAAAATTGTGATAAAGTTCTTGCAATTCCTGTTCTTCCTCACCACTCCAGGGCTGAACAGATGAGGTGCCTGATGATTTGAAGCGCGTACCCTTTTCAACAAGACCCAAGATACGAAGGTGCATAATAATCTGTCTTCTAGTACGCATCTGGTTGGAAAACTGTTTTTGAATGACTTCAATAATATCTTGGCCAGGCTCTATATTACCGTTGCTTTCCTCATAAAGACGTTTCAGCTCCAGCTCCTCTTCCTCTGTCCACGGACGCGTTTTGGGTTTTTCTGTTTCGTTGTACCCGTATTGAACTTGGTATGCCTCCACAGAAGTTTTCCAGAACAGCAGTTCAACTAATGCTAGGTCATTAATTTTAGCAACCTCTACAAACTGTTGCACAATATATTTAGCGAACCGAGCTAATTCTTTAAGATCATTAACCTCTGGTATTATTGAATAATCCTCAAGGATCTTATCGAAAACGACGAAAATATGCGCTTGGAAGAGCATGGCTGACATCTTTAGGTCGAAGGCAATCCGGTGCAGCATTTTTACGCACACTTTGTTCACCTCAGTTGAATTTGCGGAGTAGTGCGAAAGTAGTAAGCCATACACCTTTATTACCTTAGGATTAGCAAAGCGTTTAAGAAAGTCCTCAAAGTCGAAATCACGCATACGGTCTATCTCATCATTCTCATCGTTAAACTCATCGTTTAGATTGATGTTTACAAAGTTCTCGGCATAGAATAAGCTTTTCAAAAGCATAAATTCGGCTTCAATAGACATTGATACATTGCCAAAGCACTTTTCTTCTAGAAAGTGAGCTCTCGATGCTCTAAGCAACCCAATAGCTTGAGATGCATCTCCTAGTCGCAATAGGTCCACGATTTTATGTTTGCACACGTGAATATGAAACGTTTTTTCATCTTGATGAAATCCTTCAAGAAGCGCATGGATATCGTAATCAAATATAGAATCTTTAACATCCAATAGGGTTGTCAGTTTCCGGGATAGATCTAGCCACTTTTGGTCGAGTTCTTCCTCAGTGAAGTCAGCGAATGTCGGGAGTTTCGGCTTCGATTTTTTCTTCTTGATATTCTGAACTTTTAATTTACCTCCATCACAATACATCTGAAGCATACGTAAGTAAATGTGTACCGTTACAGCCAAATCACGCAGGAAGCTTATCGGAGCTACACTCTCATTAAAGTTGAGTAACAGATGTAGAGCTATATCTCGGTACTCTGGAAGATAAAACAAGTGCTGCTGCAATACTTTGGCAGCTTCCTGGACTTGAGAATCGCTGTGACGATTCATAGCATGAACTGTCATTAGCAGCTGGTAAAAGGTCTTTAAATTGACGTGAAGCCTTCTCATCCACAAATGAATTCTCCTTTTGTCGGTGGTCATCATCTCGTGACATTTTTCCATTTGAGTTTGCACAAAATGAAAGGTCTCTTTAGAAATTGCTTCGGAAACTAGGGCAATGTCGAATCCAGTGAGTCGGTTAAACTTAAGAAAGAAATCCAATAACCAAAAGTAGTGGCCTTCATCTCCAGTGTCTCCAGCATTCGTCATGGCCTTTCGCACCTGAGGGAGCAGAGCATTGAACGATGAACTAAGTAGATCCGAGCAAAACTCTTTTAAAAAGATGCGGATGTTTAGCGTTGTATGCCGTTTAAGTGAAGCACATTCCTCGGGGCGACGATTTTTTGCTCTAGCGCGAAACTTTTTTTTCTGGTCGAAGTCCATATTATTTATTGATTGAAGTACTTTAGCCGGGTCGCCAACTACGATTAAATCTCTAGTCTCATCGCCGAGGGACTTTATATTGCGTGCCTGCGGTCAAAATGAAAATCTATACCAATTATCATTTTCCATACCAGTGGCAATACATTAGACTGCTTTGCTTTTATTGGCCAAAAATGCGAACGAAACTCGTTATTTAAAAGATTCTACCGTTTTTCCCTTTGGCCACAAAAATTATTTCCGTAAGGGACAGAAGAAATAGAACATAATTTCACTTAGTATTTAAATAAATTAGTAGTATATACAAAAAGGCAGCTTAAAATAAACTTTAACTTTATTTCTAGTAAACCTAAATATATCCATATTGAGCAAGAGAATGTACCTATCAAATTATTCATTAAAATTATGCAGTGGAGTATAAATGTTTTTCTGCAAAATCTTGAGAGTCTAGAACTTTCACCTGATAGGTAGAGCTGAAGCGAGCGAAACGATTGTGTATGACACCTTTAAGGTCCAATTTTTTTTTCCTTCGCTCGATTTCGCATAGTTTCATTAATTCTTCGCCATTTTTCTGAACTTCTCCCCGAGGCCGCTGCTCTCCTGTAGAGGCTAGAAATGCGGCATCTTGCTCGCGAAGCATCAGGCGAAGGATCTCTATGAGGTACAGTGTGTGCGACTGCTCTATCTGTGCAGCGCACATGTAGATAAGGAGATCATCCATCTAAACACATAACAAGAGTGAAAAATGGTTGAAGCACATTAAATTCGATTTTACAGAAGCCACTAGTCGAAAAAAATTATAACAGCAATTTATGTCCAATAATATTTGATGCGTCATAGTGGGCTGAAAACAACAAATCTCTTTGTTCTAGTCTTTGAATCTAGTAATAGAAACCCGTAGATTGATGGGTCTACCTAAAAGCATCTAGAGTGAACTTTGCAGCACTGACACACACACACACACGCGACTATTTTATCTACGCACACCAGAAAGATGCAGTGCCCAAAGCAGTCGATCGTGGCTAGAAACATCTCCATCAGTTTTAAAGTTGAACTCGTCCCGGTGGATTGGATGAAGAACATTTCGCAAAATGGTCAAAATGCGAGTTATTATGTCCGTGTCATCTTCAGTTCGCTCATGCTGATTGAGGCTTATTAGCTGCTCCAGTTTCTCGGCTAAGGCTGACCATACTTCTTTCTCTAAAAACGCGTCTTTATAGGCACAGAGTGCTGCCTCCAATGTCATGTAGATATTTCTGTGGCAGATAACAATAATTGTTCTCTAATCAATTATATTTAAACTCATAAATGTAACTTTAATTTATAAAAATAAAAGAAAATAAAACATTTTTTTATTGTAATAATATTTATTGATATAATATTAGAAACCCTATTCTCCTACTAACTTTTGTTATAATGAACATACTCCCTAACATACATATTCTATTTGATTTGCTTATAACGACTAGCACTCATTAAATTAATCAATAAAATTAATATGTAATGTACAACAAAGTAAAGATTTAGCACAAACATGAAGGCGAAGTAGATAGGAATGTAAAAAACAAAACAAAGAAACATGCAGTCTACTGACGGATCACATAACCATGTTCCCAAAATATCATAATTGTTATCACTTTAGTAATCCTGCAACTACTCTACCGAGCATTTTTTTCAATGGGAAGCTCTTCCTTATAGAGAAGTACAACCGGTGTACTGAGGTTGACGACGAGCTTCGTGGTGATATCGAAGAGCTCCGCGTCTTTGTGGTGAAATCGCAATAGTGGAATAAGATCGGTTTTAATCACATTGATCTGACCCAGCGCACGACGAATTGCGAACGATTCGTCATCACGACGCAGATACCGCAACAAATCCTGTTTTTTTTTGCAAACAAGAAGCTAAGGTCAGTTTAATCTCAGACAAAAGAAACCATCTAGCTTTCCAAAAGTAAAGCGGTGTAACTTTAAGGTTATTCTGAAAACTGGTTTTTCGAATACTTTCGAATTACTTGAAGCCTTGAAAATATTGTATCGTTATCGACACTACATGCAAACTTTCTAAATTACTTGTATTTATTTGATTATAAGTATTTATTTGATTTGAACGAATGTATTGAGAACTCAAGATGCCGATAAAGTCTCGACACTTACGATTTTTGTCTACTTAAGACGTATATGAAACATATGAACATACAACAAATCTGCCAAAACAAACTTTTCTGAAAATAACGTTTGTGTGAGCAGTAGGCAACTTTATAAATCTATGTATATGTAATTTAGATTCCTAAAATAAAGGTAATTACGTTGTAAATGTTCGACGATATATTTCGAGTGAAGCAACCACAGGTGTGCGTAAAACGTACCTTCAAACTTTCGACACAATCATTTTCTTTTACATACACGCCTTCGTCCCACCCGCCAAGAGCGTTACAGGCAGCTTGAAGATCGGATAGGATCAGGGAAGTCCTCCAGTCGTCCATGCCCCTTTCAGATGCGCTTTTATATTCTTCAGGATATAGTCACCAGCTACCCACACCACTAACAAAACTGTCGTAACAAATAACCAAACCCTAAATATATACGCACTTAAATTGAGTTTCAAATGCGTTCTAATAATAGAATCCTATTTTCCAGGCTAATAAATTTTTCGCAAAAGTAAGTCATAGAATACACTGACATCTCACTTTAAGCACAAAAATTTCCCCGGTTCCAAACAAGTTGACGCACTGTATCTTGCAAACTTATTCAGGTTTTGCACCACTCATTTGGTCAAACACCATTGAAGTCCGATAGGCGTTCATGACTGTTTTTTGCAACACTGAAAACAGCAGTAGATTCCGCGCGCGCCAATTCATCGATTACCCAGACACCTGCATTTTTTACGGCGGTGTCGTATTTGAATCTGCGGCGCGAAAGGGAGGCCTCTTCTACTGCCTTGGTGCGAGCGCGTCTGTATATTAAAGGTTCTTCGTATCTATAGAATCAATTTCGATGAATGGTTGCGCGAGTGGAAAGGGCCGACCTTTGGAAAGTTCTCGCGGTGAGCAATGAGGTAAGTGACGGCCTTGTTGACCATGCTACAGGCGGACAACCATCAGAGGTTGGGAAATTTTAATGGTAGCTAACGAGGGGTTGTCAGGAGAACGGCGAGTAAACAAAGCAGCATTGAAGAGGTAGTATGTATATCATGAGCATCCACTGTAACTTTCACTTCTACGGCTGGTGTGATCAACCCACTGCTTTTGTTAATGTGTCATCATGTGAAGCGTGTAACCAATGAACATATTCGATGGCCCATTTAAGCGCGAAAATAGTCAAGGGTGCAGTGGGTTCAGGTAAGAGGATGTCTTTCAGCCCAGAGAAGTTTGTTAAATGGGGTAAAAATGAGTGAGGTCAGGTAGTATTTAACATGGCTTCTTCGTGTATTCCTTAAAGCTGTATCTCGGCATGGAAATGTGTTTATAAGTAGTGAAGTTAAATCCTAGATAAATCGATCTCAGGAGACTAAATTACACCAAAAACTATACATCATTAGTATATATAGTTTTTGAGCTATCCCGGAAGTACGTGCTTCGCTGTCTGATGCATACAAAACATATGCATTGAGTTCAACGTTATCTTAATATTATCTTAAAAACTTATCTCAGTACTCTTTGGCAGAAGAAAGGTTGTTTATCGCGAAAAACCTTCATCGCATTGATTCAGCTTACTAAGCTACACAAAAATTCGCATAAATTTAAGTTTTGTCTTAAACTACACAGGCTCGATTTGCTGTTCCCCTGCAGTAGTCGCCGTAAGCTGCTATAATATTTTACACCGATCGAATAACCACGTTTCATTCGATTCTGAGTTATTGGATAATGGAAAAGAAATTTTCTACACTACACAATAATCTGGGAGACAACTATGAAGGAACAGCGTGTTCTCATAACTCACTCGTTGCGTTAGAAACAGGGCACTATACGCGATATTTTTAATAGAAGAGAACAATGATAAGGGTTTAGTTTGCGAGAGATATGGGCTGTTTTTCATATATATACCGAGACATAGGAGAAACGAAAAAATAGTATCGTCGTAATGTTTCCCATCTCAAATTCTGTACCAAAATAGAAGGAAAAAAAGCCAGATGCAAGTGTATACAAGCTTACCTAACTAAAACTGAAACAATCTTCAACCAATAAAGATAAAACAATAATGTCATTCTCATTGTTTGACGAAGTTAGTAAGTTAGGATGTTACTGTTGCAATTCATTCTATATTACAATAATTCCAAGACCGGTTTTGCATGTTACCGTTTGTCATGGTGGAATAAAAAACGTTTATGGAATAAAACTCGCATTTAGAAAATTATAAATGATAGCTGGCGTTTCGTGTTAAACCTTAAATGTAGAGGTAGTGGGTTTTTCTATTTCATACCATTTGATGACTATCTAAAAGCGTCTATTAATATTTTTGGTATATAGATTCACATCAATTAATGGCAAATGTGGATAACTCTTTGCGGCACGAAACGGTCCAAATGATTCACTCAATTTCCTTCGTATTTGAGAATTGATTTGAAGTTTATTTATAAACTTAATTATTAATAATAACTACATTTCCTAATTAATACTGATCACATTTCCTCACAACTATTAAAGGCGCTTTGATATTGCCGCGAGAGGTCAGTGGGTTATATGCTCCTTAATCTTCAGGAGATGTGATGCTCTAGATTCGAATTTGGCATGGACACATGTTTCGTATTAGGGACCAGCAATGTGACGGAACACCTAATGGTGATATCGAACGTAGAATTCGAAACATGTATATTCGATAAACTATAATTGGCTTAAATTTAATTGATCACAATAACGTGCACAGCTTCATTCATATTGTGTATATACAATTAAAATATGTGGGCCCTTACATGTGTGTAGAAAGCAGTACTGGTCATTAAGTGGGACTAAGCTAATAAGAACTTTTAGCTAATAACACTTCAATAAATATTTCTTGCCGTTAACCCTAGTGGAAGAAATAGCGGTAACTCATCGATCGTTGACCCCAATTTTCATGATCCGTAAGTTCTGGTTACGTAAATGACGTCTACTATTTGCCGATCCCAAGCGGTGAACGAACGAGGAGTACGGCAACTTACTTTAAGATTATATCATTCACTATTACTAGTGATGCAACGGATGCAAGTTATAAATTGTGATAACTTGTTTTTTTTTTCTGTTCTATGCATATTTCTCGGTATTATGTGCGCGATCTACGCGCTTAGAGATAGTGCTAAAAGGAATACATTTAACAGAAAAATATGCTTGACACTCATGACTCAAATCGCACACTATAATCGGCTCCAAAGTTTCACCGCGAAAATTCGAACATTAAATTAATCATGTGTGGAAAAAATCTGCTGAAAATCTAGGCCAATCATTCATTACAATTAAATAAAGTTTTTTTTTATGTCACACAATGTATGCATATATGCATTATATCACATAACACGGCCTTTTCCGAAGTTAAATTTTGACCCCTCTAGCTGGAAAGCAAGTGTAAAACCTTAACGAAGCGTATATTTATTAATCGTGTCCATTATCCCAGAAGTGACGATGGTTTATCTACGGTTACGACTGCAGCTGCAATGTAATTCTCTAGCTCACTGAAAGTAACAGATAATAAACACCGTATCTTTTTTAATAGAACAATCATCAAGGCATTATGGTGTGACCAGGAATATTTTATTCTATCAACCATACGTTCATACTAAATATCAACCTCCTCAAGCTTAAATCATAAGACCGAAAAACACGGGAAAACCTCCGACGGAATACATCGTATATTTTCTGGCCTAGTGATGTTGTATTATGGCAGTGTCACCTTGTCGCGGTGCCTCAATAGGCGGGCACTTGTCCAGTATCTTTCAACGATCTATTGGCGTGATATCTTTACGGTAAGCTTTGACCATTTGTCTCTAGTTGTAACTTTTGCTTTCTTCTATGAACAGGCATCTACTAGCGATTATAATATCGAACCAGGTATAGCACACTCGACTCCGTGAATCATTGTCGGTAGAGATATCCATGTCTTAGAACGATCTTATTATGCCTACGGAAGCGATACCTTCCCACGATCTTCATTTTGTGTGTTTCAGTTCTATGAGCGGCTCAGTAAACGATCCTGCACTCCTATACCTTTTTTGATACATTCAGGAGGGCCGAGTTATCAGCTAATGCGTTACTCACGACTTCATAGCTTAGTGCTCCCTTCGGCCAAAGCCGACAGCGTGTGTTCGGTTTTAATGAACATTTTGTCTATGGAATAAATAAATGTATTGCAAAGCGTACCGTATGCTTGTAATAACAGGGCCAGGTTTCCAACTCCGATCCAGTGATAGTTCTAAGAATGGAATAGGGCAAGTACTGAAAAAAGCGTTCATACCCATGAATACTTAAATTTTGAAATCACCGAACTCCTATTCTCGCCTTGATAACAATATTAGCTTGTGAGTAAGTTTGACATCGCACTACGAAATTGTTCTTATAAAGCAACGCAAAGAGTAGGCTTTTGCTTATTCTCATCACATAAAACTTTGATCTTTGTTTGTAATCAAGTTCTGTGTACATGTAGTTAATAGAAATTATCTCTAAACTGAAAATTTTTGTTCTTCTATGCGTATGAACGTAAAAAGCTATCGTTTACAGTTAAATGTTCTAAGGTTACTCACGGACGTTTTATATATTATAATTAATTATAACTAGAGAATAGTGTAAGGTTCCTCAGAGTTGCATTAATAATGACGTTAACAATTACATTACCTTAGAGTCTTAGGGAAACCTAACAATGTTAATAGATGTTACAAGTCATACCACTCTGTATTTCTAGTCCCTTTCAACGCTTTAATGCTGCTCGGATTAGTATAGAGCGTCATACATTTAGCTTAATGCATATTTGACGTAAGCATCTGCTCAAAATGGGGCCTCAAAGACAGTCTGTATATTTCACCCGTATGTTTTGAGTATCGCTCTATCTTTCCTCTTTAGGTTAATGTGAGAGAGCTCGATCCCGTGCAGGCCAAATTGCAGGGCGCCAACCAGCTGGCTAATAAGGTGCTCTAGTTGGATCTAGCCGTGCATGAGCTATATTTCAGCCGTGCTCTCTTTAATTCGTGCACCCCCTTGCCGAGTAATAAATGGCGCATCTAGCCGACCCGACCCGACCTGCCCGAGTAGCTTGATTCGTTGTTGCTGCAAACTAGTTATACGCAACTACTTGGTCAATTGAATCTGCCCTCCGAAAACCAGAGCTGACGCTCCACGGAATGTCAGAATGGACGACCTGAGTGTCTGAAGCTTAGGTTTCTGTCCCAGTCGTAATATACTTACATATCAATCGCTCCGTCTTGACCCTATGCCTCGCCACCGAGCTTTCTTTCTGCTGATCTCGTGGTATACATTTTTCGTAGGTAGCTGTAAACACATTTTATTTTTCTGTTATCATCTGTATGAACGAGTGGTACGATTGATGTTTTCGCTAATTAACGCTCGCCTAAAGTAGCTGACAACTGAGATCTTCTGTTGGGCTTCCGTTGTCGTGAAGATACCAGATAGGTTGTTTTAGAAAAACGAAAGTCGAACAAAAATTGACGTGTGAAATAATGCTAGCTTATCAACGTTGCGTATTACTAACAGTACTACAAAAACTTCACGTTGTGTTTGTTTATAGATAGAAGCACTGCTGTAATCATGAGAGATTGTGATGCTTCCTTGATCTTCTAACATGGAGTCAGTAGACGACAGTAATGTAAGTAAGCTACCCCTGCATTAATAGTACGTCTGGCTTGACTTTAATATATTTTTAAATGACGTAGAAATGTGTCGGATCGGCTGAATATTTTACTAACATTTTAGTATGTCCTTTTAAAATCAAGTGATAAAAACAGTGGGTCTTTTCATCTTTCTACACCAGTAACTGCCATCACGAAGCACTTCATATTCTAACCGAATTATTAATCTAATTTTAAAAATTTAACAACGGTCTATAATAAATATTAAGCAATATGTCGGTATATGTTGAACATTGGTGAAAGGAGTTGTTAACTCTGCGCTACGCAATGCTACGAGGTTCGCAATGGAAGTCTTCCTAGGAAGTTAACTTCCTTGAAAGCGGCGTCGTGACGAACAAAAGTGGTCGCGAGACATTGTTTCGCCGATAGCACGGCCCAGAAGTAGTAGATCATAACAAGTAGATAGACAGCAGCGGAGAAAATGGTTATTATGAAAGTTGTGTCTTTTGTCATCAATGGGCTAACTTGAAGGTCTATTTTTTGGCTAGTGAAATGTGAACTGGAGCTCATACGGCTTACTATGAGGTTCATCACACGCACACACACACACACTGTTACATATATGTACGGTACTCAGTGAACACTGAACAGTCGAGTTTTTCAATGGTAGAAAAAGAGGCTTAATAATGAATAGCCGTTTTCACGATAAAGCTTACATGTATAGTTATTGTGATGTTGTTACAGGTGGTCCCTTATACTCAAGCATCCGAGGCTGAACTACAGTTATATTCACTTCATGAAAGCTATTGGGAACTGACACTCAAACATGCACGCGCTCTAAACCTTATTGATGAGCTTCGTGGTTACCATATTTACGGAGAACCCATTCCACAGAGTCTGCAAAATAAAATTGGTCCTCCGGAAGAGTTGTGGCCCAAAAGCCAGCCTGTCGAACTCAACGAAAAGTTTAAACAATTGCTTTGTAAAGAAGCCACTACAAAACAATCAAAGCTTAGTATACGTTCTTTGGGAAGTAGTCTCGATGATTTGCGTAAGCGTAGTTTACTTCTTCTTCTGAAAGTATTGTCTAATTTGTATTGGTCCGTTAGTAAAACCAGAACAATAGATTAATATATAGATAATAATATAGAAGTATATGCTAATAAACACATCTAGACTTTGCAACTGCTCTTTCCTATGTCTCTTTCTATTTAACCAACATCATGGTTCAAAAATACTGTTACTTTGAGAAGATTTAGCGTCGAGCAGCCACCAAACCAGCCCTACAATTGCATTCCCGGATGCCCCTCTACGTGGACTGAATTCTGCCGGCCGCCGACTCACACAGACTCGAGATGCACTTCGCCTCGATGATGAATGGCTGGACAGTGGCTTCTTTAGCAACAACAAAAAGTCAAAATGTTCAACCCCCAAATCACCAAGCACATCCAAGAGTTTAAACTCTCCATCTCGTTTAAGTGAATCACCAGCGCTGAAGTTTCCGGAAAGCATCGAAGTTGGCAAGCCCATGCAAAAAGTTGACGCGATACCAGTCCGTTATGGAGAGCCTCCTCTTGCTCAAAGAGTAGACTTGGAAGTTCAGCAAAAGCCATCTACTTCTGCAAGATTCCGGTCCCGTATCCCGAGATTGCAAAAGGTCTTTTTTATCATTAGTATTATTGTTGTTGGCCTGCTTGTTGCAAAAAAACCTATGCTTGCTTGCTTTCATCTATAATACAGTTGTGGGGTAGAACCGCTCATAAAAACATTTGCTATGTTAAAGGGCCACCTCATATCGTGGCAAGTGTAGTTTCAATTCGATGCATGTTATACGGTTATTTTAGTCAGCATCTCCCAAAAGTCAGTCTCGATACTTAATGCTGACAGTATTCGTTCGATAAAATTCGGACACGAACGTTCAAGGACGTCATGGCCTCAAACGACAGACCTCAGTTCACCGATAGTTCGTCTATTGCAAGTCCCTTCTCACGATCCTTGCAAATTGGACACTGAGACCGTCTGCTACGGTGGATATCTTCAGGAAATATCGTTTTATTAATTCTCAGATGTTTGTCCATACTATCGGTAGTGCATGGTTTTTCTATAATGAAGTGATTCTTTTTGGATTTTTGTTCCATGTACAGCTTTACTTAATGGGTACATTAGAGGATTGCTCCAGTGAGTTCCTCAAACATCCTCGAACAAATTACGAAGACTGCTTAATTAGGCAGGAAAATGGTGGGAATTGCGCACCGTTTTCTTCTGGTCTTCCCACGCCGACAGATAGTGGATACCCGCCATCCAACTGCACTGTGATACCTGCAATCGAAGAGCTACATGGAGTGGATGGCCGCGGTGAGACAGCAAACAGAAGCCTTAACTAGGCATGCATTAATAGTGATGCAGATAGTTACGTATGTACATACTAAGCTAGATGAAGAAAACTGCTTGTGTTCAAAATGATTTATTTTTTACCATTTTTCCGGAAGCTCGTAACGTTGCTTGAAGTTCAGATGAGCACATACAACACAAACTATAACACGGCATATCTATGATAGATCGTTAGCACTGAATCATAGCTGCACCTAAATATCGCCGTGAAAAACTGGCCGGTTAATAAATACGAAAAATTGTAAAACAAACGTTTTTTTTTATCTCTACTGTGAAAACGACCGATTTTGCCGTCAAACCCTCTACTTATACATGCGTTAGTTTTCGTATTCGCTTACGTTGAAATTTCGCGTAATTCCTTTTCCGACACTTTATCTACAATATAGCCGTACAGGCTAGCCGTAAAATTAACGCAGCATTAAATCGAAAAGCTAATATTTTTTTTCAGCCTTGATACATATCAAGGGCAAAAAGATTTAGAACACCGAAATTCCCCCTCAATTTTTAGTTGTGTTCGACATTCCAGAATAAATCTCTCAATTCAATACGGACATCTATCTGTTTACCGTGATATGTTCTACTCTACTGTACTGTCAAGCATTATAGACTCCCTACGACGGCCTGATGCCGTCTCCTGTTTCGATTGTCTGTTAAATGCACTCGTACTATAGCGTAACTGACACATCCGAGTATTGTGTACCGTTTCATTGATACGTTGCTATTGTTTCGTTTTTACTTGTCCCACTTAATCCCTTTGTGCGACTCTCTGGATTCGCTAAGAGAAAACTGCCAAAGCGAAAGGCATGCATCTCACTGTTCTTATCTAAATATTTATGACCTGCTGTCACCATCATCATTACTTGTTTCTTATACATGGCTTTTTGTAGATCTATTTTGGGACAAGCTGGAATACGATGGTCTACGAAGAGCTACTTCAACGCCAGCTCTCAAACAATCTCCACGACATAACGTTAAAGCTTCGCGAAGATCTAGCGCGTCGCGCCGTAAACTGGCTCGCGCTCTGGAAATTGCTAGCCGAATTGCGGAGCAACTTGAAGCTAATACCGGAAATCTACTAAGAACAGTAGAGGAGTACCGACGACGAATTCAAGCTACATCGGGAAAATGAGCTATAGTCAGCCATCTGGAAAAGCAACCGCACAATTATAGCTTTACGGCAGTACGAGTATGACTGGCGCTGGATACACAAATCTTCTACATCAATAAGTAAAGCTAACGCTGAAGCTAGTAAACAAAAAATCAAATAGATGAATATCTAACGGACTACATAGGAGGATAGTGTTTCGAGAGGACAAAGTATATACATATATATAGATAGAATATCAGACCTTGTGACCTAGTTATATATATATATATATGTCACAGGATCTAATATTAGATTCAGGTAGGATCTCACACAATGTTTAATACTGTCAGCCGCATTCCTGTTTATTGAAGGCAACTTAGTCGAGGAGTTTTCGATAAGGTTGTGATCTGACGGAGCTGCAATGTATTTCTGATTATTACGCACCCATTCTTCAAACGGTGCATGCTTAAACCTAATCTTAAAATGTCGCATGATCGACTAAGTGCTCACGCATACGATAATATTATACATTGGTTGTCGGTATTTGCCAAATTTCGTATACCCAAAGGCCCTCTGATACTTGAAAATCTTTCACCTTCAACAATCATAGCTAAACATTGTGTCGTAGACGGTAGTGCTTTGACACGGAATTGAAAATATCCTAATAAAGATTTTACACATAACAGACTCCTCCGAACATAATAACAAACACTTTTTATAGTAAGTGGTAAAATTAGACGTATGGCATAGATATTCAGTTGTTCTCGCTCTTTCGTTACTTTTTCTTTTTTTTTTTATTTTACAATCAGTAGTTATCGACCAGTCCGTAACAGCCTAAATTAACATGTTTAGTATTCTAAAGCTACGGACTATAATGCCTTAGTCGTTATATGCCTAACTTGTCGTCCAATACAGCCTATTAAAAATCTGAAGCAATTTTTCATTTCGAAAAATGATGAACATATCAATTATTAGTATGTGATAAGGGTGTGATATAGCGATTTTCAAAATAAGTTCTTCAAACTGAGCCTATGTTCGAAAAACACTTAACTTACAGCGCCGTGTTAATATGACCCATTAATGTAATCAACTTTATGCTCAATGTTGCCTAATATATTTTTTGTACACATGTTGTAGTAGGATCAAACGAATGAATCACAAACATAGTGAATAAGTAAATGTCAATAAAAATGGCAATGTAAAGAGGAACCATTTTAGAGTATTCATTGTCTCTCTCTCTCTCTCTCTCTCTCTCTCGCCCGCTACTTCGCTTCATCAAGCTGAACAGCATTTTTGTAAGTTTGCCCAAATGTTTGCTTTTTGCCCTTTACTACTATATATATATACTCATTAACCAATCAAATAAGACCACCTAAAAAGATATTCAGACACTGTCGAATTTGATCGAAGATATCTCCTCACCCAAGCTACATGCGTGTATGCGGTTTTTTTTCTGTATGAAAGCTGCCTCCCTGTGCTTTCCATATGATGACACCGCCCCTAAAAACCCATCTTACAACTGCTGTGAAGGGAGGTACCTGTTGAGATATATGGCACAATGACCGTTCATCACAATATGTATGAAAGTTCAAGCTATTGCGCACAATTCATTCGATTTCCTCTTTTTCTGTTCAGGGAGAGACGTAGGTGATTCGACATGTAGCATAGCAATTATCGTTACCCTCATCTATTCGACGATGATGCGACCATTGATTAAAATTAATTTGACCACTTTTTGTGACTAAACGTGAGCTCGGCAAAGGAATAGGAAAAGTCCTCATGGAGGAACAGCGGACTTTAATAGTTAGACCCATACAGGGAAAACGGTTGCGAACAGAAACTGCTGAATGGGCTAGGATATCGAAATGTATAATTGACAGAATATCCCGGGAGGCGAATGATGAGATTCCTCTGTCATCAGGAAAAATAGGAAGCAAGCATCCAGAACGACGCACAACGCAGGCAGAGGACAGGATCTACGAAGAAACCGATATGTAACGGTTTTTCTACCGCGTTAAAGGGTGGCAAAGCGCGGAATCACTTCGTCTATAGGGGCGTCCCGACATCGCATTGAAATAAGCGGCTTCGGCTGTTGTAAACCAGCCGAAAAACCTCTGCTAAACTCTCTGCGCAAATATGCGAGTTTCAAATAAGCCGAACGGTTCCAAAGGTGGATACTTGAACACTAGCCTGTTTTTTAGGTAAATCGCAGATTTGAGATTTCGTATAGTGACGCTCAACAGCACGTTCCGACAAGATCCCAGGAGTCCTGTGTAATCCTGTAGATAAAACATTCAAACAATATAATGGTATGGGCCGTAGTTTGCATTAACAGTGCACAAGCTCTGTAGTGCGTCAACAGTGCTGCAGAACAATGACAATTCAGGACAAAAATTCTACCCAGTGTAGGAGAGTGGTGTTCATTTGATACAAGTCACTGTCCCATATGGCCAAGTGTATTTCTGCGATATTTACTGTTAATAGTGCTGGGGTTCTGCCATAGGCTCGAAATTCATCGGACCTGAATATAATCGGAAACGTGTGTAATTGTGTCAAAGGGCAGGAGCTCAGAAAGCTTAAGAATACGGCGTTCCAAGTGTGGACTAGGCGTCACGGAGGTAGTGCGAAAGTGCATTCGGAGTATGCCGAACCGAAGTGCAGAGTCATTGTGGCGAGAGGTGAGGGAGACACCTAACTGTTTTTCCCTCCACAGCGACTCAAAGATGCCTTCTAGCAATCATTGGAAAGGAACGGGAAGTAGCTTCCACATTAAAAACCGTTCACGGGTATTTATTGTCAAACTCGAGAATGAGTAAAATTTCTAGGTGGCCTTAATTGATTGACCAATTGTGGATATATATATATATATATATATATATATATATATATATATATATATATATAGGTCAAACGATTTGAGGGCAGTAAGAAGAATAGTATTTTAGTGGTAGCAAGCCGAGCAGTTTGGTGATACTGAGAGACGCGATTCGGGGGGCGGGAGAAGTGACACTTATATGAAACAATAGAACATTACGCTTTATGCTTTCCAACAAACACAGCCGGCTCGTCTGAGCTCTTGTTCTACGGAACGGCGAAATATTCTGGCAATTTACGCATTCTTACCGATCTCTACTAGATAAGTCAAAGACCAAGCACAAATTCAGGTGGTTTTTAGCCAACATTAAGAGTAAAATCAGTTACTACCGCTCATTCCGCCAAAACAGCGGGAGTCGCTTCAAGTGTCTCTAGATTATAAGGCGGAGAAGTCTGACATAGCTTTCGGAAACGCGCCAACAGAGAACTAAATTCGTTTGTGAAACACGTGCAAACAGGTATGTCATTGTTGCCAACAGCTGTGTTGGCAGCATTGTGAGCCTCAAGCAGGAATGTGACATGACAAGCGGATGCGCTAACCCGTGGCCCGCCGTGAACAGCGTTAATCTCACACCGTATCGATAACGGCGCGTCTGTTCTCGGAGAGCGGCGACGATAAGCGTGATTTTTTTATAGGGTAGTTTTGTTAAGATGAGCATCAGGTTGTTTGCTATAAGAGCCTTTACCGTATCATGTAGAACCTCAGTTCTATCGCGACCAGCCTGGCGACAGCAGGTTTTCACCAACCGGTCACAAAGTCAAGCCAGTCCGTTCAGTATAAACGCAATAAATAAAATACAGTCGTTTTGGATGATTTAGATGTTGATCTTTATCTTTCTGTATGACATCTTTATTTTAGGGTGGGTGTATGACACACAGAGGGGTTTCTGTCATTCAAGGCCTCAACACAAGTCCATTCTACTTCACAAGCATTTTTGCTACTCCGGCCGAGCAGTTGTGTTACGCCAGAACTGGACTGGTGGTCTGGCAAAAAAGCGAAGAATGTTCTACCTATAATAAAATACCTATATAACATAATGGTCTGATTTCAATGGCTGACGGATACGTTCCTTTTAGTAACGCAAACAGCCGCCGATACAACAGGCAAAGCTGGGGCCATTGTGGCAGGAGCCGGCAGCAGTAGTAGCAGCTATGGAAGACGCGTCGCCGGATGCCACCTGCGCTACTTGTCCATCATCTTCGTAGAGTGCTCATTTCTCTCACTTATCTAGCTAACTGAACTTTCTTTCTACGAGCGTCCTCACACTCCCTCCCCCTGATTTCTTCGCTGATGCCACTTCTGGTGGCGGTTTATCTGGGGTTTTTCTGTTGTTGTCGTTGTCGTCGTCGTCATTTTGCGCTGTCTTCGTCTGCTTTTTGCCTTTGCCTATTTCATCCGTCCCAACTCTTTCAGCCTGTCTGGGTTTAGAACGTCTGTATAAAATTCTGTTCTGCTTTTTACATTCGTCCTTTCATTCATTTGTTCACTTTCACACACCGATACCGTTGATTTTACGGAATTGTCGGAATTTAACCTATGGCTGTTAAAGCTGAAGCCGCACGTAGCGCCACGTACCTGTTATATTCTTTGCTCGTTTTCTGACTCCCGCTGGATGACCGTTCTCAATTCGTCATTGTCTCTTTCCCCCTAATAGAATACTTACGTTGCTGCAAAAGCCACGGCAGTTGATTTTGTCAGAGGTGCTGACAATGTCGTCTACGGTTATTCCTACAGTGAAGTTGCAGTGATTTGCCGCTTTTGCTCTTTCGTTCAACCCTTTGATGACAGCAATGGCAACAAATCTCTCGCTGCGTATCGGGCCATCCATGGGCCCGTTCGCTGCTCGCACGCTGAAGCGATAGCAAAAACGTCCGCCATATTATTTCTCCAGGGAAACAATTCTGCAGCAAGCTCGTTGGCCTTTGAAGCTTTCTCTTTTCCCTTGATATCCTCCGTTGTCGTTGTGTGTTTCGTTCGCGGCTTTAGCCAATACTGCTGACCCGTCTTCCTGCTTTTTGTGTCTACCACCTTCAGCCCCTTCGTACCCCGTTTTTCCCGCCCGATTCACAATACACGGGTCACCGAGAGTCACCGACGTTCTCTCCGTCTCCACCTCGTCTCCCTTTGCTTTTCTGCCTTGTTCTCCCGAACGGCAGTTCAGGAACTTTCTGTAGTGGCATCTGTTGACCATCCATACACGTGAATGCATTGGTGGTTATTTCTAGTATACGCAATTGATGGTGTCAGGCGATTGTTCAATGAAGCCATTTACTCGAAACTGAAAGTGGACCCAACAGAGACTAAACGGCTTCGTTTGAGCTTCACCAGCGTGACCCATTATCACCTCGGTCTTCTCGAACAACGACCGGCCATTCTGTATCTAGCATGATAAAACACTGTTGTCTTTGAAGTTTCTTCAGCTCTTGCTTTTCCGGAGGTTGTCGATCATGCAGCACTACTTTCTACCATCCTTGTGCATAGCCTGCGGCCATAAACATTTGTCCGTTCTTGTGGCGTTTACAGAACAGTTACGACACGTGCGGGCGCGCGCGCGCACACACGCGCACGCACACACACACACACACACACACACACATACACACACAGTCATCATTCAAAGGCACGCAGCTAGTGGGTCTGTGCGCAAATAACGAAATAAATATAGGCTTCTTTAGTACCTCCTGATCAGAATTTTAGATGGTATCCGGTCCTCATCGGAACAATGGATTTTGATACTAATAACAGCGACACGAACAACAGCAGGCGAGTGCAGGAGACGTCGATGAACGATCGCAAAGGCGAACCGGGAAATTTAAACGAACGACAAACCTATCTTTTCGTTGTCCTGCACACACTAACACGAATAGCATACAAACCGAATAGAACGCGAGTTTGGGTGCAAGAGTGGGAGTGTAGTGTGGACGTTTCGGATTCTAGTTGAAAATCTGAATTAACTATTGACAGGGCTCGATCGTTCACTGGCAAATGTTTTAGGCAACACTGAAGGTTTAATTTATAGATCTGTCAGTAGCAGTACAGAGAAAGGATTTATAAGAAAAAGAAAGAAAAAGTATTTCGTGAATCCGAGTGACTATGAGTGCTACGACGCCCTTTAAATGGCTAATATTACTACCAAGTGACTATGAGGACATGGAATATATCGTTTTGTCTTGGTTGTGACCGCCTGGTATAAGTGTTACGCGTATTAGAGTAGATAGTAAATGATAACCGAGACTGCAAGGGACCACAATCAGTTTTGAGGTACGCCTCTCGTGGATCGATAGCGGTCACTTTGCTGAGGTAATAAATCTTCCGATGCAAATCTGGCATAGGTGCAATCGATCTGAATTGTTGTCCTTTCTGACAATTGTTGGAAATGATGATGAAGACTATATCAAGAAAAAATATCTACATATTTCTTGCGAAGGGGACATTGAAAACCTTATTTCAGTTTGATTCAGCATTCGTATACGCGGTCTGAATCTGTCAAACTTCAAAC